TATTACAAAGAACCACAGCAACGCTGAACTACGCAAAATACTACTCAGATTGTCTGAAGAATACTTCAATTCAAAGCCAGAAGAAAGAGTTCCTGCAACTTTTAACAAAGAATATTGTGAACAACTCAACAAAGTTCTTGCAGACTTTACCAAACTACAAAAAGAAACACCTGACCCATTCGAATTAGGTGACACAATTGTCAACTATTTTCCAACAATAACAAAGATAATGGTTGACAGAACTATATGTCAGCTTATTGAAAGTCTTCCACCCAAAGCTGCAAAAAAAGTCGAACAGTTTTGGGTCGAATTCAAATTAAAGAGTTATGGATATCAGGATGACGAAGAAGAACGTGAGTACGGACAAGAAACAGCAAAATGGCAATGTCTTAGCTCACTCAATCCCAAGTTCAAACCATTATTTTACTCAGACAACAACACAATTCAAGTACGCAAAATTGCTATTCATTTCGTTAACCAAGCAGAAGACATTGAAGAAGGAGACTCTATCTCAGTTTATGTTTGCTACTGCAAGTTTTTCAAGGACGAATTTGGAGGACCAATTCTCATGCATGTCTTCAAGCCACGTCAGCAACTCTACGTTGAAACTGAAATAACACTCATGCATGGAATGTATCTCAAGTTTGAAAGCCAATTGGAAAACACATACAACATTTGGCTTTCATACATTCAGTTCGATACACCAGATGACTTTGATGTTGAAGAAGAAGACTCTACTCAAGAAGATGAACCACAAGACTCAATCCAAGAAGAGTCCTCCGAATTCACACCAGAAGACTAACAATTTTCCGAATAAAAACCTCATTTTTTACTAAACATCTTCGGGGCTAGAAGGGGCGCAGCCCCTGGAAGCCCCACTACCTTTTTTTTTTTTTTTTTTTTTTTTTTATATCGCATGTAATTAGAATTGAAGTTATTTTTCAATCGTGGATTTCAATAATTAAGGGTTTCGTTTTGCGAAAAAAACGTACAATACGCAATTTCGCTAAAAAAACATTTAGCTAGCAATTTCGACCTTTGACTCCACTCAAGACGTCACTTTTTTAATTTTGCGGTATCATATTTTTGGAAAATCTTTATGAATATTATATAAAAAGTCTCTTTAATATCTATATTTCATATTTTTATCGATTTTTAAAGTTTTTGCGAAAAGTATTCAATTATTTTTGCTATTTGGTCGGGGAAATGTCAGATTTGCGACATTTTCTGATATGATATTCAGATTCTACGTTGATAATAATGCTTATAGAACCCTCTTGCTATTGTGTCGAAATTGCGAAACCGATAGCAAAAAAGGTAACTAAACTCCTTTCGCCGATCCGATTTGCTCCATATTTAAAATATAGCTTGCATATGTAGAAGAAAAGCTAATTTTGAAGTACGCCCGAAATCCACCAACAGGATTTCGAGCTACTAAAAAGGTACTTTTAAATGTGATTTTTTTTATAAAAAATTAAATTTATTTTAAGATCAGACTAAAAACTAATTTTATGGAAAATCTATATCGACAAATTTATTACTTATTGGGTATATAGATTTTTTGATTATGGCGATTATGTCTGATATGCTTCCAATAAGCCAAAACACATTTCATACTGATTTCTATAAAAGGTATCTTTATTATAGAAGTGTAAGCTATATCTGTTTGTTTTTTTATTATAACAAATTCAAAATTCTCTTATAAGGACTAGATGAAATCTGTATTATTAAATCATTAGCTAAATGAAGGTTCAAATAGAAAGTAAATATCAATTTCTATGATACTGAAACCAAATAGTTCTTTTAATAAAAGATAACACGCTGAAAATTATTGAGTATTTGCAAATCTCAAAAATCTATTGGTGAATTTGGCTCAACTTTTAAAATTATAACATCCATATCAAATCATAAAAGCAGACAAAAATTAAAGCCAAACCTATCGGCCAATTTTTTTTGATATTTTGATTTTTGAGGTATACTTTTAAAAGTGGATTTAAAACACTTATGAAAAAACATTAACTTCTGTCGTTATGATTATTGATTTAGACAATAATGATTTTAATCTTTGATTATCAAAACACTAAAGTCATCTTTTTAACATTTGCTTGGTAGCATTAACTCAAGTCTAAAGTACTATTTTATGTGGCACTCTTAGAATTTTTGTATTCATTGTACACGCTGAAATAGTACCATTAAAGTTATGGCGGACTTTCAAAAAATAGTTTGGTCACCTTTATAGCAAAAATATCTCGCAATATCAAAATTGAGATATTGAGTGAATTATGCATTATAGAGATTAAAAATCTGATTTGTGAAAACATCTCATCAGTTTCTAGCTAATTCAAAAATCTTTACTATCTTATTTGATTAAAATGAAAAGGGAATAGTTTCATTATGCTTTAAATGACAGCCTTATAATATAATCATAGTTTTCGCTCAATATGCAGCATTTTTTTTTCGAAATCTATGGTCAATGTCCTAAATTTAAAATTTATTATATCTCCTCATTCCTCATTATAATATATATTTATTTCTAAATTTCAAAATAAATCAGAACCTTGCCTCATAAAGTTTCAATTGATTTATTCATTGAAAAACAATATTTTGATAGCGTTTTGGCCGCCATTGACTCTTCTATTGTTAAGATTCCAGAGCTAGCTCATTTGAGGCGCAATGTTACTAAAGTATTCTTTAGACTTGTTAAAAATTGTTGCATAACAGATCTGCCGCATAATTTTGTCAATAAACTGCATTGACCAGTCTATTTCTTTGGAATACCTTCCAAACGATGCTAAAGTTAGTGATTTAACAACATCAATGCAATCACACATATCAAGTATGTGCAACGAATCGAAAATTACACAAGATAAAATTTCACTTGCTCTTGTTCTGAACAAAGCATCTAAATTCTGTGTTGAAATATCTAATGACGAAACATGTCCATTCTGCACGCAGACTCTTATCGGAAAGCCATTCTTAGTCTTTCCTTGCGGCCACAAATACCATCAAGAGTTTCTCAGTTCAGCGCAAAGAATGTGCATTGTGTGCAAACGCAGCAATCATGGACATTGGAGTTCCTTTTGTCGGAAATCCTCTTAAATGATCAACAGAAGTCAATAAACCTTAATATTTAAAATTTTTGTTAAATTAAACATGCACATTTAACTTTTCCTTCCTTTTCTGCATTATGAGAATAAATAAAAGTTAGGTTGCTCGTTGCTCCATGAGAAAGAAGAAGATTTACTGTATCTGGACTATTATTCTTATCTGTCCAATCAAGTACTGATTTCCTATTGTTGTCGATTGCATTGACATCAGCACCGTGCGATATCAAAAATTCAATAATACTAACTTTTTCGCCAAAAGCTGCATAATGAAGTGCGGCGCATCCATCTTTATCTCTTAAATTTACATCTATGCCATGAGATAGAAAAACTTGTACTGTATTTAAACGCCCCAAATATGCTGCCTTGTGAAAACAAGGTACATCATATTGACATTTTGCAGTATAATTCGCACCTTGCGAAATAAGAATTTCGAAAATTTCAGTTCATTCTCCCAATGCTGCACACGAAAAAGGAGTCTTTGACTCGTTATTTGATACATAGATATTGGAGCCATGCGAATTAAGAAATTCAGTTATTTCTATACGGTTATAATTAACAGCAATATGAAGAGGAGTTGATCCATTGTGATCTTTAATATTCACATCAAACCCTTGAGAAACAAAAAGTTCTGCAATTGCAACTTGATTATAATATGCTGCCGTATGAAGCGGTGACCATTGAAGTGTGTCTCGTGAAATAAAGTCAGCTCCATGCGAAATGAGATATTGGGCTGAATATACGCTATTATATTTTGCTGCGATTTGAAGACATGAAGCGTTACCAACAACTACATCTTTGATATGAGCATTGATATCTGCATTATGGCAACGAAAATATTCACAAAGGGATGGTATATTAAAACTCGCTGAATAAACTAAACATTCATTGATAGAGTTAGTTAGATCAAAATAAACAAAAAATGCTTGCAGATTGTGATATTTGCAGCATAACTCTATATTCGTTCATCAAAAAAGAGACAAAATCAATATTATGTGCAACAATTGAATAATCCATGCATGCATATGTTGGTTTGAGATGTTTCAAACATTCACTCATAATGTCTGGATTTCTGCCCAAAAACGAATATTCAAGACAAACATTGGTAAGTTCATAGTTAAATTTTGTTGTGAAAAACTTAAAACAATTAACTGAACCATGATAACAACACAATTCAAGATAAGAAAGATCAAACCAATGCATAGGATACAAATTTGTTTTAATTCTTTTGTTGGGATTAAAATCATCTCTTTCTGTGAAAGATATAAATGATTCTATGTCATCATTAAGAATTGCTCTGTAAATAGTGCTTTCTTCAAGAAATTCAAATGAATATTCGAATTTACTTTGTCGTTCAATTGCATTACGATATTTTTCAGACAATGAAAACCCATGTTCATCAGTGAGGTCACACCATAAAAAATATGGAATTGATAAATTGAACCAACTTGGGTGATATTCATCGTATATCATTTTGAAAAAAGCTTTGTATTGCTTATAATATCTTAAATTAAATGACACTGCATATGAAATAGATAATAAGATTTGATCAGGTGATCCATTTTTCGCTTCAAGAAGTTTTGTTTTAATTTCTTGATAAAATTCTTGAATTTCTTCGTCAGCGAATGTTTTAAGTCTGTATAATTTATTATATACATTAACAAAATCTTGAAATAAATTCATCAAATCAATGTAACTCCTCTGTGACATTGAGTTTAAGAATAAAAAAAAAATTATATGGCGGAAGTTGTGTGTGAACAGCTTAATCAAATTAAGCCAGAAGAAAAAATTAATCAGGTCATTAAGGAGCAGAAAGAATTAATTCAATTATTAGATGATACAGAACAAAAATTAAAAGATAAAACAAAGAATAGCCAAGAAAGACTAGCCAAAGCAATGGAAAGGATCACAGAATCTATTCAGAAATTAAATTCAGTCAAATCTCAATTAGTAAGTATCACAAATCGCGTTAATGCCCTCAAAAAGCAAACAGAAATCCTCGAACAGCAGCCAACAGCTGAAGCGGCTGCTCCTAAGGAACAGTAATCATTTTTTAAAGCTACTATTTTGTTTTAAAGAAATGTCAACAAATTATTTTTTTCTTATTTCCAAATATACGTGAGAAAACAGTAATATACAGTCAAAACAAAGAATTTTGAAGGTTTCGAACCGTATGAGTTTGAGAATGAGTGAATATTATCAATTTTATCCATAAGTTATATAAAAATATACTACAAGTTAATCGAAATATAATGATAAATTTTAACCAATAAAATAAGTTAACAAATAAATATCTATAAATTAATTTTCAATTAAATATCCTTGTGATAGGACTGTCATTAAATCTTCATCACCTATAAAGCAGTTTTCGAGCAATTCGAGCATTGACCAGTAAAGAGGATGCTCTGTTGGCTTTCTCTTTAAATTATCGCAAATTTCTTTGTTGTAAGTAGCGCAATCGGCAACAATCTCCTCAAGATTAGCTTCAGCGAAGTGGTAAGTTGAATCTGAATAGCCCAGATTCGAAATATACTGTTCTGCAATTCTGGTAAAGATTTCTTTTGGAAATTCTTCTTCACTTTTGTCCTTTGAGTTGAAGAAAACGAATGCCTTCATTGCATCTCCTGCGAGTTTTGTCTTTCCCATGTTTGCCATGACAGGACTGATAAATCTGAGCATAAACATGGAAGAAATCGCAAGTAATGGGACTAATCTATCAGGATATTTACGTCTCGTTGCTCTGAACGTTGCAGAAATCAAGTTCTTCATTTGTAGAGGAAGATTTCCGTAATCTCTTGTAATAATTTCGACAGTTTCGATCTTTGACTGGCAGTTTGCAGCTTTGTTGACTGTTTTGTCAATGAAATCGTAACCGTAGTTATCGGAAATCATTGAAAAAAGTACAGAACAAGCGGATGCTTCTCTAAAGATGGTATTTTCGGCAATTGTGTTCTTAATTTGGGTTCCGAACAAATATCTAACAAGAGTTGTGACGGTTCCTGAATACAAAACGTATTGAACTAAATTAATAAAAGCTTTTTTGCCTGGCTTTGAAACTGCAACGGTACCGAAGGCGCGAACGAAATCATAAACATCGTTCGAGATCAAATTCTTCATCTGGTCGTAGAAAATCGAAGGAATTTTGTCTTTAAATTCCATCATTACAGGAATACAGCTAAGAAGGGTAACTAAAACGTCAGAGTTGTCATTTTGTGCATCTTTCCAGATGCAAATGCTATTTTGGTTCGTAAATTTATATACTCCAAACCCTTCGAAGGAAATTGTGTTTTCTTTGAAATTAATATCTTCAATAATGCCTTCAAGACTGAAAGTTTTGACTACTTTGTTGGTATCCATATCAACGAGGTTGACGGTTCTATCTCTCTTTATGATAATCCAATTCTTCTTTCCTGCTTCATCGATTACTGGGAAAATGCACAAGATTGTGAGGAATGGCCTTGTTTTAAGTTGCTCTTTGAATGTTTTTGGAAGAAGACCTAAAGCAGTTTTAGAAATAACTTCCATCTTTTGCTCGTATGTGGGCAAACGATCTAAAATTACTTGAGTAAGCGATATTATGCTGTTAAAAACATTGGCAATTCGTGGAGGGAACTCTAATGTGAATTGAGCAGCTGTCAATTTGATTGGTGATAAGGAAACATTTAATTTGTTAGGTGGTAGGATATCAGGGTAGCATTGGATAAGTCTCATGAGATCTGATGTGAGTTGATTGTCTGATACGTTTGAATCCGAGAATGCAGCCATGATTGAAGATGGATTTGTGCATGATTTAACGCGCTCATATAGGTCTGTAAATGATAATTTCGGCGAATCCTTTATAAACTGGTTCCAGTATTCATCAATATCTGGTGAGAATTGAACTTTTCTCGGTGGACGCTGGAATCTAAAGCGAAAATTCACTTGCTCATATGTTGGCTTGACATACGGTGTTTCCTCCCCTTTCATAGGAGGAATTGTAAATCCTATGTCTTTCCGGACTACTGTCATACAAATATTTTTTTTTTCTAGATCCGCAATGCTTTGCAAAAGTCAAAATTGCTAAGTTATCTTATTGATTTAATATCGCATACAACTGACGTGATCAACAATTTTTTGAATGAATTTATTTTTGATATGATTTTAGCTGATGATTAAGATTTAATAATTTTTGGAAATCTATTTTTTGAGAATTTTGAAAGATGCTTTGAAAATTGAAGGCAGGCAGGTAAAAGATGATTTGTTCAAAATCATACGCTTATACTTAAATATATTGAAATTACAATTATTGAAATGGATACTCTTAGATTTTTGTAAGTCAAGAAAATCTTTTAATTATATAGGATATTGTATTTTAATCATTATATTATATCGATTATTGTAAGGGTTTCGTTTTGCTAAAATTGTCACTTTTATAGCATATTTGTTTTTGGATGTTTTGCGAAACCAAAAAAAAACTATGATATACAATGTGTGTGTAAAGAAAATACTTTATTTACTAGTTAAAAAATCATTTGGTATTGATCAAGTTATTTTTTCTGGATAAGATATTATATGGATAATTGGATAGAAAATACAATTATATAATCTTGTACCTGGTTTAATTAAGCTAATTGTCATCAGAAACTTGTAATTTTTATGAATTTCAGATTTTCTTTTCATTACTGCTTTTCTTAATAGGTCAAGTTCTTATTTACGTTATAAAGTATGATATTTACAAATATCAAGTTATCATGTTTTTTGAGAAATTATGAGAAACAAACAAAAATGAAAAAGATAGGAATAGCAATGAATAGTGATGTGGGTATAGAAAATGTAAGAGATATGAATGCAAAGCAATCAGTATTTAGGACATTGACCATAGATTTCGAAAAAAAAATGCTGCATATTGAGCGAAAACTATGATTATATTATAAGGCTGTCATTTAAAGCATAATGAAACTATTCCCTTTTCATTTTAATCGAATAAGATAGTAAAGATTTTTGAATTAGCTAGAAACTGATAAGATGTTTTCACAAATCAGATTTTTAATCTCTATAATGCATAATTCACTCAATATCTCAATTTTGATATTGCGAGATATTTTTGCTATCGGTTTCGCAATTTTGACACAATAGCAAGAGGGTTCTATAAGCATTATTATCAACGTAGAATCTGAATATCATATCAGAAAATGTCGCAAATCTGACATTTCCCCGACCAAATAGCAAAAATAATTGAATACTTTTCGCAAAAACTTTAAAAATCGATAAAAATATGAAATATAGATATTAAAGAGACTTTTTATATAATATTCATAAAGATTTTCCAAAAATATGATACCGCAAAATTAAAAAAGTGACGTCTTGAGTGGAGTCAAAGGTCGAAATTGCTAGCTAAATGTTTTTTTAGCGAAATTGCGTATTGTACGTTTTTTTCGCAAAACGAAACCCTTAGTTATCTTAATATTTATCAAAATTTTTCTCACAGAATTTTTTTTGAGAAAATTCGTTGATATGAAATTTTTATTATGAAAGCAGTGCTGGATAAATTTTTTCTTTCTCTCTCTCTTTATTTTAACATCAAGAGATGTAGGATTAGGTGTTTGACCTTCAAATGAATTCCAAACTCGTCTAAAATCACATTGATACAACAACATCCATATTTTATCTACTGCAATTCAAATTTAACAATTCATCCAAGAGTCAACAAATCACAATACGACATCAGCATTAACTTTCCAAATGATATTACGAATTCCTTTGTTTTTAAAAAAGAAAATCACTTATATTCAAGCACGTTTTTTCTCTTTTTTCCTGCTTTGACTATATTTATTTCAGACATACAATATAAAATCTGAAAAGGTACAAATTTATAAATAAAGGTATACATTCAAGTTCGTTATTATTAATTTCTAAAAAGATAATCCTATCTAGTTTTGTTTTGTTTTCTACTTTCAGAAAGTTCATCTACTAGTGTTTTTCAATATAAAGATGCAAGTAATGAAACTATTATTGGTTGTTCCGGATCATCTGATGACATTGTTATCCCTAAATATGTCAAAGAAATATATTCTGAATACCCCGAAATCCCAGCATTTGATAGCTGTTTAAATAACATTCTATCAATTAGTTTCGAAGAAGATAGTCAAATCATGAGTATTTATAACTTTAGCTTTAGTACGTCGGTGTCAATCAGATCAGCAGATCTCAGTAATTGCAATAAACTGACATTTCTCAATGGAACATTATTTGAATTTTGCAGTTTGAAAACAATTTCACTTCCTAAAACCATTATAGGAATAGGGGATGGATGCTTTTCTGGATGCCTTCTAGAAACTATAAATTTTCCAAAAAGATTGACAGTGATTGAATCATATGCATTTTATAAATGTCAACTAACAAACAGAACTTTACCAGAAAATTTAACTTATATAGCAGATGGTTTATTTTATGAATGTCCACTAACAAGCATCATTTTTCCAGAAAATATAACTTATATAGGAGATAGTTCATTTTATGGGTGTAGACTAACAAACATCATTTTACCAGAAAATTTAACTTATATAGGAGATAAATCATTTTGTGGTTGCTCACTTACGAATATCGTAATTCCAGAAAAAGTTACATATATTGGGAATTATTCATTTGCAGGATGTCGACTTACTAATTGCACAATCTTAGCAAATATAACATCTATTGGATATAGGGCATTTTCATATTGTTCAATCAAAAATATTACAATTCTATCTATGATAGCTAAAATTGGAAATAATGTATTTGAAGATTGCAGATTATTAACAAACGTCTTAATTCTCGGAAATTTAGCATCTCTTGGAGAGAGAACCTTTTATTTATGCACGAGCTTAACAAATATCACAATAACTAGTTGTTTAACATATATTGGAATAGAAGCAATTCCGGATTCGATTGCAATCAAAGATATAACATTTCGAGTGAGTTCTGCAATTATTTCATATAATGCATTTCGCGAATACACAAACTTAACAAGTGTCACATTGATAGGAGATGTAAAATCAATTGGCGGTGCTGCATTTTCTAATTGCATATCATTAATAAATTTCACAATAACAGGAATTGTGAAATCAATTGGCGGTGCTGCATTTTTTAATTGCACATCACTCACAAATTTATCATTCACATCGAATTATGCACCTATTGGAAATTATGCATTTTGGAATTGTACATCATTAAAGTATATTTCACCAATATGGAGTGTAACATCTATTGGAGATTATGCATTTTCATATTGCAAAAACATAACAAATATCACATTCACTGGATGTTTAACTTACATTGGAGATCGTGCATTTGATACTTGTCGATCGTTATCATGTATTACATTCCTAAACAATATCAATGTAATTTCAGTTGGAAACTTTATATTTTATGATGAAAATGGTGTTCCGTTTGGTATGGATCCAAAAAATATCTCCATTCCTGGAAAGTTTTTAATTTATATTGGTAATCAAGGTTATTTCCAATTTAGATACGGAAGTCACCTATTTGTAACACGTCGAACAATTTTAACAGATTCAATAAAAAATCTTTTTGATAGGAAATCAACTTATGTTCATTATGATAACAGAGCAGGTCTTTCTGATCAAAAAACGATTGAAATTCTTCAATACATCTCTATTGATGACATCACAATTCCTTATGTTCCTATAACAATCAATAACAACGTATATTATAAATCTAATTATATCCGCCTCTCTCTTACTATCACGCTTAACACACGTCCTGTTAATTGAATAAATCATATTTTTATCCATATTTCTATTTCTCATAATTTCTTAGACGTTAATCTCTCAGATCAATGACAAATATTTCAAAGACTATTTATTTAAATTTTATTAATGTGTATTAAGGGTTTTCCTACAAGTGCAAAAAATGCACAAAAAGGATTATTCTAAATTCGATCTGTGGATTATTTGTGCATTTAAAAATCAATCCGTGTAAAGTAGTCAAATATGAATGCAAATTCTTTCTTTTATATTTTTTTGCATAACCAACTGTTGCTATTCTTTATTAATGGATTTGATTTTTAATAATGATCAACTCCAAAATTTTTCAAAAACGCAAAAAAATTCAAATTCAATCTTAAATAATCTTTTTTGCGCATTTTTTGCACCCTATGTAAAACCCTGTATTAAAAGAGATAGTATATTTTTCAGTACCGAGATTGATTGGTAATTAATAAATTTATGTCTCTATAAAGTTCAATCTAAATTTATTTATTGAGATTGAATCTTTGTAATTACAAGCCCTTAATTGCAGATTCGGTATTGCAGTTGAATTTAATAAATATTGAAGTTGATAAGAACAAAAATCGAAACTATATCAATCATGCTGTAGATTTGGAGGAACTGCAAAACTATAACAGCAAAACAGTTCCAAAAAATTAGAATATCTGTTATATTTCAATCAAATCAATTCTAGAATGAGGAAATAATGATTAAAATTCACTCAATTTTTCACTTTTCGATTGGATAGTTTTATAAAAAAATTTCAAGATTTCAAACATAATTCCATGGAAATTTTGATTTATGAATTCAAACAATATATTAATCTTCAAACAATGGATCTCCAATTCTTTGTTTGAGCTGTTCAGTACGGATCTTACTTTCATTATACTCTTGTTGTTCCAGAAGGCGATTCTTATCACGGATTTCATCGAGCATATACTGTGTTTGTAAAACATCTTCTTTGTTTTTACGAGCATTTGAAATGACACGATCAAGAGCTTGTTGCAATTGATTGAAATCTGGAATTCTCATTGTCAATGCCTGTAACTTAGCTTCGTTATCAGCAATTGTTGCATTAATATTAGTTGTTTCTTCGATGATCCTTTGAAGATGGTCTTCCAATTGTTTTGTCTTTGAAAGCTGTATGTCGAGTGCAGATTGACTTCTCTTCTTCTCATTCTTAAGGAGATGTCTTAGTCTGTCATTTTCTCGTTCCGCATCTAATAATTCATGTGTTTTGAGGTTTGCCATGTAAGAATCGTTTTTACGATGTATCAAATCGAGTTCTTCTTTAGCACGGTCTAAATCAGCCATCAAACAACTTTGATCATATGATATTTTCTGGAATTCTGCTTGAAGTTTTTCTTTTTGATCGATTAATTGTTGATGATACTCCTTCTTTTGAATCATTTCTTGGTTCTTTTGACGCATCTTCTTCAGTTTCATTGTATTTTCTTGTGTTTCTTTGTGGAACTTTTCTTTCATTGTTTGAATACTTTGGAGTTTATTTTGGAGCTTTTGTTCATAAGTTTGTTGGTTTTCTTCACGGATTTGCTGATGCCTATCAACAGCATCTTGTGCCATGATAATAGTTCTTTGTAAAACTAGTTTTTGACCAACAACCATTCTAATCATTCTTTTTTGATGTTTATTATCTGCTAAAGCATCTGCAAGTGCTTTCTTTTCGTTTTCTAGTAACTGTTGCGCTCCTTTTATCTTTTGTTCTTGTTCAAATTGTTGTTTCTTTAATTCTACTTCGAATTTAGAAGATAATCGCATATGAGTAGCTAAAAGGGCTGAAATTTTATCTTTGATTATCTTGATATATTGGTTTGGAGATCGTAAAGGAATGTCTTGCTCTGGATCGATATCAAAAAATTGAATTTTTTTCTGTCTGCGAAAATTGTAAATCATATCTCTCATTAAAATTTGAAGTTCATCGAGCTTGGATGCTTCTTTCTCTAAATTTGTTATTTGTTGCTTTTTATCCATTAAAAGTCTTCTTAATTTATCAACTTCAGCTTTAGTATTCATTAGATCTTCTTGAGTTGGTGTTCTCGTAAGCTTTAATCGGCTGCCTTGTCGTGTGTTAAGCCGAGAATTGCCACGAGAATTCATAAGAAGAAAAAAATAACAGATTTTTGACACGATTTAATTTTAGGGGGAATAACCTCCCAAAAATATTTTTTCATGAATGGATATCCTGTTGTTGAAGTTGGTAAAGATCAGATTATACTACCTCCAGATATCCATGAAATGATCAAAAGAAAAAGTAGCCGTGATCCAAGTTCAAGGTTTGCGAATAAACTTCATATCTTATTAAAATTTGCAGGAAGCGATCCGAAAATGATAGAATATATTGGCGCGGGTTGGATATCAGATACGCAATTTAGAATCAATAAAAAGCGATTAGGCGCAGTTATGGAAATTAAACTTAATACATTGAACGTTAATTTACGTGATCTTGGGTTTCAACAATTACAACAAGATAAGAACGGTTGGACAGAGTGGACTCGTGAGAAATTTACTATCACAAGTACCTTAAGTGACCTTGCAGATATTACTTCAGATAAGAACGGCCAAAAAGATGTTGCCAAGCAACTCAAATCTTCAAATATTGATGATTCACAGTCCTCTAAGTTTGTTATTTTGCGTGATGTAATGATCAGCAAATGCGACCCAGAAATCCAGCAGCAATTTAGAAGATTCACCGTTTCAATATGGGATGAACTTATAGAAGCTTCCGGTGGAAAAACTACATTCACACTTGACGATTTTATTTTTTTAGCAGCTAGACGCTTCAGAATATCAAAGCAGTCATTAAAAAATGCGACGCAACTAATACGAGTTATATTCTTATGCGCCGATACTACACAAGTAACGTTATCCGATTTTACAAAATTTATGGCCAAATTTGGTCCAGAAGAAACATTAATGGAGAAGGTCGGCGGCATGCTCTCTTCCTCAAACCATCATGGAAATTGGCTTAATGTTACTACAGATCCTTCAGGGCTTTCAAATCCTGATGGTCTTTATGGATATTTTGATAATACAGAACAGAACTGCATAATATTTGTTTATCAGAATATATTTACCTTCAAGGTATGGAATCGAGTAAATGTCGCATCTTCAGATGGAAAATACTTGGTTGATCAGAATGACAACGAATATGACTCATGGGAGCAGTTTTTCCAAATTAATCCAATGAAAATACAAGAGCCATCCTTAAATCCACTCGGAGTTTTTTGGTAATATTTATTTTTTTGTATGTATATTTTTGATTTTGTTTTGTACGGTAAATATATTATATTTTATTCTGATTTATTAACTGAAAAAACAAATACACTGATTATAATCTGAATTTTTGAACGTCGCATTTGGGTATTTCGATTGGAAACAATTGCAATATAAATGCAATCATTGAACGCTGATTAGTTTCAAGTATTTCAGCAATACATGCCACTAAAAGTCATCTCTCAATTTTAAACGTATACGAATAATAAATGGATCTTTCATTGGTAAATAGGTTTAATGATGTTCTCGAAAGCCAGGATGTTGATACATTAAGGGCTGCGTTGCAAAATTTAATGGTTCTTTTTGAAACTCAAAACAGAAATTATCTCGAATTAAAACAGCAAGTTAAAAATCTCAAAATAAAGAAGCCAAATATGGTTGTTGAACAATGTGAAGAGATATCAATTGATCCAGAAGATAACAGACCTCCATCAAATGATATAATTGACGATTCATACGAATTACTGGCATCTATTCGTCGATCGCGAAAAGTTCACAATAGGACCATTGCAGGTGTTGAAAAAATGTTAAATACTCTATGTACAAATGAAGAAAATAGAACAAATCAAATGGCTAGCATATTGAATTCCGAATGAATGGCGCCATTTTCTGTGTTTGAATACAATAAATCTATGTTGTTAATCTGAGTTTTATTAATTCTTTTCATTATTTTTTTTTATTTAACATTATACTTAACCACAATGAAGTTTTATTATACTTGAGTCTATGGCATTTCATATTACAAGTAAGATTTATGTTTTCTAATTTTTTCAACAAATATATATTGTTATTTCACTGTTAATTGTATGCTTAATAAATGAAAGTCAAATGTATCGATAAAACAATAAAAAATGCATTTTTTATAACTTACAATCTATTTTTTTTAATTCTCAACAGGTCCTAAGTCATCTTCTATAAGAATTATCTCTCTTCCACTAGCCCATATTGGTTTGACATCTCCAGAAAGAGAAAGTTCTCCGAATATTCTATTATTTCTAGTATGAGTGACAATACCTTGATAATTCATGTTCTCGCCAGACTTAACAAAGATTACATCACCAGGGAATACTCTACGTCCAATACGATCATGAACTGAGTTATCATCCGGAATTATTGGCAATTCAACGTTCAAATCCATGGAAATGGATCTATTCGTAAATATAAGTAATGTCAAGCACTTTTCGTCTTTGTGTGTAACAACAGCAATCTCCCTTGTAGGTAATTCAACCATCGAATAAATTTCGGGTTGAGTTGCATGACTTGTATATGAGCGCATAATAACAGGGATGTCTAAAATCTGTGTTTGCTTGTGATTCTTGGACCCTTCTAAACTGTATTGAAGAGCTACAGATTTTGGTGGTTTTCCAGATAAAATTTTAGTAACTCTTTGTGGTTGGATCTGTTTAACAATCTTTTCTGATCTCTTAGCTTGAGGCATAGGCTCTTGATCTGAAGATGAAGAAGATGAAGATTCCGAAATTGAATCTTCTGAAGAAGATTCTGACGATTCAGTTGATTCATCTTCTTCCTCTTCAAGTTCCTGTTTTTCTTTCCTCCTTGATCTTGATTTCTGTTGTTTGTTTGGATTTGGTTTTCTTCCTCTATGTTTTGGTGCCTCATCTTTCTTAGGACCACGACGAGCAGGCTTAGGAGCTTCGTCATCTTTGACTGCCTTTGGTTCTTTATCGGTTTCGGATTTAATTCTCTTCTTAGCTTTGTCGGTTTCTTTTGGCGGAGTATCAACTGTTTGCTTTGATGTATCTCTTCTAGAATGAGTGAAGTAAATTATTCTATCTCCGATTGCTCTCTTTTCTTGATTCGAAATCTTTGTATTGAAAAGAAGATTGGAGACACTAACTCTCATGATTGTAGTTTTTCCTTCAAAATATGAATCTTGGAACATGTATCCGCGTGCGACTTTTGCGTAATTGGAAAATGAAATGTGGATATCTTCTTCTTGAAGAGGTAAATTTGCTCTTGTTGCGGCTTTGATACTAAATGGAGTAGGAGCGTTAACAGTCATATTCAGCTTTGGTATGTCAACTCTTGGAATAACACGAATATAAGCTTCTTTGAGGTCTTCTCTTACATCAAGAATTTCGCATACATCATTTTCGTAAGGTGGGTAATGCAATCTCGCATATGCTTGTTCTTTGGGATCAAATAAATGGGAAAATCGTATATTGCAAAATATTTTCACAAAATCATCTGAATTAAGCCATTCGTAGCGACGGCCGGCATAAGATTCTTCGAATTTTTGGCGTTCAGTAACTTCAACATATAAAAAGCTATCAACTGGCGGAATTGTGAACACGGAAATTACGCAATCGATTTTTTGCAGTTCGAGAAGATTGTTGTTGAGATTTTTGTCTGAAACTCGTACTAGTTCGATTTTTGCAATCGAAACGTTTTTCAATTCCTCCAAAAGCTTCTTCTTTTCTTCATCAATCGTTTTTGGAGTATCTTCACCTTGAATTGTAAGATTCATATATTCTTGTTCAGTAATAGCTCTCTGAATTATACCATCAGAACTCATTTTGATTTTTTATTTTGAAAGAAAAAAAAAGTAAAACGAAAAATTGAAATCGCTCATTAATTTTACATTCTCTAAAATTCTAAATGGTAGGGGTGATATAGTCATCCTATCTAATATGAATTCAACCACCAAAAAGTGATGTTTGAAACTTTTTTGTTACGACTGGGATCTGCTTCTTATGTTTCAAATGGATAGAAATTGAGAATTTTGGCCTTGTGCTATTGTTAGAATAGTTCGAAGTGGATCTATCTATAGATAAGTTAATTATAATTCTATATTATATTATGCCAATTTTTTTTGAAATTAATATCCATATCATTAAATTTCATATAATCATTGTACATCCTCTAATTTAACATAATTTATTGTATTTTAGCGATATTTATGAAGTTATCAAGAAAACTCGATGATAAAAGAAAAATCAAGCCTATTTATATAAGATAATAGGATTTAAGTGCTGCCATAATAAAATTGAACAAAAATAATTATATTTCTATTATTTAAATTCTTCATTATATATGAAGATTCTTTCGAAAAATTAATTTGAATAAAAAAATTCTTCAAAGAATTGAATATTTAAATTTTTCGAATATCAAAAATATATTATTTCTCTTTGTTTCTTGTGATAACGATTTTTAGGTTAATTTAAAGAACCTAACAACATACAATTAAAGCCATTCTAATGCTATTCATCTAGTTTCAGGACTGTTTTGAAAATCTGTCATTTTTGAAAAAAAATGTCAATGAGAATAAATGTTTATGAGCTTCCGCAAAACAATTATTATAAAACTAAACTAGATATCAATGATGAACCAATATTTCTTCTAGGTGATGTAATTAAAGGCGAAATTGTTATAAATGATTCAGAAGAACTCTTATCGAAAGCAAAATCCTTCAAAATACAAATAACAACAAATTCGTTTTCAAAAGGAATACTACAAGCAACTAAAATTATCGAAACAATTCAATTTTCTGATCTTGAAAAAATACAAAATGTTCAACCATTTGAATTTCAACCACTAAAAATAACATATCCAACATATCAGAGTGATAGAACTAATATAGTTTACTTTTTAGAAGCAATTGTTGAAAAATCAATGAAAACTATTACTGAAACACTACCTATCGTAGCATTAAAGGCTGACTATAGACAATCTTCCCTCAGAGAAATGGTTATGCCTATAAATAACGAAAATCCTAGCTACGATGTTTCAATTTCGTTAAAATCTACTGTATCATCGATATTTGACTCAATATCTGGAAAGATAACAGTAAACAGAGCTGATCCAAACTCAATTACTAATTCATATATCATTATTTTAACAGAAGAAATTTTAAAAAATTCTCAAAACAACAAAACACATGAAATATGGCATTGCAAATACCAAATTATGGATGGGACACCTCGCCCAGGCTCGCAATCGCCATTTACTCTTCAACTTGGTCCAATGAAACTTTGGACACTTCCTCCTGCAAACGACTGCTTTATTCGATCAAAAATACTAATGAGATATGTTGTAGAAGCATCAGATGGAACTTCTCAACAAGTTACTCAAACTCTTGGATTATATTTACCAAATATCGCTTGCAATCGTCAATAACTACTTATGTAATAGTAGTTTTTATATTATCTGGGTTATTTTTTTGTTTATTCCAATTTTTCCTTAATTTAGGAAAAATTAATCCTTTAATATTTCTTTTTCATGTATGTAATCATTTAGTCATGATATAGTTCATACATGTGACTTCAAAGATATCATTTTCTTATTGTTTTGTAAATTTACATTTAATATTTTTTAATTTTCCAATTCTATTTTTTGTTTTCCTCTTAAATATCAATTGTAGTGATTGTAAGAAATACTATTGTTATGTTAACTCCTGTTACTCTTACATAATTTAATAAATCTCTTAATTTCAAGTTTAATGATATTGGTGAACAAAACTTCTACACATTTTTCATTTATCTACAGAACTTAGAAAGGAATCAAATAAAATAGGAAATTAATGCTATCTTTTTAATGTTTGTTGTTAAATATATAAAGATTATACATTTATTCCTGGACCAGAGTCTTCTTCTTTATCTTCATTGTAAAGATTTTCAGGTTGAGAGTTTTCTTGTGCGTTTTCTGGTTCAGTCTCTTCTTCGAATATACAACCCCGCATGACATCCCAGCCAATCAGAGCCCAAATGAATCCGACAACAAAACCAGCAAGAACATCATCAGGATGATGTTTAAAGTCTCTTATTCTCGATGCACCAACATAAAATCCATACAAAATCGGAGCCGAACCTAATAATATTCCAAACATGATTTTCGTTTTTATAAATCTTTGAATGAAAAGTCCAAGAACTGTCATGCCTGAAACACCCATTTGCGCATGCCCTGATGGCCAGCTTTGGAACAAATCATAATAATATGAATCACTTTTTACTTTTGAACAATTATTTCTTCCATTAACGTTGGTACTATTACAGACAGCAAAAACATTTGGCCTTGCTCTTCCCGTATAGTTTTTGAAAATTGAAACAATAATTGCTGACCAGAATTCTATTATTACAATATCCCAAGCTAGTGTAAAAGGTCTAAACTTTCTGAAAAATTTAGGAAAGAATCTTTGTAAGAGATATGCAACAACAATTGTAAAGAAATATATAAGAAACTGATACAACATTAATCTATCAAATCGGACTGTACTTGAATGATAAGGAAAATTTGAGTTTGAATCATTAGGTGGAACATGTAATGGATTCGACTTCACATATAAGAATAGTATCTCGTAGACAACACATAGTAAACCAGCAATAATAAAGTTCGGGATATCTAGTTTCTTCCAGTTATTTTTTGCAAACTCTTTCATTGGATATTTTTTCGAAAAATGAAATTCAATATTGTGAAAAAAATTGAAATCACAATTCTGAATCGCCTTATATTCAATTTTCAGTACTTAGCCGTTTCATATCAAAACTATAATTAATAAGAAACAATATAAAATAAATTTTACTCAGGATCTCTTAATTTCCACAAATTAAAGAACTGTTTTAGGATACATGAACTCCTTTGAATTTAAGGCAAAAGATTACAAAACAGCGTTTCGAAAAAATGAACCTTTTCTTAAATAGGAAACATAATTATTAATTTTTGAATAATATTCAAATTGTCATAGTATGACATTATTTACCATTATAAAAATGTAATCAGAATACGATTATGATTCATTGGAATCGATTTTCATTTCAAAATATATCATAGTTGGCTCCGAATAAATCGGCTCAGGAGTGCAGAATAGTTAATAATTTTCAATAAGTACTAATAGGATATCTTATTAAATAGATTTACAATGTTTGAAGGTTCGTTTACATTTAAATTTCTTTTTGTTACTCTTGTGTTGTAAACAGAAATTCATCAAAAGTGACACCTCAGAAAAGCTAAAATATTGAATTTTTGGAACTCTTGATAGAGCACGTTTTTAAATATTAATTAAAGTAAATGTATATTTTGTAAAGATTCTTTTTAATAAAAAAATAAAATTTTGAAGAAGAACACAAAATCTTCTGAAAAATAATATCACATAAACTCATATTATTTTCTAATATATAACTATTTTATATAAAAATCAAATTCAATGATCTTAAAAGCGAAGGATAAACCTCAAAATTTACGAATATAATGAGTGGGAATATAATGCTTATCTATCATAAAACCATATGAAATATCAATTTTTGCTTTACGCCTAATTTTTGACGACAATTAGCAAAAAATGTTAAATGCTAACACTCAGTCCATTTGAATATGAAAAATAAAATTGACTTTGATTAAATGTTTTAAAATTCAGCTCGAAGTTGATTTATATTGAACAAAATTAGAATTGAAATTATTTCTTTTTATTTAAGCAGTAGTTTATGAGGGCATGAAAACATTCCATCTCTAATGAAGGGATTAGTGTCAGAAATATTGGTGATTTGACATATTTACCACATTGAATTGAATCTCAATTTTTTTCCCCTGAAATTATGTGTAACTTAGACAATGATACTTCAGATTAATGAGCATATATTGGAGGCAGCAAAAAAATAATGACATCTATACAATGCCAAAATAAAGCTCCTATAATTGTGATTAAATATTTCTCAGATTTTTTTGGAAAAAGCACTGATAATCGAGATGATTTGTATTTCACTTCAATATGGTAAGTTACAGTAATGTGTTGCCTTTCAATAGAACACGTTTTATGAAAAATTTGGATATCCTTGAATTATAAATGACTTTCTTTTTTTGTTTATAGGCTGCTTTAATCAATGGTGAAATCTATAATATATTTTGATCAATACTGGGACCTAATTTATCATGAAAATATTCATCTTGACGAAATTTTGTACATCTGGATGGGAACTAACATCTTAATTACATATTCTCCGAATATCTATTAAAATGCTTAAATAAACCAGAATTGATTTAAGGATTTTTATTCTGATAATTATGTTCTTAATTCATATGCAAATGTTAGTGTGTATCTTCAAAATTTGATGACACATACTTAAAAACTATGAATTCAAAGTAAAATGTTATTTCCATTGTAATTTTCTTATAAATTAAATTATTGGAACAAGAATCATTCAAATATAAAATCCATGCAATTGGCGTATTGCATTTCATTCTAATACATTAATAGCTGAACCTATCGATTAATTGATGAAAAATTTGAAATAAGAATCAATTGAAACCTAATTTAGAATCAATGGATCTTACTCTTATTATTCACCTATTGCAAATCTGAAATGTTTTTTCTCCAATAATCGATTTTTAAAATTTAAACAGGAAATTATGTATAAAATTACCAGCAAACCATTTTCAAATTTTTACCTCAACCTCCATAAAATAGCATCAAAAATTGAGAGAAATCACGATAGATAATTCAAAAGAATCGATTTCAAAATAAAATTTTACATAAAAATGAGCCAAGATCCAAATAATCCAGTTGTTGATCAACTTATTGTCGAACAAACTCTTCCAACAGAAAATAAGTCTCAAGATGATCAAGTTGATCCTTCGGCGCAAGGAAATGTCGAAAAGAAAGGCGATTTTGAAAAATTTGATGTTGAAGAAGAACAAGAAAAGGAAGGATATTTCGGAACCATCATGAATCTTCTTAATACTATTCTTGGAGTTGGTATTCTTGCTGGACCCTTTGCATTTCGTCCGACCGGCTTAATTCCATCAATCTTTTTACTCGGATTAATGGGCGTCCTTTCAAATGTTGCAACAGTGCTTCAGTGCAAGTTACAAAGAGATACAAAGACAGCAGGCCTAGATGATCTTTGTCTCGAAATATTTGGAGGTGCTGGCCAAACAATTGTATCAATTTTAACATTAATATTCTGTATCACATGCAACCTCGCATATATAATTATCGCAGTTAACAATTTGGTTTTATGATTTTCAAAATATGTCAATCTTGTGGAACCACTATGGAGAAGATCAGTAACTTCATTAATATATTGCCTTATTCTACCTGTTCCGCTTTCTTTCCCTAAGTCAATCAGATTTTTATCATTTTTGTCAACTTTCACAATTCTTTTAATGCTTTTCTACTTTGGCGCCTTCATTGCTCAGGGAATTATCCATTTCCTTATCAAAAGCAACAAACCAGCAGAAGGCTTTTCCCTTGGTAAATTTAAAGGCATCAGCGTATTTCAGTCAATTGCACTTTTGAGTCTCGGATTTACACTTCCATTATGTTCACTTCCAATTCTTGATAAGTTCAATCAAGAATTGAAACCTAGAAGAATTGCTCTTGCAATAACAACAACACTTGCTTTCATAATCGTTGTGGTACCAAGCTGCTTAGGATATGTAATGTTTGGAGACCAAACAAAGCAGGTTATTTTGCAAAACTTTACAGATAATAAATTATTTATTGGAGTTGGTGCATCGTTCTTTGTTGCTGTTACATTTTCTTATCCATGCCTTAACAGACAAATTCTTTCTTCATGGTCAACTATCATTTATAGCGAAGGTGATCCATTCAAACTTGATAAGTGCAAATATGCAGCTGTTCAATTCATTTCCCATGTTTTTCCAGTTGCATTTGGAATGGTTGTTCCAAATTCAGGTCCAATTCTCCAAATATGTGGAGCTATTGGAGGTTGCATTGTAGATTTCTCAATTCCTGCTCTCCTTTGGCTTGTTTACAGAAAGCCTGGCTGGAAGAGCTGGGATCTCTATGGATGCATCTTGCTGTTCTTATTTGGCTTAGTTTCTTGTGGTATTAGTTTATACTTTGGTATAACTGATCTAATTTTACAAGTCAAGGAGACTCCAAAGTGAAGTATGTTTCTATTTTTAGATAAAGACTTTCTATGATTGATAATTTTTGTTCATATTTTTTAAAGAGTTTTTAATAGCCTGTATCACATTACTTATGTTTATATTTTGAGGAGAAACTCAATGCAATAGCTGTGCTTTCACTCTATTATGCAAGAACATAAATTCTATTTCGAATTTGTCGAATCCATTCTATTTTTTAAAAAAATTCATTAGTATATTCCAATGCAATAAGTTATTTCATTGAATAAATCCGAAACTTTTTTTTCCACGTGGCATTTTTTTTGAAATTTCTAAATATCATTAAAATTATATGAAAGCCCTCGAATATAAGTATGCAGCTTCACTAGAAATTATTATCAGATTGGATGACTTCAGTAGATTTGTTGATTTCGTTATTAAAAACTCAATAAATGTCAATTCTCGATTTCCAGCTATGCAAAACCGAAAGATTTCATTTGCACCACTTATTGCTGTTGCCGCTTACTTTCATTCTTTTACTATTTTTTCAACATTGCTCCAAAAATCAGTAGATATTGACTTTTCAAAACTAAAAATGCAAAGAGTTAAGCCACTTTTACATTATGCACTAGCTGGCGGTCATAAGGGCATTGTTGAACTGTTACTTGATAATAACTGCGACTTGGAAAATGCCTTAATTCCTTGTATTAGATATGGACATTTAGAATTAACCAAAAAATTTGCAGAATTTATTCAAAATGATAATGACATCCCATTTACTAGCGTTCTTGACGAATTTTTCCCACAAACAAAAGCAAATAAATCAGATTATGCAATTAAACTTGCTATTCGCTCTCAAAAGATGGATATGCTAGATTATATCTATAATCAGCTTTATTCAGACGAAGATCGGCAAAAAGCAGATCATTTATTTTTCACAAATGATAAATACAGAACAGCATTACATTACGCATGCCATTTTGATAGTTTTGATATCGTTAATTACATTTTCCAAAAGAATCCCTTTCAAATGATCCCTTCCGAAGGAAATACAGTTACTCCACTTCATTTCGCCTTTAATTCACAATTACCGATGCATACACAGATTATTTGTCCAATACTTGCATCAGTTTCCAAATGTGAAATGCTTGCTGATTATCTTCCTCAAATTTTGAATTCATTTGACAATGAATCAATGACAATTCTCCATTATGCAGCGAAATATGCTATAAAAGATGCAGTTGTGATGCTTTTGGATGAGTTTAAAGATAAAATTAACACAAAATTACAAAGAGATGATGGATTTACTCCTATAATGCTTTCTGTTTCAAGCAGAGATCTAGAAACATTAAAAGTGTTCATGGAAAAGACACCTCAAGATGATGAAATTACAAATAACTTAGGAAGAAACGTATTACATATCGCAGCTCGACAAAACTTCATTGAAGGTTTTGATTTGATATACAAAAAGTTCCCTGAATTACTGCATCAAATAGATTTGTGCCAAATGAGTCCACTTATCGCTGCAGCTGTTGAAAGAAGTTTCGATGTCGTTAATTATATAATATATAATGATCCTGACTTCGTCAAAACTGATAAATGCGCTATATCAGGACGAAACTTGCTTCATTGGCTCGCTAAAATGGGAAATGCAGAAAATATCATTCAAGAAATTGTTCAAAGAGGATTGATTGACGTTAATTCGCTTTCAAGAGAGCCTCCATTAACGCCTTTGTTCCTTGCTGTTAGAGAAAATAAACCAGAAACAGTTAAAGTACTGATTGCTTGTGGAGCTGATCCAAATTATGGCGCAGAGAAGTTTTTAAAGCCATCTCAGATTCCATGTCCAACTATTATCAAAGAACTCATGAAATAACAATAATTTATAATATATTTTTTATTTATTTGTATTTGAATATATTTTTAATACTTGCAACATAAAAAGTAACTAGCTTAAGATATTAAAAACTGATATTTGACTTATTAATAATTATACATATTTTCGATAAATTCACAATATTTAGCATATTTGTTCCTCATGATTAAAATGAACTAGATCGATGAAATATATTCTCATGATAAAATAAATTACCCTCAATTTTTGACCCAGGTATCTAAAATACCATTTATCGCCTGAAAAGCACCCTTAATTTATGCCAATTGACAAAATAAAGATATGTTTAGAATGCTGATATGATGGAGAATCATGCTGCATCATTATTGGCCAGCAATATATAATATTTAAGAAATCTACGAGATTATCTGATTTCATGAAACTTAATGTATACTAAGTTTCAGACTTTGAAATTTTAACATGTTGATATGGGTACATATGGTTTATGATTCCAGTCATTTATTTAAAAAATTACAAAAATGAATTAATATGATGTGAGTAACAATGATAATAAACGCTTAATTACTAATATATTATTTTTTGGTAGGAATGAAATGTTTTGGTGACATTTATAGAAGTTAAGCTGAGAATCAAAAATGCAAAAATAATTTTAAATATTAGAAGCATTATTTGATGTCATTGAGTTTAGAGTCGTGTCGCTATATGAGTACAATATGTTATTGATGTATATATGCAATAATTGTGAAAATGAAATGTGAATCTCAAGATGAGTTGCATAATACTGCGTCATAATTTGAATTCAATATGTACATAACATTACTAAATGTATTTTAAGATAATACAAAAAATTAAGCTTGCAAAAAGATATCGAAATGTAATTTTCATTAGATTCAAAGTTCTGAATAGATTTTGATTTTAACTATTGATGAGTTTGTCAAACCTCTATAATAATAGAATGTAGAACTAATTAAATATAATTAATAAAAAAATACAAATTTAAGTGATATTATAAGAGATATATGTGATGTTACCAATATGATATGATATTGGAGAACTGATAGAATTGTGATGTGAGACTAAATATGATTTTATTATGAATAGGAGAATAATATTAGAAGAATTTCTTGAATTTAATGTATCTGAATATGTAATTGGGCATATATTCTATATATATATTGGTAGGTTAACTAGAAATAAGAAGATGAAAGATTGTTAATGAATAATATGAGATTAAGCGAAAATATATTGTTCTAATAGATGAGTGTTGAGATCCAATATATATGAAGAGGGATATGTGAGAGGAAATATGTATATTTAATAAAATAAGCGATGAGAGAAAAAATAACAAAGATTTATATGAAATTTTGAGTATTGAAAAAGCTCGATTAGTGATTTTATGTCTGTTAAAGGAATAGATATTCTAGGAGAAAGATAAATTGAATTAAAGAAGAATAAAAAAAGTTGATTAAGATTGATAAAAATATTGAATTGTATGACAATGGAAAGAAGGAATAAATTGGTGTTGGTATGACGGTATCATTCTGGGAGACATTGCCTCTGCATGTCTCCCAGAATGAGACAATCTTCTGCAATCAGAATGTGATTGCAAAACTTTGACCGACAAGAGTGTATTATGCACTCCTGACGGTCGCAGTGTCTCATTCTGGGAGACATTGCCTCTGCATGTCTCCCAGAATGGAACAATGTTCCGCATTCATAACTTGAACGCGGAAGTTTGACCGACAATAGTGTATTATGCACTCCTGACGGTCGCAGTGTCTCATTCTGGGAGACATTGCCTCTGCATGTCTCCCAGAATGGAACAATGTTCCGCATTCATAACTTGAACGCGGAAGTTTGACCGACAATAGTGTATTATGCACTCCTGACGGTCGCAGTGTCTCATTCTGGGAGACATTGCCTCTGCATGTCTCCCAGAATGGAACAATCTTCTGCAATCAGAATGTGATTGCAAAACTTTGACCGACAAGAGTGCATTATGCACTCCTGTCGGTCTGCATGTCTCATTCCGGGAGACATTGCCTCTGCATGTCTCCCAGAATGGAACAATCTTCTGCAATCAGAATGTGATTGCAAAACTTTGACCGACAAGAGTGCATTATGCACTCCTGTCGGTCTGCATGTCTCATTCCGGGAGACATTGCCTCTGCATGTCTCCCAGAATGGAACAATGTTCCGCATTCATAACTTGAACGCGGAAGTTTGACCGACAATAGTGTATTATGCACTCCTGACGGTCGCAGTGTCTCATTCTGGGAGACATTGCCTCTGCATGTCTCCCAGAATGGAACAATGTTCCGCATTCATAACTTGAACGCGGAAGTTTGACCGACAATAGTGTATTATGCACTCCTGACGGTCGCAGTGTCTCATTCTGGGAGACATTGCCTCTGCATGTCTCCCAGAATGGAACAATGTTCCGCATTCATAACTTGAACGCGGAAGTTTGACCGACAATAGTGTATTATGCACTCCTGACGGTCGCAGTGTCTCATTCTGGGAGACATTGCCTCTGCATGTCTCCCAGAATGGAACAATGTTCCGCATTCATAACTTGAACGCGGAAGTTTGACCGACAATAGTGCATTATGCACTCCTGTCGGTCGCAGTGTCTCATTCTGGGAGACATTGCCTCTGCATGTCTCCCAGAATGGAACAATCTTCTGCAATCAGAATGTGATTGCAAAACTTTGACCGACAAGAGTGCATTATGCACTCCTGTCGGTCTGCATGTCTCATTCCGGGAGACATTGCCTCTGCATGTCTCCCAGAATGGAACAATGTTCCGCATTCATAACTTGAACGCGGAAGTTTGACCGACAAGAGTGCATTATCCAATCTTTTTTGTCATATACCTCAACCCACAAAGACAAAACCTTACATAAAATAGGTAAACTTTGGTTTTCACTTAATAATGTTTATTTTTAATTTTTTGTTCTTTATATAACTTTTTCTTCTACTAAACTATTTTACAGACTCTACTGAGCTATCCTCACATATATACCTGTGACAATAACACATATACTCCCTTCATATTCTGATCTCATGACATATTACAGCACAAACTATAATTATACAACATACCTCATAAAGTCTGATTTTACCCCTATCTAAGCGTTCAAAACCTATTTTCCCCGCGTAATCTGATTCTTCTGGCTCTGCTGATTCGATTTCTGCTGTCAGATCGTGAAAATATGCATCACACAATGAGATAAACACAAAATACACAACTTAATATTTTCCTTAAATTGTCAATTCCTCGATCTTGACATATTTATTATTTCCTCCGTTTTCCCTCACAAATATATTTAATTTTCTGAATAGACGTATAATAAAATGAATATCTTAAAAACTAAAATACAAAATTAATGTTGGGTAATGACTAGATATAGTATGCACTTTTGAATTCATACATTTTTTGAAAAAATTGTATTTTCAAAAAAAGATGTTGTTTCAGTATGAACTTGAAGAGAAATTTTAAGGAAAATATTAAGTTGTGTATTTTGTGTTTATCTCATTGTGTGATGCATATTTTCACGATCTGACAGCAGAAATCGAATCAGCAGAGCCAGAAGAATCAGATTACGCGGGGAAAATAGGTTTTGAACGCTTAGATAGGGGTAAAATCAGACTTTATGAGGTATGTTGTATAATTATAGTTTGTGCTGTAATATGTCATGAGATCAGAATATGAAGGGAGTATAGATGTGTTATTGTCACAGGTATATATGTGAGGATAGCTCAGTAGAGTCTGTAAAATAGTTTAGTAGAAGAAAAAGTTATATAAAGAACAAAAAATTAAAAATAAACATTATTAAGTGAAAACCAAAGTTTACCTATTTTATGTAAGGTTTTGTCTTTGTGGGTTGAGGTATATGACAAAAAAGATTGGATAATGCACTCTTGTCGGTCAAACTTCCGCGTTCAAGTTATGAATGCGGAACATTGTTCCATTCTGGGAGACATGCAGAGGCAATGTCTCCCAGAATGAGACACTGCGACCGTCAGGAGTGCATAATACACTATTGTCGGTCAAACTTCCGCGTTCAAGTTATGAATGCGGAACATTGTTCCATTCTGGGAGACATGCAGAGGCAATGTCTCCCAGAATGAGACACTGCGACCGTCAGGAGTGCATAATACACTATTGTCGGTCAAACTTCCGCGTTCAAGTTATGAATGCGGAACATTGTTCCATTCGAGGAGCCCTCGAAAAGAACCTCACATCGACTCTCTCTTTCCGGCATCTTTACCGCATAGAAAACTGCTCGTTCGCAACTTTGTGTGCAATCTAAGAGATGATTGCGGTAAAGATGCCGGGAAGATTGACGCTGCAGCAGAGAATCACTACGGCTCTCTTTTACCGGCATCTTTACCGCATAGAAAGCTGCTCGTTCGCAACTTTGTGTGCAATCTAAGAGATGATTGCGGTAAAGATGCCGAGAAGATTGATACTGCAGCCCCAGGCCGCACTCAGATTTCATCCCGCTACACAATTGTTCATCCAACAACTGTCATAGAGGTTGAAATTTTCGACCAGAAGTGAAACATATCATTTTTAAGACTGCGGCGCGCAAGCAAGTTTGAACCTTTCAAGGGTGATCAGTCCTTTACTCATTTCAAGACCTCTTGTTGCCTGATAAAACGATACTTCCTTCCTTGTGGGCCATTGAAAACCGCCCAAACCGTCACAACTTGCTTCCTAAATTTTATTTGCGGAGTAATTATCATGCATATTTTATCGGATAATAATATCAAAGCTAAATTTCATATTATTTTTTAAAGATATGCATTTTCTGTCTAAATTTATTTTTTCTGTTTCCAATTCACGGAATAATATTCTTACAAGCATATACATAGCTAATATATATCATTTTAATAATAATAAAACCAAAATGATGTATTCTTCATATAATTATTTAAAATTCGTTAACTAGAATTGTATTCAGAACGAGGCAAAGTTAGGAGATACATAAAAACCAATAACTTGATAAGTGATACCTTTTTTCCTGATATATCTATATGTGTTAATGTCAAACACGATTTGGAAAAATTAATTCTTTAAATCGGCTTAAGAATAAGACCAACATCAAAAGCATGGCTAATAAATTAATAAATCAATGTTTAATTACCGATTCATGCATTTTTTTCAAAATTTCAAATTTCAAATTTTTGTTTCTCCAAAATATTAATTGTTTCCACTAGATTAACAAATAAACAATAAATTGGATTAATGTAATGCCCAATCATTCATTTTAAATTTTAGATTTAAAACAATATTTTTCTCCATATTATTATAACATGAATCGCTATGATATAAGAAATATATTTTCAATATTGAAATTGAAAAATTCTAAAATTTTTGAAATTCAATTTGAGTGTGATGATCGATAACATATATTTTTTAATTAAAATCTTGTGTCGCTATCATATAAATATACTATTTCTAAATTAAAAATAGAAAAAAAGTGCTATTTAATGATGAAATTGCAAATAATATCAATATATATATATTCATGCTGATATATTTTGGGAGCAGATTGGCAATCACATAAATAGGATTGTGTTAGTTTGTCATGGATATAAAACAAATTTTCGAGCTAATTGAGCGAATTTAAATCACAAACACTTATATTTTCTATTACAAGGTATATTTGTAATATACAACCAGTAAATAGCTTTCTCTAACTTTTACCAGCTTAGATGATAGCAAATTAGATACGAATTTCATGACCCCTCACCAAATTCCACTAAAACATATACAAATAAAAGTACTAAGTGGGTATCATCTAACCCTAGAATTATAGCTCCTAGGACTCATCCTAGATGGTAGTTCTGGAAAAACACCTGGTTTTTGGAGTTGCAAAAGTTAAAAATTGAGGGATAAAAAATTTTTGTTTCGTTCACTATTAAATACATAACATTCGATTATGCCCATGATACAATCAATTAGTTTATTCAGTTCAAATTGATTCGGGGAAAAAAAGATCGCTTATAAATCTTGAACAGAAAAATTTTTAAATGGAAAATAATAAATAAAATTTGGTTCATGATATATTCAAATATTCTGCGTTTTAATATCTAGAATTGTCAGACAGGAGGCAGAAATGGGAGTTCTGCCTGTCAGATCTGTCAAGGTTTCCTGATGAATATTTCAATGATAATAGGTCTATTTGTCATATAGTTCATGTATTTCGAACTAACCAATTGTTTCTGCCAGTCTGATAACAATTGAATGATATCAGAATTCTCGACAAAAAAAATCATTTCATTTTTTTCGATGCTACCTTTCCTTGCCTTACGCACAGCATATAATGCTGACGATGACAACTGGAAGTTCCCATTCCCAATCCCAACAAAGTGGGGCCTTTTAAGCTTCGGTGTTGATGCTAACGAAGCTGAAGATGATGATAATTGGAGATTCCCATTCCCAATCCCAACAAAGTGGGGTCTTTTAAGCTTTGGTGTTGATGCTAACGAAGAGGATGATGACAACTGGGGCATTGGCCTTACATACCACTCACCATGGGGCAAGTTCCGCCTTGAATACCACAACTCTGCTGAAGAAGAGGAAGATGAGAACTGGAAGGCTTGGGCTGAATTAATGACAGCTATTGGCAAGTTCCGCCTTGAATACCACAACTCTGCTGAAGAAGAGGAAGATGAGAACTGGAAGGCTTGGGCTGAATTAATGACAGCTATTGGCAAGTTCCGCCTTGAATATCACAACGCCGCCGAAGAAGACGACGATGACAACATGAACTTCCGCTGGAAGTGGGGCCCGGTCGACTTTGACCTTGAGCTCAACGAAGACAAGAAGGTCGCAGCTAAGAAGCCATTCCGCAGATACCCAATCAACAAGGCTATGTTACAGCGCTGGATGAAGAAGTACTGCCGCAAGTACCCATGCCCAAAGTTATATAAGAAGAAACTTGCTCTTCCAAAGAAGATTGCTTTACCAAAGAAACTTCTTGCTAAGAAGCCAATTGCTCCAAAGACAAACGCTGTTCCATCATGGATTAAGCCACATCCATGGTACCAGCAATACGATTATGCCCGCAAATTATATCAACTTTACAAGGCTACAAGAAAATAAATTCTAAATTTAAATAGTAAATTTAGTAATACTTAGTAATATTTAAATAAGTTTTTCTAATGAAATTAAATTTAAAAATTTATTCTTAGTTAAGTTAATTTTAGTATCTAACAAAGCGTATTGTTTTTTCCTTATCAAGTCTGTAGTCCAGAAATTGTGGATCAGGTACTAATGTTATTCTTGGAACATGTTTTGGCATTTCTTCTGAAAGCGTTCTTAAATTAGTACCTTCTATTTGCATATCTGTGGTATCAACATCGCAGTCGCAATAGAATCCGTTTACATTTAACTTCAAGCCATCTGCATCAAAGAATTGACCTCCAGTTTTTGTATTAAATACTGCTAGGTTCTCTATGTTCAGAGAGATCGACGATCTGATTGCACAAGATTTAAATGTGCTATCTTGGATTGTTAAGTATTGAAAATATGGTGAATCAAGTTTCGGGAATTTCAATCCATAAGTTGAGTTCATTTCTGAAATTACAAGATGGTTCATTGCAAGGTTTCCGTATACAGGAGATATAATTTCAGTTGTTAGTTTGGAAATGTTACAATTATCATAATTTGACTTAGATGTTTGTGCTGATGAGAATATAAGCTGCTGAAGTACATAGTTAACATTTGAACAACTGAAATACTCGTTATAGCTCACTTCTAATCTATAGGATTTGATAAATGAATTTCTTATTGAGACGTTAGCTGATCTAAACAATAGCTTAGAAGAATTTACAAAGCATTGTGTCATTTCAACTTTTGAGGCTACAATCTGCTGAGTGGTTGTTGCCGATTTATAAAAGTAACATCCTTCAAAGTAAATATAGTGTCCGGACATATCTAAAGAGTCACCAAAGAACCTATTTGTGTACACTGCATCACCATTTAGAGTAATACTCTTAACAATACCAAATGATGTATCTTTGATCTTCAATCTATTAAAATTGGAAAACAAACCTTGACTAGCAATGAACTCGAATTTGGACTTTGAGATTTCTAACCTACTTCCAAGAGTTAAGAAAGACTTGGAAAATATGGGAGATTGGTCATGGACTCTTTGTAACTGAAGGCCTATGAGGGTGGTGTTGATACCTAAGCCTGCAACCATTGATGATAAATGAACTGAAGGCTAATCTTAACGTTCTCTCCGTATATTTCGGTGTAGACCAAAAATGCATCATATCTTTCAGAATTGCTTCTGTGTATGGAAAAAGTTCGTAGCGATGTATTTAACGGATTTTTACAATTGGTATTACTATTAACAAATCGACTTCTGAACAAATATCGCAGATACGAAAGAGTTATTCTCAAATGAGATCTTTGATTAGATAATTTTCGAGATTAACATTAAAATAGCGATAGCAAATAGTTTTAATGTACATAGGTATATTGAATTTGTGAACGCCAGTGCACATAACCTTATGATTTTAATGAACTCGATCCGAATATTGATCGAAAATGGAAAATGTTTCACACACTCATAGTAACTCTTATATTGGATTATATTCTAGTACTATTGCACAAATAATTATTTATAAAAAGTGACATCTTCCATCACGAGAAACAGTTCTCCATCACTGACCCACTTGATATCGAAAAAGTGACATGGCAATTTTATTTATTATTTGGTTATTAGTAATGTAATAATGAAATAAAAATAAATCAAATAAAATTACATAAAAGTGAAGTCACAAAAATCATTTAGAGAATGTTTGAGACAATTGTAACACCTGAACAATTGGCAGAACTCCAAGAAAAAGGCAGTCCACTTCAAATCTGGGATTGCTCATATGATCTCGTCAAGAAAGATTGGGGTTTAGAAGAATTTATTAAGGAGCATGTTCCTGGAGCAATATTTATCGATATTCATCATGATTTATGTGCAGAAGAAGGAAAACCACGTGCTTCTGGTGGCCGTCACCCATTACCAACCCGCGAAGATTTCCAAATAAGACTCGGCAGCTTCGGAATAACACCAGAAACACAAATTATCGTTTACGATCGTAATGGATCAAACTTTTGCGTTCGTGCATGGTGGATGCTTCGCTGGGCAGGCCACAAGAACGTTGCTGTTCTTGATGGAGGCCTTCGCGCTTGGAAAGAATCAAGAAAACCAACAGCAGCAGGCGAAAGAGTACGTCCACATGTTGAAGGCGCTCCAGCATACAATCCAGGACCAGAACTTGTTAGACTTTGGACAATTGATCAAGTTAAGGAGAACTTAATCACAAAGAAGGCTCAATTATTCGATGCTCGTGCTCCAGAACGCTACCGTGGCGATGTTGAACCATTAGATCCACGCGCTGGACATATTCCAGGAGCAATCAACCGCCCATGCGGAAAATCCTTTACTCCAGAAGGAAAGTTCCTTCCAGCCGATGACCTTCGTGAACAGCTCAAGGGATTCTTCCCAGAAGGAAAAGAATGTGTGTCATATTGCGGATCCGGAATTACAGCAACACCATTGGTTTTGGCTGCAAAGATTGCAAATATGCCAGAACCAATCGTTTTCGGTGGTTCTTTCTCAGAATGGTCTCGCGATGATTCTGTTAAGGTTGAAACAGGACCAAATCCATACCAGGAATAAGATATCATATATAAATAGTTGAATTTTTAGTTTATTTTTTTCTAAATTTTGTATGATTTTGATATTTTGAATTCATTATAATGAATTAAGTCTCGATACCGTATAATCCACAATGGTATTGAGAGGACCAAAGGATCTCGTTAAAAATTAGAATATATAAGTGCGTTTGTGAGATTATGTTTTATCAAGTGATGTTTTTTTTTAGTTTTTTTAATTGGTTTTATTGTAGAAATAAGCAAAATCAAATAATTTGCAAGAAAACTAAAATAAATCACTAAATCAATCTTCCTTATTTTGAAAACTATAGATTTAAGATATTAATGATAAGAACCTACATTTATATGCTTCATACGTTACACATATTCTATTTGAAAGGCTGAACATTCATTGATGGAAAAAGGATTGGATCCTGAAGTTGTCGCAACAATTTTTCAAGCGACATACATCGATCCTAAGATAATAGAGAGATTTCCTCCAGAATTTCGAGAGTTGATTCCGGATGTTGATCTCTCTGTCTTTGATAATCGCAAAATTTCAAATTCGGAATTAATCACGAAACTAAATTTACAACTAGATAAACGCACAAAATTAATGAAATACATATACGAGCACCAACGGCAAATCACAGATAAGTTAGATCAACAAGAATTCGTTGGAGTTATCAGTATTCAGTCATTTATCGCTTTAATTTACAATGATTTATCTGAAGTTGTCGAATCTGATATACAGTATTTCATTGCATTCCTAGTTCTTTCTCTAGATCTTGTACCAAAATTTACGAAAGAAATTAACACTACATTTTTAATCTTTTTACAAAGAGTTTCACAGACACAAAATGTTTACCATTTTCTTTCAGATATTATCGTATTTATTTCTAGCTGCAGATCGATTTCTCCCTTGATTTTGATACAAACCTTACTTCTACTAGAAACAATCATAAAAAATCAATGGTACACTTCAAACTTATCAACTCTTATTACATTTATTAATAGTTTAACGAAGCAACTCAAGAATATTGACGTATTAAACATAACCACCGACATTTTGAATAATATAATTGATCAAACTGCAAATCTTGCATCTAATTATCGCGATAGAAAGACACTCGATGCGGTTTTAACATTCAGATGCGAAATTTTAGGAATTTCACCAGAAAATTACTACAAATTCGAAGAAATTATCGATCTATTTGTAGATGACATATCATCTGTTACAACATTACTTACGAATTACGAAAAAATACCAGATCTAGAGACAAATTTAGAAAATATAACAAATAATTCTAAAAATGCAGTTTATTTACTATCAAGAGCGAGCTCCAAAGCAAAAGAAGCTCTTATCAAGCTCTTTCTTCGTATAGAAATCAATAGTTTTGCAACAATTTCAATATCATATCTATTTATTTACAAAATGATCCAAAACAACGAACCTGAAGACAAAAAACTTCCTTTTTCATTCTTTTTCCCTCAATTCCTTTATTACAACGACTTTTCTATGTTTGATCAGAAATCTTTTTACATTGTCAATCTCAGACGCATCGGAATGCAACTATATATGCTATTATACAAGACAATGAGTCCCAGTGATATTCTGAAGTATTTCATTATGTTTATGTCAAATTCAATTTCGAATCCGAAAATTTTCACGGAAATTTTGTTTTATTCCATGAAAATGATAAACTACAACAAACTCTCTAGTGTTGAGATTGAACCATTAATGGCTTGCGTGTTTTCAGGCCTAGAGATTGATGAAACATCGATTTATTCGAAAGAAATGAGAAAACTCGAATTAAAAATGATAAAAAAGATTTGTAACATGAAAAACATCAATTCTTTCATTCTCTCGTCCAGATCATTGAGTACAGGCATCATCAACATAATCTTTGACTTGAAATATGGACGTTCTCTCGCATCAATTCTCGCTGTTCTTCTTAGATCATTGGAATCAGAAAATCAAACATTTCTAGATCAAATTTTTAAAAAATTGAAAGAAACCGAAGAAAATAAAGTGTTGGCAAATATTTTGAATACTTTACATTCTGCTTTATTTTCATTATCAAATTTAGATTTAGTTTTATCGTTTTTTCACTCGGATTCATTTAGATTTGTCATTGCAATGTTCAACAAAGACATGGATGATGATGTATTGTTGAATGCTTTGCTTCTTGTGTCATTAGGAATGAGATTAAACATAAGAGCATTGACAAGTCACGAAATTAAAATGATAAGTGAATGCATAAACAAAGAAAAACTTAATTTACAGGTTTATACTGTTCTTTGCATGATTATTTCGGGATCACAAACAGATTTCATAGGGATAACTAATCCCGACTCTTTCCCTTTCATCAAATCAATTTTGTTGAGTGATTTTAGATCGGATTTCTTGTTTAGAATTACAAATTTGTGTCAAAATAATGATATTCAGAAATTACAATGTATTAATTCTGATATTTTCTCTATTTTAAATGATGTATGTCCTGATGACTGCTTCAAACACTTGGACCTGTTCGTAATGATTGCTTCTAAATTCACTAACGCAAAATTAATTCGTCAATACTACAAGTTTTTCGATATAAAAGAAAATCAAAATATTTTAACAGATAAAATTCAAAAAAGTGACAAAATTCAAATTTCTTCAACAGATAAAATAGAAAATACTGAACAAAAAGAAAATAAATTAATCACAAATCCAAATGAAAATCAAAATAATTTAGAAAATACAACAATATCAAAAGAAAACGAAAATTTGGAGAAAAATTCTAAAATTTCTGAAAATTCAAATATTTCTATTGAAAATGGAGCTTCAGATAAAAACACAAAAATTTCGGAAGATCAAAAAATTTCTGAAAATACAAAGATTTCTAGTGAAAATTTGGATAAAATTTCTAAAAACTCTGATGAACAAAAAATTTCTAAAGAAGATAAAAATCAAAGTTCATTAGTCACGGAAACAAAAACACATATTGTTAAAACTGATGGTTTGCCTAAATCTGAAGGAAGTAAGAAGAAAGTTAGAAGACCTTCAATGCTGACACAAGAAGGAATTTATGTTGATAAAACAAATTTGAATTTAACGAAAGATGAAAAAATAACAAATCTCTTACAAATGACAAAAATAATATTAAATAGTGATAAAACATGTTTTGGAAAAACAGTTTTCTTGTTTTCTCCAGAATCAGGAGGAATCAACTTAAATATGACACAATCATCATTTAGAATAGATGCTTATATACAATTATGTTCCCAATCATTCAGATTATTCAAAATTGTTTCAGGAGAAAATCAACTTTTTTGTAATTTACAAAAAGATTTCTTCGAAATTGAATTAGAAAACAGTGAATTTAGGTCCCCTGTTCAATTAATGCAAAACAAATGGTACAAGATGTCATTATCTGTTAATAAACTCAAAGAATTTATATTGACGATAGATGACAAACCGTTGGCAACCGTTTTTCTTTCAAATTTCGAAGAAGAATACACATTTGACTTGTTTTTGTTCGAAAGCCAACAAAGAAATGATACAATTGGAACAGCGCAAGAGTCAAACATAACTGGACCAATTACAGTTTACATTAACGATAAGGCCGTTTATTATTTCACTCCTGATTCGACAACAGAAGATTTTTGTTTGGTAAATTCACTTTCTTTCGAACCAGAGGTTATTAAAATCAAACCAAACATGATTTGCAAAGTTTCTTTATTCAAGATGAATTTGTTGGAGTTGAATGGAATTGAATTTTATCTGTTTTTGTCTCATTTTTGCCAAAATGTCAAAAATTTCATTTCTATTTTGGAAATTTTCCAAATGATATTAGAAAATGAAAGTTTGGATTTGCAAAAGAGACTTTACAATTTGAAGTTCTTCAAGTGTCTGGCTTCTTCTTTAGATAATCTCGAAGAAAAACCAAATACAAAATTATATGATCAAATTATGAAATTTGACAAAATTTTGACATTTAAAGCCTTGAAAAATGATTTTCTGAAACATATCTTGATTGGAACTCAGATCTGGTTTAAAGACAAAGATTGTGCAATTTTACTTTTGTCGAAATGGTCAGCGATACAAGATGAAGACAAACTTTATTTCGCAAAGTTATTACCTGTAGAAAGAATTATTTATTATATCTCAATTTCTGACAACTTTACAAAAAGTACTGTCACTTTATTGTTGTCAATTTTGAGAGAGTTTGTTTACATCAACATTGACAAAAAACTTTTACAAATATTATTTAGATTTTTAGAGCATTTCAAAGATGACAAAGAAGTATCAATGCAAGTTTTACAAGTCTTCTTTTCTTTGGCGAAAAGAGATTCAACAGCACAAGATTTTGTCAGAGATTTCATTTTGGGAAGTCGTTCTTTGCTTTCTAGCACACAATCTTATGTTATTTATACTGTAATTATGCTGTTTATACAAAATGAAGAGCCTTATCACTCAAGATTACTATGGTTCTTCTTAAACGAAACAAGATTCAGATCGTTGCAAATAAATGAAACTTTTGCAACAGAATTCTGTAATTATTTCATTGGAAATACAAAAATTGACACTTTAGAAAAACTGATAAAAGTGAAGTCATTTAATTCCATTGCAGCACCATTGTTTCCATTCATTTGTGTTCTTGGAAACTATGTTTCACCTGAATTAAGGAAGCAAATGCAAGTTTTTGTTGCAAATATTTTGACACAAAATGATATTTGCATTAAAATTTCAAAAACATTGAAACCATTAAGTATTTCTATTATTTGTTCATTCCTTCTTTTGTTTGAAGACAAATTAACTGTTTCTTTTGTTAATTTAATCAAACAAAACACTGAAATTTTGCCGGAAGTATTATCTTTCCTTTCTTTGATGCAAAGTTTTGTTTCTTTCGATGTCCATGTTATAGAAAACACTCTGTTGAGCGCAATGACTATGAGAGTTTTTAATAATGGTGATTCCGAACAAAAGAATGATTTTGTTAAAACAGTTGTCAGATATTTACTTGAAACAAAACATGTTGAATTTAGAGATGTTATTTCACAAGAAACAGATTCAATTTTAGATGAAACAAATGATGTTCAAATTGTTGAATTTGAGAAAATTATGCACAAATCTAAATCAACTGAGAGAATCTCTTCAAAGAAAATAGATAGATCTAATTCTTCAGGAGGAATTTCATCAAAGAAAACAATTAAAAACGAAATTAATCCACAGAATTTCGGATTAATCGGAAGTTTCCCAGGATTCAAAAATGACAAAGCAAGTTTACATGTCAAAAATGAATCTGACACATCATCATTGATAGGCAGCATGAGTGGAAATCAATCTGAAATAACTAATTTACATATGATAAATAGCATGAATTTCCAATCAAATGAAAAAGACATAATTTCTGAGGAACAAAACTCAGAATCTGTTTCGAATTCTGTTGTTTTCAGTGAAGAAACAGTTATTAAATATGATAAAACAGAAGATTGGGAAAATGAAGAACTAAAAGAAGTTGGAACTCTTTTAGATTTCATCGTCAAAAATAATAATTCTAAAAAAGTGACAAACAAAAAGAGTTTTGGACCAAAAATTGTTGAAAACGAATGGATGGACGTCAACATTGCAATTTTATTGTTAGATTTCGTTCAAGACAAAGATTTGAACCAAAAATCCATTGAATATTTCTTTGTTTTGTTGGATTTCGTGTTAAGAAGTGAAAGAAATTTGCAAATCAATCATTCGGATTTATTAGATACATTTTGTCTTAATTATCCAAATGCAAAGACATTGAATGTTTTATTCTACGAATGCTGCTTGTCTAAGGAATACTTTGAATCAGAATCTCCTCAGTTTTACAGAGAATACCAACTTGAAAAAGAAAATTTGTTGAAATTTTTCGAAGACAAAAATGAAAGTTTACAAACTTTTTATTCCGAAAATTTTGAAAGTCAATTTTCAAATTTGGAAGATGTTTTAGTTAATTTCATGTTAACACCATTCGAATTCGTATCAATCGAATGTCCACATTTAGATTCTCTTTTGAGTTTCACAGAGAAATATTTCGTTCTTCAAAAATATAAAAGAAAACATTGTTTCGAAGAACTCCAAGAAAAATTCTCTTATCCAAACTCAAACTTCGTGTTCATCCTGAAAGAAGAAGAACAATACTCAAGAAGACATTTATATGATCATATTTTGAGACCTTATTTATTCACAAAAAGATTGATTTATACAAAAAGACCTGAAATACAAATTGATGATCAAGAAAAGTATTTCGTGAAGAAATTTGATAAGTCAAAGTTCTCTTTTTACTGTTCTCATTGTTATTTAATACGAGATTACAAAGAAGAAAAAGTGTTTGTTTATATCTTTGGCGACCAATTAATTGTAAGAAATGATTTATTCATTTTTTACAAAGTTAAATTCTCCGAAATTTCGGCAATTACTTGGGAATGGTACAGACATCATCCAAACTCAATGTCATTCTACTTGAAATCAAGGAAGGCATTTCTACTTAAGTTCCCCAATGAACACAACCATCGTTTTGTTTCAGTGATTTCTCAACAAATTTTGAATGAAAATCCAATTTATTTTGTTTACGATTCAATTCCTTTTGAAATGTTGGAGAAGCTGAAACTCACACTCAGATGGAAGAGAAGAATGATATCCACGTACGAATACATCCATTGGCTCAATATCATTTCTGGAAGATCATTTTTGTCAAGAGAAAATTACCCAATTTTCCCTTGGATAATGGCAAATTATGACAATGATTTAGAATACGTCAAATTCCGAAATTTGGCGAAAAACATCAACACTACGAACACAAAGAGAGTACAGAAGATCAAAGCAAGAGAATTAGAAGATGCTCTTGATAATGAATGTGTTATTTTGTTTAAGAATAATTACATTTCAAACAAAATTGGAGTCAAAGATTTGTTATTTGAAACAAACAAGAATTCTTTAGAAGATGTTTACAATGATTTAGTTATCCGTGATCCAGATGATCCACGAGATTCATTTGAATCAATTGAAGAATACTTTTACTGTCCAGATTTGGTTTTCGACAAAAAAGTGCCAAAATATTTTTCAAATGCCACTGAATTTGTTGTAAAACAGCGTCAAATGCTTGAAATGGATGGTGCAAACATTGAGAAATGGATTGATATGGTATTTGGAGTTTCACAACAAGGGGAAAGTGCAACACAAACAGATAATACTTATGATTACAAGATTTTCTCAAACGCTTTTGAAGACAGAAGCGACGACATCGAACAAGTAATGGGAAAAATGGGAAATGCTCCACAGAAGTTGTTCGATTCTTATCATCCGATGAGGAATCCTCAGACGAAAGGAGTTCAGCGACAAATGGTCAAACTGGACATTTCAGGAATTTTTTGCATGTTTTTGTATAAAAACATGAATTTCTTTGTGACAAATAACAACACAATAATTGGTGTGGAAGGTACAAGTGTTAAACAAACTCTTAACTACAAGATAAACGAGATCTACACTGTGAAACATCTTCCTTCGACTTCAAGATGTAGAATTGCAATTTTTGGCAGATTTGATGATTATTTTTCAATTTTTGATGTCGAAGAAAAGACAACAATAAGATCTTCGGATATTGGACACATCTGTTCCATTCATTCAGACAAGACAAACATTTATTGTGGAATAGAAAACGGAACAATCAAAGAAATCGACCAAAACTTGGAAATTTCAAAGTCAATTTCCATTTCTGATTATCCAATCAAAGATATCTATTGTTGTCTTTTTAACAACATCATGATAAGTGTTGATGACATGAATAACATTTATTTCATGATGACACACAACTTGAGAGTTTATAAAGTGATACAAAATGAGCGTTTATCACTTGAAAAATTCAAAAAAGTTGTTTATTTGCAAACTTCAAATTTGTTTGTATTTTTGTTCTCCAGAACAATGATAACTTTCACGGCTAGTGGACAAGTAGTTAAAGAGACTGTTGATATAAGATTTGATAAATACTTGGACATCTGTTACTACAAAAACAACAATTTCGATGAATTGATTTGCGTTTCAACAAATGACGGAAAACTTTCAATTTTGGATCCAATAAATCACGAAGAAACTTTGACAATTACTCAGCTCAGAGTTGGAGTGAGCCAAATTATGTATAATACTGACAGCGAATACTTTGTTTGCTCGAACAACGAATTTTCTGTTTTAGTTCCAGACAGAAATATTGGTGGAATTTTTGTTCCATCAAGTCCAAATAGATTTATGTTGTAATTAAGACTTTATTTATTATTAAACTATAGTTTATTTATGTATATTTACTAGATATTGAAGAAATAGATTTTTTATGTATTTCAACAATAATAACAAACAAACATATTTATTTTGCAAAAATATTATAATGCATTCTTGAAAAGAATGCGATCTTAGTAATCAATATTTAGCGATGTCTTATATTAAATCTACATGCAAAACGTGGAACTGTTTCTGGGCATGATCTAATTGGTTTCTCTTTGCGTTTAATATACTCTATAAGCGTGATTCTAGCACAACCATTTTTATCATTACATGGTTTCGAAGGAAAATTACTATTACCAGGGATTGTTGTAGGAATTATATTTTTGTATGAAATAACTCCCCCAATATATCCAGACCCACCACCTCCTTGACCTCCTACTTCACCTTTTATTGTATAACCTCCAAAAAGCCCACCACCACCCGATGTTCCTCCCGTGTGTACTCCGTTTTGTCCCTCACCAAATGAATAACCACGATTTTGATCTGCAGAAACTCCATATGAAATACCATTACCATTGTTTTCAATTGGTGGCGATCCAGTAAATCCTCCACCATAAGAAGGGGATAAATCGTAATATCCTGTGTCAAATCCATTTTCCCCAGCACCGCCTGCAATAATAATTCTATTAATATAGGATGTTCCATTGACTCTAATATCTGTTGCCCCTCCACCACCACCTCCTTGATCATCTGAGTCATTATCGTTATCTCTCGGACTATTCCCTCCGCCATTAAAACCACCATAAACTTCTATAGTAGATGGATTTTTTCCATTTTCTCCTTTTCCTCCAATATAAACATATACATCTGAAGGGTAATTTAGCTGCATAACACCTCGTGAATATCCTCCAATACCTCTTCCGTCATAAAATTTTCCATTAGTGTAACTTCCACCCCCATTTGCCCCCCATAATTCTATTAAATAATATCCAGGTTCTAATTTTGAAAAATAATATGTGCAATCATGTGTATTTTGGCATGGATATCTCAATAATGTTTCATTTCCATTTAAAGTTATTCTCAATACTCCTTTTGATTGATCTCTTAGTTGCCATATATTTACAAATAATAGTAGCATTGGCATTGTTCCAATCTTACTGTTGATCGTTCCCAATAATTTTCCGATTTTCCATGCAAATCAGCTGTACGTATTGAAATTTAATAATAAATTTTAAATTAAATTGAAAATTAAAATAAAATAACAAGACAATAAAACGAGAACAATTTATTTAAAAAATAAAATGAGAACAACTATATATAGTTAAATGTTTAAATAGAAATACAATTTTTATTGGTAAAAAAACAGACCGTGCTACTATATTCACAAATTTTCCAACAACTCTCAATTTTTCAAAGAATATTTTTCTGACAAACATTAATGTTTTACTAAAATTCAATATAATGGATGCATTAAATAATAAATACGAAATATTTTATGACTTTGATAATTATATTACATTGAAGACTACTTTGTGTATTTTAGCTGTAATAACAACATATTCATTAATCACATTGTGATTCACAGTATGAATAGTTTCAATCGAGGAATGATTTGTTAGAAATTAAATTTTTAAGATTTTTAATAACAATTAGCCTTTAAATGTCAAATTAAGCCAACAATCAAAATCATTAATAAAAACCTTAAAATTATATATAAATTCATGAATTTTTTGAGGAGAAAAAAAAATACGTTTGGATGAATGGCGCAAGCTCTGCACGATTAGAACCACAGTTTGCACTGTTTACGCCAACACATATAACAGCCGAGTCTAAATTCACATTTAAAATCATTAGTACAGCGAAAACTCAAATGCATTACCAATGGAGAACATATGGGACTGATGACGAAGAATTAGAAGCAATCAGTCATTTGGATCTTCATGATGCTGAAGAAAGAAATGAAGCTCGCAACATGGTAATGTTCCATTCCAAAGTTTTTCGTTTCGATAATAACGAAAGTCTTATATGGCCTGGACAATTCGTTAATTGCATAGCATATTTCCATCCTGATTTATCAGTTAAACACGAAACTACAGCGTATCTCTATATAATGGAAACAGGAGAAAGAATTCCATTTAAATTACAAGGCATGGGGTTATCACCTGAAGCAAGATTTAGTGTTACATCTATAAATGTTGGCCATGTGACACTAGATTCCGTCATGGAATATGAAGTATACCTTGAAAATACTGGAGAAGTTGTTTGTGATTTCTCGTTAACTCCGAAAAAAGTCGAAAATCTAATATTCGAGTTTACTCCAAGCTCAGGATATATAGAAATTGGCAATAAAATTCCGATTAGAATTAAATTTACTGCAAATTACGTTGGCCAGTTTACAGAGACATTCGAATTTCATATTAAAGGCGTTTCCCAAAACCACCCAACAATTGGATTATACGGACGTGTTGTAGGACCTACATTTCAGATAGATGTCGCAAGATTAGATTTTGGAAAAGTCAGTTATGGATTCCTTTATACAAAAACATTCGAAATTTCAAATAAATCCGAAATACCATTTGATTATTCATTAGCATTATCGCACGACGGAACATTTTCAAGGAGAGAATTTGCGATTTCTCCACAGACAGGATTAATCGGAAAATTTTCAAAGCAAATTATTACGGTTGAGTTTATACCAATGAAAGCACGCGATTACAATTTGCAATTAGTTTTTTCAATAGATAAATTCGGTGAAAAAATGGCAACAATACCAATTTCAGCAGAATGCATATCACCAACAGTTACTCTTGTAAAAGATACAATTAATCTCGGAAATATTTTCATTGGAGCTGAATATCGAAATAAATTACAATTTAAAGACGATACAGACTTACCAGCCAAATACGAATTCATTCCTGCAAATGATGCATCATTGCTTCAAGCCAATTTTACGGTTTCCCATCCAAATGGCGTAATTAATCCACATACGACTACTGACATGGAATTTGTCATTGTCCCTAAGCAGCTCGGCCCTCTAGACATTGTACAGCACATAAGGTTCTTTGGAAGTGAGAATCCACCGCTTCCTTTTTCAATTAAAGGAACTGTTACCGGACCAAACATCCAATTTTCACAAGATAACATCAATTTCGGAAAGATCCAAGTACTTAAAGAGACTTCCCATCAGATAGTAATAACAAACAACTCAGCAATCGATGCATCTTTCACTGCATCTGCTGAATGCGATGGAAACATATTCAAAATATCACCAGAAGAGGGCCACATACCAGCAGGAGCCCAAATCACTGCAAATGTCATTGCACAACTCGATGACATGATTGAATTTAAAGGAAAAATTGTATTTCGTTTCGACAATTTGAATCCTTTGTATATAAACTTGAAAGCAACAGGTACAGGATCCACAATTGTTCCATCTTTACCATCTACATCTCTCGATATGGGCAATATTTTCACAGAAGTTCCAAATGTCAAAAAATTTACATTGACAAATAAAGGAAGAAGGAACCAAGAAGTCAGATTCTCTGTCCAGAAGCCTAAACTATCATCCAGTGAAGGTGTAAAGTTCTCTTGTGGAATATCTCCTGAAGTACAAGTTCTTTCTCCAGGCCAAGTTGTTAAATTCACTCTTACTGTTCAATCTGACAAAACAATTTCGTTTTCTGATGGTATTATGTGTCATGCAACAGTAGGAAAACAAAGACAAGAGATATTCACTTTATATCTAAAAGGACAATTTGTCCGACCATTTATCTCTTTCAATAAACAAGTTGTCACTTTTGTGCATGTTCATAATTCCGCTAAAGAAGAAGAATTAACAGGAAATGAGCATACAACTAAAGCCATTTCACCACCAACAGAGCTATTACCACAGTTACGAAGTGACTTTGAGATAAACAACTCTTCAAAGTTACCTTTGACTGTAAAAGCTGAATGTCCATCTCCTTTCTCTATTTCGGAGACGAATTTTGTTTTGGAAGCATCACAAAAGAAGAAATTAACGGTAACATTCGAACCTACATTTAAAGAAGATTATTCTTGTGAAACTATCAACAAAAAGATTGTTTTCACTTATAAAGAACATCCACAAGTTTCGACATTGAACTTGCAAGGATCATTTATATTCCCCAACATCATATTCAAACCAGACAAAAAGATTGATTTCGGAATTTTGTTGTATAACACTGAACAGTCTAAAGACATTTCCATGACTAATCCTACAGATCTACCAGTAGACTTCGTATGGGAATTGTTCCCAGACGCAAATGGTGTTGACATCAAAAACATTTTCGATATTTATCCAATCAGAGGACACATCGAACCGAAATCATCAGATACAGTACATATTTCTTTCTTCTCACAAATGGATTCGGAAGGAAGATCAACAACTTTCCAAGGAAAAGCTGTTTGCCATGTAATAGGAGGCCCTGATTACACAATGAAATTAGTTGGCGGGTCCGCAAACATACAATATAAATTAGATCCGGTTGAAATGGATCTTGGTGATATTGGCTATTTAGATAATATCCAAACTAATATTACTTTATCAAATTTGAGTGATGTTCCATTGAATTTTGCTGTGAAAATACCAAAAGGAAATGCATTTACTACTTTCGTTGTTACTCCTAATGAAGGAACAGTCCCTGTAAATACAACACAGAAGTTTAATATAATAATGACTCCTGGTTTACCAAGAATGTTTGATGAAACATTCTTTATAAGAATTGGTCATTTCGATGAAGCAAGAGTAAACATAAGAGTTAATTGTTTCATTCCACAATGTAAACTTTCATTGCCAAGACATGAAACAGATCCTTTGTTGATGCAATTTAACCAAAAGAGTGATAACAAGAAACTATCACAAACAAGAAGAAGAAATGCTTTGGTAATGGTATCAACAGCAACAGTGATGGAGGAGGAAGAAGAGGAAGAGGAAATAGAAAGTAAACAACCAACAGATGAAGAATTATGCGAAATAGAAAAACAGTTGTTAATTCAAAAATTGACAAATAAAACAATGTTTGACCAATCATCTTTGAGAAGAAGAAGACAGAAAGGAGAACCTGTTCCTGTTTACGAAGGATATGTCGCATCAAGATTCGTATTGGATATGGGCAAAATCGTTTTCGGAAAGAAAGAAACTCGTAAATTTACAATCACTTCACTTGCTCCTTCTCCTATTTCATTTGAATTGAATACAAAAGAAATTGCTGAAAGTGGATTTACCATTGAACCTACTTCCTTCAAAGATGTTCCTCCTAATCAACCAATAGAAGTAACTGTTACATTTGACATTAAAAAGAAAGCTCCTGAAGTTAATGGTGTTGTTAATTATACAATGCCACTTTTATTCAATATTGATTACGCTTATATTCTTTATTTGAAGGCCGATTTGCAGAGACCATATTTGAATTTATCACAGACACATTTCGATTTCGGAACAACAATTGTTGGTCAGACATATACAATGACATTACAATTGCAAAACATGAATACTGTTCCTGTCGAATTCCACTTTTCTGATGCCCAATTTTCGAATGTTTTGACACAAAGAAGTATTGCAAAAGATCCAGGTTTCATCAATGTCTTCACAGCAACGCCATCAATGGGTATTTTACCACCTGTTTCATTCCAAAACATTGATATTTCTTTCCTTCCTACTCAAGAAAAGAATTATTCAATGCAATTCCCAATTGACATCAAATACAACAATCAAACATCATTTGTTACTTTGAAAGGACAAGGTGTCCAATTAAAAGTAACATTTGATCCACCAGAATTGCATTTACCACCAATCCTTCCTTTCTCAGATCCATCACAGATACAAGTAAAGATGGTAAATCCAACAGGATATCCAATAGAAGTTATCGCAACTCAATTTGATTTGCAGTTATTAATTGAAGAAGAATCCGCAAAGAAGAATTTGGTTTTAGACGCTTCACAAACAATAAGTGAATCGGATATCAATGTACAATTACCACAACAAATTCCGCAAACTCCTGCTGTTTCCAAATTCTCTATTTGTGTAATTGTTCATGGTCCTTCTGGCTCTGGAAGAACAACAATCTCTAACGCTGTTGCAAAATATCTTGGAAATGTTCCAATAATTTCTGTCAAAGCTTTATGGGCAGATTTATTGAAACAAACAGAGCCACCACCATCTCAAGCTGATTTCGTTAACATATTCCAAGAAAGAATTGTTCAGGCTGATTGCTCAAATGGTTTTGTCATTGACGGTTTGGACGGTTTGCCAGATGTTCCTGACATTGAACAGTTTTACACTCATTGTCTTAAGACGAAGAATATTTGGGATGAATCAATAAAGAATCCATTCAAACCAATAGAACATCAAGTTTTGGCTGCTTGTGAACAAGCTCTTTCTTACATTTTAGCTGCTTTGGATGGACATTATGTTTTCATGGTTGCTTTGCATGCAACTGAGGATATTCTTAATGAAAGAAAAGATGCAATGGCATCAGCTGAAAGAAGACGTAAAAGACATGAAGCTGCTGCAGAAAAAGTCGCTTTGTTCAAGATGTCTGATGAAGAATACTTGAAATTAACTGAAGAAGAAAGACAACAAGTTGACAAGAAACGAGAAGCTTACAGAAGAAGAGCACTTAGACAAGCTTTAGAGAGTGATGCAGAGAAAGGAATTGTCAATGCTGATACGGATTTGATGTCTTCAAGAAGAAGATCTTCATCACATAGATCATCAAGAGATAAATCAAAGAAAGAAGATACTCCAACAAAAGAAAAAAGTGACAAAAAAGAGAAAAGTGACAAAAAGGAAAGCCGAAGACATTCTAAAGACAGAAGAAGTTCGTCAGCCAAATCAGGTGATAAAGGAGATGCAGAAAAAGAGAAATCATCAAAGGAAAAGAAAGAATCTTCATCAAAAGATCCAAGAAGACGCGAAAAAGACAGTGCACTTAAATCTCCTAAGGGAGAATCTTCTGATAAGAAGAAGTTAAGACAATTAAAGGCTTATCCAACAGATCCAATACAAAGGGATGTAATAGGATTCACATTTACACTTGGAACAATTGTTCAAAGACTCAAAGATGGTGGAGAACAATTTGCTTCAATTGATCCACATGATATCATCAAAGATTCAGTGAAACCATCTGCAATTGCATCCAAAGAAAGTTTGCCAAACGCTGAAACATCAAGTTTATTAGCTTCGCCTAATTTGACCAAATCCAAATCTAGTTTGGGTTCTGATTTATTGATGGCTCCTTTCATTGTTTCTCAGAATGTTATTTTAATCGAATCAATGGGCAAACCAGAAGATTCCAATGAATACATCTATAACTTCATTCCTCAAATCAATCAGCTCAAAGAAAAGGCTTTCACACGTCTTATTCCTGCTCCAAGAATCAGTTTACCTGATCCTTCAACATTAACAAGAGCAACTTTGTCACAAATGCCGAAATTCTTCTCTATTGTTGTTGAAGAACCATTTACTCCAGAACAAGTAAATACAACACATGTGATGAGACCAGATTCAACAACTAAAAGTGGAAGAAAATCAAGAACAAGAAGAGATAGATCAAATGAGCCTTTGTTCTCTGAGGATTACGATCTTTCAAAGAGAACTCCTGTTTGGAAGATTGAACCAAATTCAAGTCAAACATTGACAATCCAATTCGAAGCGCAGTTGGCTGGTGTTTACAAAGATAACATCATCTTCTCTTTGATAAATGGAAGAAGCGATGTAACTAAATTAAGAGTTATTGGTACTTGCGCTTATCCAGATATTACAAGAGATTTGAAATTGTTATTCCCGAAGAGAGTTCCAAGATTAGACAACAAAACAGAAACGGCTTTTGTTGCTGATATTCAACAGTTCTATTTCGGATCTTTGTTGGTTGCCAAGGATAGACCTGCAAAAGCACCTCCTGCATACAGACAAGCCATTACATTGACAAATCCTTCTCTGTTTCCTGTTGAATTGTCTGCGTTTTTACTTGAGAATCCTCCGAAATCTCCATGGGTTATTGAGAAGCCAGTATTAACAATTGAACCGGGACAAAATGCTGAATTCTCATTTGGAATACATCCAACACAACCTGACACATACCACAACACAATTATCTTCTTCATTAAAGATAATCCAGAGCCATTTACATTCCCTGTTGGTGCTGAAGGTTGTGTCCCAACAATTGAGTTGAATAATCTCAATCTCGAATTCGAAAAACTTCTTTTGAATCAAACTAAAACATTGTCAATCGAACTCAAGAATCCAGGAAAGATTCCAGCAGCATGGAGACTCAAAGGACAACAACAGCTTGGCACAAACTTCACATTCAACTGCCAAGAAGGTGTGTTAAATCCAAGAGGTTCATTTACAATTACTTGCCAATTCACTTCGAATAAATCATTGGCAATAAAGAAAGCAATACAAATAGAGACATTGGATAAAAGTCTTGCTCATGTCTTCAGCACGAAGAACATCAATATTTCTGCTGAAGCATTCGATGTCAACTTTGACTTCCAATATCCAAAAGGATTAGATCATTTGCAATTCGGAATGATGAAAGTTTCTCAGCAAAAATCTATTGCAGTCACATTGAAGAACAAAGGAAAGTATCCATCTCTTTTCAAGATCACTGTTGCAGGAGCAAGAATTGCTAAGTTATTCACAATAACACCAAACGAAGGAACATTAAATTCCAATGATAAACCTTTGACAATTAATTTCAATTTCACTTCCCCGAGATTGATTAATTACTCAAATGCAAAAGGTTTGGCATTAGTTATCACTGATTCTTTGACGAACACTGTAACAGCAACACTTCCTATTCCATTCTCCGCACAAACTGTTTACAGCTCATTCGTTGTTAATCCAACAGGAACAATTGATTTTGGTGCTTTGGCTTGTAACGAACAACTCACGAAACAAATAACAATAGAAAACAATGGATCATTCCCATTCGAATACGATATACAGCCTAAACCAGAACCAGTTGATCCTAAAGAAGTTACAACTCCGAAAGGAAAGAAGAAAGCACCAGCGAAACCACCAGCTCCAGCAAGAAAAGTTGGACGAGGAAAGGAAAAATCGATATTAATAGGTAACTACATAATTGTTCCATCACAACAAGTTGTTCCTCCTGGTGGAAAAGTTTCTATTGACGTTGATTTCCAGTCAGCAACAAATGGCAATTTCGACAGTACAGCTTTGATATCTATAACAGATGTGGATACTTCAAAGACTCCAGGACCAATTCCAATTTCTTTCCACGCAGCTGTTCATACTCCAGCGATTTTGACTCATGATTTCGAGAAAATCTTTGTTGGAACGATGTTATCTTTGAGATGCGATATTTCCAAAGATCCACAAACAGCATTTCTTGAAGATGAACAAGTTTTATTCTTCGCTGCAAGAATTCTTGGTCAGAAAACAGAAGTTCCGATGTCATTAACAAATCCTTTACCAATTCCGTGCACAGTTGATTTGGCCTTGAAACCAAATGCAAAAGGAAAAGCAGCTCTTCAGAATTTCCCATTCGATATCAATGAGAAAACAGTAACAATTGGACCAAATGGAAAATATACTGTCATGGTTTCTTTCCTTCCTAATACTTCCGAGAAATTCCTTGCAACATGTGAAGCAGTTGTCAGAGGAAATACAAATGGAGAAGGAAGAATGTTGAAGTTCGGATTGGAAGGAACAGGAACTTTACCAACTGTTTCATTGGTTGGAGAGAAAGATAAACCAGGAAAGAATGGAATTGTGTCAATCAATTTAGGAAAGATATTGATTGGATTCACAAAGGAGAAAACAATTTGTTTGGCTAATGAAGGAATGATTCCTGCAAAGATTTCAATCACTGCAAAAGCTTCTCCTGATTTCGAATTAAACAATGTTGATTCAGCTCAGGAATTCGTTTTAGATCCAAACCACAAATTCAATCTTCCTGTTGTTTATGCTCCTCAAAAGGCAAGAAAAGGACAATTCGATATCAATGTTACTTGCATTGATAATCCGAAATCAAACATTTCTTTGTCGATTACAGCTGAAGGATTCAGTGAAGACGTCATTTTCGAAGGTTTGCAAGAAGACGAATCAGATCTCTACTTTAGAGATAATGTTGTTGGAAGACAGCAACAACAAACATTCGTTATGCACAATGTCTCGCAGAATCACATCAAATTCCAGTGGGGAACTCATCCAGATTTCTCTTTCTCGCCAAGAATTGGACACTTGCATATGGGACAGAGAAAGACAATCACTGTTACGTTCTTCACAGACAAGCCAATCAAACACAATGGAGTTAAAATTGCTTGTCAGTGGCAAAAGATCGATTTCGCGAATCCTTCTGCACATGATTGGGATGATTCGATGAAAATTGTGAAATTTGTCACTAAAGGATCATTAAGACTGGCAGAACTGAAACAGAAAGAACAAGAGCAAGAAAAGCAGCAGACTAAATCTAACAAGAGATCTCCACTTTCAAAGAAAGGAACTCCTGTTGAAATTGAACTATTAAATATTCCTGATCCGACTGACAACGAAATCGTCAAAGTTGTTGAGATCAAACCAGAACCAGAAAATACTCCACAACAGGTTAAATGCAAAGATTTGGTCTTGAGAGTCTTCGCTATCTCTGATTACATCAAATACCACTGTGATACAACAGACATTTCATACAGTCCAACAATGATGTACCAGAAGAGATCTTACGAAGTAAAATTGCAGAATACTTGTGGAATCAGATTCGAATACACATGGCAAGTTGAAGATTTCAAAGCTATCAGAACATCGTCACAAAGTGTTCCTTTCTCTGTCATTCCTTCAACAGGATTCATTGATGCAGGTGCTTCTACAACTTTCTCTGTAAATTTCGAACCAGAAGAAGTTGATGATTTCACTGCAAAACTTGTTTGTGCAATTCCTTATTTGTCTCAAATGGAGCCACTAAACATTATGGTGTCCGGTCTTTCAAGACGTCCATTGTGCCACTTCAATGTCGAAATGAGTGATTATATTTCTGCAGGAAGAAGACATCCAGATTATACAGACGTTCTTCCAGAAGATATCAGAGTTGTTGAGTTGTTCTCAAGTGGAATCGGAAAGAGAGCAACAAAGAAGTTCGAAGTAATTAATCCAACAGCTTCAAGCTACGAAGTCAATTGGACAAGAGTTGGAAATGGAAATGCAAGAGATCCAATACAATGCGACACTCCTGCTGCTTTAGTTTCGAGTGGAAAGAGATACATGGTTGCTTTCTCTTATTTACCAACTTCAAGTAGAATTGTTGAATCTCAATGGGACTTCCATATCCCAGAACATGGTGTTACAGTTCACTTCCTTATTGTAGGTAGAATAGTTCCAAAGTAATTATTTCATAGTTTATATTTTTTTTATAGATTATATTTATTTATTTTTATGTGTGTAATAAAAATTTAAAATTGTTAACTAAGCGGAGATTTTGATTCAATTGAATTGTTTTAAACTAAAATAGATATCTCTTATTTTTGTCATAGAGCATGATATGCATGACCTAAATAATTATTTCTTCCTTTGGAGAAAACTTAAGAAATGTAGCACATTCATAATTAATTCAAATGGAAAATACTTATATAAAATGTCTATATCTTGTCATTTGTTTCTTCCATATTTTAAAAATGATTAAAGAATTTATTAACTAATATAAACGAATTTAATCGCATAAAATACAAACAAAATTTATATATAATTAGAATTATGAAAGTGCATTCAACAGAGGATCTTGTGATGGGAAATATTGGCTTTGTGAAGGAGGTTGTTGAGTTTCTTGTTCATAGTCAATTACTTCTTCTTCGGAGTCATCATTTTCAATTTGTTTTTGTGTAAATTGTATTACATTATCGAAATTGATAACTTTCTTCTCTGTTGGACTGTTGACATTAGCATTTTGGTTTTCTTTAAGTCTAAGATTTATCATTTTTCTGATTGAAGAAATGTCTACTTTTGGTGGTTTCTCTTTTTCTTCCTTTTTTGGTTGTTCATTAACAATTTTTTCTACTTTTTCTGGATTTTTGTTTTCTTCAACATGTTGTTTTTCTGTTTCTTCTATTTTCTTTTCTTTGTCTTCATCTTCTTCTGCTGGTTCTTCAATATCGTAAACAACTGGTTCTGGAGGTGGAACAATACATGATGATTGTGACTGCTGTTGAGATGGGAGCTTGGATATTGGACTTCCATGCCTACTATGAGTTCTTTGAGAGAATTCTTGGCTAAAAAGTCTAATTTGCTGTTGTGATTCAGCAGAAGATTGAGACTGGACGATGACTAATGGATTTATCCTGCTTGGTGAATCGAAAGCTGATAATAATACTTGAGAACTAACAGTTTTCTTCGGTGAAATTTGTTGAATCATGAATTGTTTAGGATCTATGAAATGTGTAGAATTTTCCATTGCTACTATCCAATCTGGAGTATAGTATGTGTTCTGATTTGATAATATGAGCGAAGGATTTCCAATGCAGTAATCTGGCCTTCTACCTGCATCTGTAATCGATCCACCCATTAATACGACTGATCTTGAGAGTTGAGAACGTGTTTTTGTATCAATTGAATTATGAAATGCAACTGATTTATGAATTAGTAATAAATTTTTAATTTTATCTGTAGGTTTTAACTGATATGGATTCATACCATGTTCTATTACTGCTCTTAGTCCAATAAATGTTACTGTGGGGACTTTTAGACGGTTCTGGAGGTAAATTTCGTTATCAGATACAATTCTGAGTGAATTTGAAGAAAGATCTGAACAGACAAATCGAAATTCTTCTCCTAGAGAATCCAAATATTCTTTGATTAAAGATTTCTTTTCCTCCTTTATTGAATTAGAAAGGAAAACATTCTTTATCATTGAAAATTTGAAAATAATAAACGGGAAAAAAAGTTCCAGGCAAAAATTTAAAATTTTATTATTGACTTTCGATTTAAATTGAATTTTGTGGTTACTGTATCGAATGTAATATGGGAGAATGTCTATTTCGAAAAAAATAATGTTCCGATCACGACAATAGACATTAAAATGCATAATTCTCCATCATAGAGTTATTTTAGATCCTTGATCTTTTAGGCGCTACTAAAGCATACTATTTTCAATCTTTTCAATCTCAATCTATTTAGTCCCTTTATGCTTTTTTATGAGATTAAATAGGAGATCGCAAGACAAATTATGACATTTCTCACTATTTTCACATATAATTAGATAGCCTAATACTAATACTAACGTTTTGTAACTGTGTTATTGTGTTAATACATAAAAAGTATTATGCTAATTTAATTCTAAAAAAAAATATTGTGTTTATAAGGTAACAATATATTATTTGTGCTATTATATACGAAGATATAACAATAACGCTGTTATTTATCCCAAATATATTGAATTTAATATAAAAAAAATTATTAATTATTATTTCTGTTTGTAACGAGGCCTTTAATAAATGCATAGTTTAATATGATGATTTACAATAATAAAATGTGATAATTCTCTTAATTTTTTATTATGAAATATTTTGCATATTATTAATATAATAGATGATAGAAATTGATTTAAGGAAGTCTATATCTATTCTATGATTAAAATTCGATATAAATCGATTTAAATAGCAAATGCAAAAATTGATTAAGATATTAGGCAAATAGCTGTGGTACATCATTTAAATAGTAATGTTTGTGAGGGTGTATATGCGCAATTTGTGAAAAAAAAAGTTTTTTCTCTCATAATACTTTTTATTATTATGCTTATTTAATTCTAAAAAAAGATAAGAACTTGAACACTTTCTTTACAATATATTTGCCTCGGCCTAGATGAGTTATGATCTATGCATATATTCATTCACTTCAAAATGCAGACTTGAATAATTTTGCCCTCTATCGTCGTGATTGGAACGATTATTTTCGAAATAGACCCAAAGACGAATATTTTTTTTTCGAAATAGACATTCTCCCAATGTAATATAAATCTCCAAAATGGTTGCGGAAAAAATGTATATGCTAGCAACAACGGATTGCATTCACCAGGATAGGAACATATTTGTTCAAATAGATCAAAACTGTTTTTGATGGTCTGAAACGATCAATTCATTCTTCTAATAAGAATTAGTATTATTTTGAAAAAGAACTAAAATTATTTAAATATAGAATTCTTTTAAAATTCGCATTAAAGCCATGTGCAGATTCAGTGTGCGAGAAACTCCATGAATCCCAAGTATATGGAGAACACGTATGTTTTTTCCAAAATATCGGAAAAAAGAAATGTAAGAATCTTATGCAGGAATATTATTTTTTGCCCCATGTGAAATAAGAATTTCGGCTGTTTCTTTCGAATAATTCTTTTCTGCAATATGAAGAGCTGTTTCTCCATTTTCATCTTTTTCATTGATATTTGCACCATGTGAAATAAGAAGTTCGACAATTTCTTTACTATTATAATATGCTACATAATGAAGGGCGGTTTTTCCAGATTGATCTTTTTCATTGATATTTGCACCATGTGAAATAAGAACTTCGGCAGTTTCAATGCTATTATTACGTGCTGCATTATGAAGAGCGGTTTGCCCAGATTGATCTTTTTCATTGATATTTGCACCATGTGAAAGAAGAACTTCGGCTGTTTCTTTATAATTATTACATACCGCAATATAAAGAGCAGTTTGCCCAGATATATCCTTTTTACTGATATTTGCACCATGTGAAATAATTAGTTCAACTATTTCTTTACTATTATTATTTGCTGCAATATGAAGAGCGGCTTTTCCAAATATACCATTTTCATTGATATTCGCACCATGTGAAAGGAAATATTTGCAAAGATATGGAATATTAAACAGAGGTGAACAAATAAAACAGTTTTTAACATCATTAGTTTGATCGAAATAAACTAAAAATGATTCAAGATTATTATTATAGGGTGTCCAAAGGTGTGTTTAGCACAAACCTGAATACTGCGAATAGAAATAAACAAGTTACATATATATAAAGTTTATTTAAATATAATCACCATTGGATTCAATCACGCGTTCGCAGCGATCGATCCAGGCTTGAAAGACACGCTTTAAATCATCATGAGAAAATTGCTCAAATTGCTCTCTTACAAAATTTTCAAGATCATCTGGACTCGCGAATTCGCGTCCTTCAGCTCTCTTTTTTAGCGTGCCGAATAAATAAAAGTCAGAGGGTGCAATATCAGGTGAATAAATTGGGTTTGGAACAACTTTGACATTGTTTTCCACCAAGTAATTCATTACCTTATGACTTTTGTGAACTCTTGAATTATCAAAATGAATTGCAAACTTTTGTTTTTGTTGTTTGGATTTCTCAAACTCATCAGAATTGATAATTTGAGTAAGAACATTGTCAATTAGATACTGAGCATTCATCGTATTAGGTTTTTGAAGAATATCAATTGCGATGATGCCATTCACGCCCCAAAAAACCGACAACATCATCATTGGTGTGTCAATTTTTTTCTTCGGGAATGTTTGCGGATTTTCATCCTTCGGGATCCACATGATTTTGGCTTCTGTTGCATATTGAAACCAAGACTCGTCCCCTGTTACTAAAAAGCGAAACTTCTTGGATTGATACGCACCCAATATAGAGAGGAGCTCTTTCGAAGATTGGACTCTAGATTTTTTTTGAACTGAATTAAGGTTGTGCGGAACCCAACGTGTATACGCTAGTTTGTAGTTCAAATAATTGTGCAGATAATAACTGACTGTTGTACGTGGTATCTTTGTCATCTCCTCTATCCTTCTGAGTGATGCTCTTGGGTCTTCATCTAGCGCTTGAAGAATTGCTTTGATTTTTCTTTGATCCGGCGATTTTTTGTCAATTTTTATGATGGGCGCCTTTTTGTTCATGAAGTGATACATCCTAACATGATACGTTACAGTGGAATAGCTAGGAGCATCCATACCGAAGCATTTTACCAATGTCTCGTAGACTTTTTTACAGTCTTTGCATTTTTTTGCAAGAGCGAGGATGTTTTCTTTATGATTCATTAAAAAAATGAAAAAAATCCCACCAAAATTTCCCGCGAAACCGCCTCTTGTCTCAAAATTCATTTTATATCCCGGCATGGCGCCAAAATACAACATACTCATCATATACATATATTCATATTTTTTATTATATATTTATAATCAGCATATATCTCCTTTAATAGTCTCATATAGAGCGCTGTGCTAAACGCACCTTTGGACACCCTATATTACAACAATAGTTTAAATTGATATTTATATTGAATTCATTCATCAAGAATGTAACAAAGTCAATGTTGTGTGAAGCAATTGCATATATCATGCATTCTCTTTTTGGTTTTTGATGTTTCAAACATTCACTCATGATATCGGCGTTTCTTCCTAAAAATGAAAGTTGGAGACATGTTTGTGTGATTTCTGAATGAAATTTCGTAATTAATAATTTGAAACAGTCAACTGAACCGTAATAACAGCATAATTCAAGTAATGAATATTCTTTTTTAGAGTTAGGATATAAACTACTTTGAAGTTTCTGATTTTTATCAAATTCATCTGTTTCTGTGAATGTGATGAAAGTTTCTTTGTCATTAAGCATGATTGCTCTGTAAATAGTATTTTCGTTATCAATATCAATATTTTTGAATTTATTTTTGTCGAAATCATAAGATTTGCATAATTTAATTCCATATTCTTTATAAAATAGGAAGTTAGAAATAGGCTGAACATTGTAGACATCTTGGACATGATAATCGTCAGAAACGAGCTTGGCAAGGGATAAATATGACTTTGTATACCGATTATTATACGGAATGATATTTAAAATGTCTTGTATAATATTTTGAGGAAGATGTTTCCTCGAATCAATCAATTCTGTTTTGATCATCTTGTAAATAGAGTTTATTTCTTCTTCTTTGTCAGATTTTAACTGATACAGAGCATTATATGAATCAATGTAGTATTTACAGATACTCCGCAATTTGCTGTATTCATCTGGATGAATGTCTTGATCAGACATCAAAAAATTTTAAAATTTTTTTTATTTCCATTTTACAATATCTTTAGAACAATTCTATTTTATATATGTTGAAAACGATGATCACAAAGATTTCATTTATGAATTATAATTAAAATTACAAGCATATCATGTGATTTTAAGTCCGATGAGATGAATAAAGTTTAGTGATCTACAGTGTGAAGACATAAACTTACTGCATTCCCTTATGCCAAAATATCAAATTTGAAATAATATAATTTCTTGCCTCAGGTGGCTACGCTTGCCCTTCATGCAAACATGCCATCTTCGGCAAAATATATATATTGATTATAGAAGTTCATCCGAACTCTCTGAAGTTTTTGGATAATTTTATCGTCATTTGTTCGGAAAAGCACATATAATGAATTCCGATTCTTAATGCATTACAATAACCAAGCAATTGTCATTTTGTGAGTTTGGATGATAATTAAATAATAAATCTATTGAAAAAAATTGTTTTTTTGCTATTTGGTTGGCGCTTTGTGCCAGCCAAATAGCGGAGAATTCTGATATATGTTAAAATTTCTGAACGAAAACTATCAAAAATAAGAATCTAATTTATTGTAGAATAAATATCCGCAAAGTCTTCGTAACATCCTTAATTAATAATATACACCTTATCGTAATTCATATTAATGACAAATAGCATATTGCGTTTTTAAAAACTGAATCGTGGCAAATGGTCTTAAATACACTCTTAAGCAATAACTTTGTAATATCCTAGTAAAATAACTTCTTATAACCATGGATGATCAAAAATTTAGTTTGCAAAAGATATATTTTTCTGTCTCTTTTTGAAATTTACCACCACTATTTTGAAAAAAAAATTACATCATTTTGATTCATGCTTGAAAGGCAAATTCGTTCTCTGAACTCGATAGTTATTCCTGATGAACTGAAACAGTATCAACAGATTATAGACTTAATTTGGAATGACCTGATTGTTGATCAACTAGTCCAATTTTACAAAAATGGCACAATAACTCTTGAGTTCATCAATAATATGTTTTATGTTTTCTTACAATATTATAAAACATAAAATTCTTTCAATACATGATTTCTTTGGGTTATCAAGTTGATTTCCGCTATAACTATTTATATATTTTAATTCCTCTTCTTTTTGAAGCTCTAATAAACAAGAAATATGAATTAGTAAAGTTTCATGTTGAAAAATGAGCTGATGTGAATGCAGTTTTTCCAATTTTCAATTATTTAACAGCGCGTGAAACATGGACTCCTCTCAGATATGCTGTCCCGCATGATATTATTGAATTTGCAAAATTTTTGTTGGATCATGGTGCTAATAAGGATCAAAAAATTACATTTAATGGATGTTTTCATTTCAATGAAAAGTCTGTTATTGAGTATGCAATAAGCGATGAAATGAAAGCATTGATAAGTGATTATAAATATGAGTTAAAATAAATTGTATTCATACATTAGAGTTTTACCCATTTTTAGAAAATATAATTTTGAGAAAATATAACAATGCATGCTGTCACTTTTTGAAAATATTAGGTAAAATTTGTGATATCTCTTCTTCTAGATAGGCCGAAGTAGCTGTCAAAGAGGAAAAACATCATATTAAACTTCGAAATTTGAATGGATTACAACAAAAAATGAATGAAGTACAGAAATTAAAAAAAAATAAATAACAAGTTTATTAGATATCGTACGATGTTTTTGTTGTATATGCTGTGAATAATTGTCTTCTCTTTTCTCAAAACAAAATGAGATTCAACAATAATACGTACATTTATAACTTCACTGAGAATTTATTTAATCTTTTTATTAGTCTCGTTAATTATGAGTTTCAACTGTGAAATTTCTTGGTCTGTAACATAATATCTATAATAACATTTGATGTAATGATATTGCTCACGTAAAAACCACGTACATATAGCTATAACTATCACTTGATGAAAATTATCTATATCATTTTCTAAATTGAAATTTATATATAAAAAATAAGTAAATGCTGGATCAAGCCTCTCTAGAATCAATTAATAATAGTATTAAAAATAAGGTGATAAAAAATGTCTTTACTGAATATTTGCGTATCTTCCTGTTGCTCTTCTTCTTGCAGCAGGATTTACAGGAGAAATTGGCATACTTGCGTCAGGAACTGGAGCCGTTCCTGGTGCAGAACTTGGTGCCTTCTTGATACTGCTCATGGAAGGTGGAGGTGGAGGAGCTGTTGGTTCATTAGTTTCTCCATTTCCGAAAACGTATCTTCCTAAAACTGGGTCATACCTCATTTGGTTGTCTTGTTTACTGAGATCTACTTCCACAGACTTCTTCTTCCTTCCGAATATTGAAGAGAAGAAACCTCTTTTCTCTTCTTTCTGTTCCTCTTGTTTCGGCTTTTGTTCTTCCTGCTTTGGTTTAGCTTCTTGTGGCTTCATTTCTTCCTTCTTTGGCTTTGGTGGTTCTTCATCTTCTTCTTTCTTTGGAGGAGGAGTTTGTTGTTGTGGCTGCATTGGATTAAATACTGGTGTTGAATAGGATATTCCAGAGCCACCCATCATTGGATCAGGATTGTAACTGTCGTATCCACCCAGCATTGGATCCATGAAATCATTGCCTGAGCCTTGCATTGGATCATTATATTCATAATCATTACTTTGCTGTTGTTGTTCTGGTTGAGATTGTTCTGGTTGCTGTTGCTGTTGCTGTTCTTGGTTTTGTTCTTCTGGCTGAGATTGTGTTTGAGAAGGAGCGAAGAGTTGTGGCTTTGGCTCTTCTTGTTTTGGTTCTTCTGCAGAAGGAGAAGGAGCTGCACCTGGAATGAAGAATCCTTGAGAAGGAACCTTTGCAATTGGTGCTGGAGCAGGAGTGAATCTCTTTGGCATCATCGGTGGAGGTGCGAAATTGTTGACTGCTGGATGAGATGGTTGTTCTTCATGTGTTTGTTGTTGTGGAGCATTGTTTTCTTCTTTCTTTTCTTGTTCCTCTTGTTGAGGTGTTGGAGCAGCTCCTGGGATGTAGAACTTAGAAGCTGATGAAGAAGGAGAGAAAGAAGTTGGAGGAGTAAATCTCTTAGGCCTCGCTGGAGGTGGAGCGAACTTGTTTGCTGTCATGTCTTGGCTGCCTTGCGGTGAAGAAGCCATTCCTGACTGCGATGATGTCTGTGGAACATAGAGATTTGGCATGTTATTGCTCGATGAATGCTCTGATTTGTTCTCTTGTTGTGGTGGTGCATTGACAACTGGAGGACGAGTAATAACTGGTGCTGCAGGAGGTGGAGTGAACTGATTGGTTTGTGGCTTTTGCTCTGTTTGTTGCTGTGGAATGAATGGTTTGTTCATCGCAGGAGGTGGAGCAAACTGATTGTTTTGATTATTTTCTGGTTGTTGTGGTTGCTGAGGAATATATGGTTTGTTCATCGCAGGAGGCGGAGCAAACTGGTTGTTCTGGTTATTTTCTGGTTGCTGAGGAATAAATGGAGCAGCAACAGGTGGTTTAGCAATTGCTGGAGGAGGAGCGAATTGGTTATTTTGTGGTTGCTGAGGAATGAATGGTTTAGCAGCTGGTGGAGGTGCAGTAAATTGATTCGCAGGTGGAGGAGTGAACTGATTTGCGGGTGGAGGAGCAAATTTGTTTGCTGGAGGTGGCATTGAGTTTTGATCCTGTTGAGGTAAGTAAGGAACATTTTGTTGAGGAGGTTTCATCATTGGTGGTGGAGGAGCTGTAGTTTGCTTCATTTCTGGTGCAGGAATGAAAGCAGTTCTTTGTAATGATTGTGGAGATGTTTGTGGAGAAATTCCTGTCTGTTCAACGAAATCGATTGAAATAGAACTTGGAAGACGGGGAACATTCAACATCTGCTCTTCATTTGAGTCATCGCGACGATTGACGAAACTGCTGATGAATGAATCAACTTTAGATGACAACTTCTTTGGCTGTGATGATTTGATGAAGCTGCTAATCAAACTACCAAAGAACTGCGCAATTGGCTGCAAATCTCTAAGATTATTCTTAGCAATAATTGCACTCAATTTATCGAAATTGTCTTTAGCTCTTTCAGCAAATCCAAAATCAGCCAAAGCGAGTGTAAATATCACAATGTATTTAAGAAATGCTGGACCTTTCACTCCAGACAACTGTGTCATGATAATTGAAGACACATTTGGTTTATCCCATGTAGAACCAATCATAGAGAATGGAGAAGGAGCTGCGTTAACTTCTTCCGAAGCCAATAATCTGCAAACATGAGCTGCACGAGACATTTTCGCTTGGTCAAGAACATCAGCCATTTGTATCAATGATGTTTGTGCTCCAGGCGTGAAATGTCTCATGATTGTTGCGAGGTTTGATCTCCATGTATCAGCGTTAATTCCTGCGAATCCGGAAATCGCCAAAAGAATGTTTTGTAGTGGACATGGAGACAAAGAAGTTTCAACAAATTGTTTGATCGTTTCGCGAAGTGATTCTATATTAAATGATGCAGAAATAACTAACGCGAAATCCCAAAGTTTGTTTTGTTTGCAGTATTCCAATGCTTTTTGTTCTCCTTGTGAAGCAATGATATTTTGGAGCTGATCAACTAAAGCAGGATTAATAGAAGGAACATTGTAATTCGTTGGAACATTCGATATTCCTGAATGTGAAAGAATTCCAAGTAATTGATATTCTGGGGATTCTTGGATCTTCGCATTCGCTATGAATTGCTGTGAATCAACTTTGTTTTGGTTTCTGTATCTGATACGAATTGTTGACCACAATATTGAGTCATCAGCACTTTCGCATTCCATAACTCTTTCGCTGAGGAATTTCTCTCCCGACTGCTTGTCTTGGTCGATGTTGAAATTGAAGCCGTTTATTTGCTTGATGATTGGATTTGTTGCAAACGCTTCTTTAATGTCTGTGACAGCGAGATTTCCATTCTCAACACAACACATCATTCCTCCAAATCCCATTGCAATCAATGGTTTCCTGTGTTTGAAGAATGGCTGTGTCTTACTGAACTGAACAGGTTGTGATGTAGAATGAACAAATTGTGTCAACTGAGAATCAGGCTTTGGCAAGAAATCGTTTTGTTTAATATGATCTGATGTCTGTGATCTTGTTATTCCACGATTTATTGCTGTATTCGGAAGTTGTGGTGGATTTGAATTTGACGGTGGAGGAACAGCCAAATTCAACGACTGATTTGGATAAACACCAGTATTAGTTTGATTTGGATATACTCCTGGTGTTGTTTGAGGCATTTGTGGTTGTGGGAAAGAAGGAGCAATTGATGGAGGGGGAGCAAATTTATTTGCAGGGGGAGGTTGGATGGAAGGAGGAGGAGCAAATTTATTGGCTGGAGGAGGTGCTTGTGCAGAAGGTGGTTTGTTGGCAGCACCTGGAATGTGTGGAGGAGGTGCCATCGCTGGAGGAGGAGCGAATTTGTTCACTTTTGGTTGAGAAGAAACAGAAGGTTGAGAAACAGTTGGAGGTGCTGATCCTGGAATGAAAATTCCAACTTTTGCTTTCTCTGTTTGTTGTTGAACAGGTTGTGCAACTCCTGGAATATACATAGTTTTGTTTTGTTGTGGCTGATTCACTTGTTGTGGAACTGTTTGTGGTAAATTAGTTGGTTTAGGAGGCCCCGAAATAGATGGAGGAGTAGTTTGAGTAGGAACAAATGGTTTAGGAGCTGTTGGTGGCTTTTGAACACTCATTCCTGGAATATATGGTGCAGATGATGTTGGTTGTGATGGAGCAGGAACTGGAGGAGTAACTCCTGGAATCATAATTGATGGTTTAGATGAATTTGGAGGTGGTGCATTATTAGGAACAAAAATTTGTTTGTTTGTTTGTGGTGCTAAAGGTGATGAAACAATTGGTGGTTTCGTTGGAGCCATTCCTGGAATGTATGGCTGATTAACTTTGTTTGGAGGAGGTGCTCTTTGTGGTGATGTTTGTGGTGAATAAGCTGATGGATTCACCGTTGTTTGAGGAATGTTCAAACTTGGTACAGGATTGTTAGAAGAAACAGGAGAAGGTGCTGGAGAATGTTGTGCTGATGTATTCTCTGTGTGTTTCACATTTTTAGACCATGCTTCCCATGATGTGGCTCCGGAAGAAGGAAGTGCCCATGCAGGAGTTGTTGTGTCTTTGATTGGTTGTGCCCATGCAGGAAGACCTGTTGATTTCGGTTCTTCCTTGAGAGTATGAGCCCAGGATGGTAATTCTTTCTGTTTCGGTTCTTCTTTGATTGGCTGTGCCCAGGATGGTGTTGTTGTGTCCTGTTTAGAAACAGGAGATGGTTCTGTTTCGGATTGGCCGAAGATCATTGAAGCACTTTCTGCGATATCAGCTAATCTCTCTTTGGATGCGAACAAACTGTCTGTAGAACTGTTTGGAGTGCCAAATAGATTCGATGTCATCTCTTCTTCTTTCTTGTCTTCGTCTGGTTGGGACTGATTGAAGATATTTTGTTGTTCGGATGGTTCTACTTGGCCAAACAGTGAAGAACTGTTATTTGGAGAACTGAATAAATCTGATCCTGATTGCTGTTCTTCTTGCGGTTGTTGATTGAAAAGATTTGATTGATTATCTTGTGGAAGTGGATCAAATAGATTGGAACTTGTATTTGGAGCTTCAAATAATGATGTTCCTGATTGTTTGTTCTCTTGTGGAAGCTGATTAAAGAGATTTGACTGTTGCTCTGGCTGTTGTTGGCCAAACAATGATGAACTTTGTTTTGGAGCATTAACTTGTATTTGTTGTGGTGGTTTTTCTTGTTTTGGTGGTTGATTGAAGATATTTGATTTTTGTTCTGGTTTTTGTTGACCAAATAATGAAGAATTTGGCTTTGAAGCATTAGTTTGCGATTGTTCTGGTTGTTTTTCTTGTTTTGGTGGTTGATTAAAGATATTTTGTTGTTGATTTTCTTCTGGTTGGCCAAACAATGAAGAACTGTCATTAGAAGAACCAAATAATGATGAATTCTCCTGCTGATTATCTTGTGGCTGTTGGTTGAAAAGATTTGATTGTTGATTTGGTTGCTGTTGGCCAAATAAGTTGTTTACCTGTTGCTGTTCTTGATTATCTTGCTGTTGTTGGCCAAATAAATTGGAATTTTGCTGAGATGTCTTTGGTATTTTTTGTTGAGTTGGTTGTTTTTGGCCAAATAAGTTTGATTCTTGTGCCTTTTGTGGTTGTTGTACAGTAGGTTGTGGAACTGGCTTTTGTTGAGGTTGTGGTTTTGGAATATTATTTACTGGCTTTGGAGGAGGAGCAAATAATGTTGATTGTTGCTGTTTAGGTTCTGGTGTACTTGTTTCTGGCTTTGGTTGTTGTTCTTTTTGTGGAATATTTGTAGAAGGATATCTATTTTGTATTTGTTTAGGAGGTGGAGCAAAACCTTTTGGCTTTTGTGGAGCTGGAGGTTGTGCAAATATACTTGGAGGCTTTTCTTGTGGTTTTGGTGGTGGATTAAACAAATTTGAAGGCTGTTGTTGGTTTTGTGGTGGTACACTGAATAAATTAGAAGCATCTTGTGGTGGTTGACCAAATATATCTGATTGTGAATCATTATATTGGTTATCAGGGGAATTAAATAAATTATCTTGACTTTGATCATCATTTTGTTGTTGATCGTTATCAAAATTGTCATTATTATTTGATGGCTCGATGCCAAGAGCTGTATCTTCTTCGTAAACCTGATCTGACAAATTGGAATTAATTTCTTGTTCTGTCAGAGACGAAGAAGGTGGAATTCCTTCAATTGAAGGGCTCTGAGAAACGTTCGGAGTACTGAAAACTGAAGATTCTTCAGAATTACTTGGTTCTTCAGTTTGATCTGATTCATTCGTACTTTTGTTCTCTTCTTCTTGATTTTCGGATGTTGGATAACCGAAATTTTGATTATTCTGATCGTCATAATTTGATTGGGGATAATTTCCAAAGACATTGTCATAATTTTGATTGTCAGTGTTTTTTTGGTTTGCATCATGACCAGGCGTGTCGTTTGATTGCTCAGAATTGTCTTGTTGAGAATTATTGTAATTTTCGGCTGTTGGATAGCCAGAGAATAATCCTGCTTGATTGTTATCATTTTGCGAATCATCTGTTGTGGGACATCCAAGCATTGGATCTTGATATGAAGCATTATTAAAATCTGAAGCGGAATAACCAAATAAATCTGACTGAGGAGCCATTTGATCGTTTGTATCTGATTGTGGATATCCTCCGAATACAGCCATTTGATCATTATCGTTATTTTGTTGATCATTTTCTGTATTTTCTGGTTTAATCTCTTCTTCTTGAGGACTAGAAGCTTCATGATTTATATGATCCTCTTCAATCTCTTTTTCAGTTGTTTTCTGATCGGTTTCGGTTTTTTCAACTTGATTTTCGTCGTTTTGCTCTTCTTTTGCATCTTCATTCTGATTATTATCTTCTTCTGCTGGAATTGTAATGGAATCTGCTTGTTTTTTGTCTTCAATCGGTTCCATTGAAGTATCACTGCTTAAAGTACCGAAGAAATGGTAAGAAGAACTTTTTGGTGGTTTTTCTGGATATCCATCAACTTCAGGAATGCTTGATTGTGCTGGTTCCTGGATCTTTTGTTGAGGTTTTAAGAGTAATGAATTGTTAATATCTGATGGTGATGAGAATAATGAATCAGGAAGTGCATCACTATCATCATCAATGATACTATATTCGTCGGTACTTAAATCACGCCATAATCCTGTAATATCGTTCTTGTTTTGAGAATCGGGTTGAATTGGAGTTTGATTTGTATAATTTTGTAGTGATCCAATAGAACTATTAGAACTTTGTCGAGTTATTGTTGGTGGTTGCGAAAATTTGATCGGATTTGCAGAATTTTGCTGATTTTTTTGACTATTTTGATTGTTATTGCTTTGACTGTTTTGTTTAGCTTTGTTTTGACCAATGTATTCACCATAATCTCCTAGTCCTAACATTGGTTAACAAAAAAAATTGATCAAAGTTTTCTATTTTATCGGTGTGGAGTGACAAAATTGACAAGTTCAGGAATTCTTAATGATAACCCTTTTTTTCTATTCGACATTCATATAACATGTCTTATTTACAAAGCTACATAAGTCCATTGTTTGAAACATTGAAATTGTTTCTATTTCATTAGTTAAATCAATTGACTGTATTTTATTCGACTTTTTGTTGTTGTTGTTGTGCCAATTGTTGAATATGATATTAATCAAAATTCATAAATTATATCCGAAATCTTTGTGAGCATCGTTTTCTGCATATATAAAATAGAATTGTTCACCTAATGAATGTTAAAGATACTTTATGTTGTAAAATGCAAATAAATAACTTTTATATTTTTTGATGTCTGATCAAGACATTCATCCAGATGAATACAGCAAATTGCGAAGTATCTGTAAATACTACATTGATTCATATAATGCTCTGTATCAGTTAAAATCTGACAAAGAAGAAGAAATAAACTCTATTTACAAGATGATCAAAACAGAATTGATTGATTCGAGGAAACATCTTCCTCAAAATATTATACAAGACATTTTAAATATCATTCCGTATAATAATCGGTATACAAAGTCATATTTATCTCTTGCCAAACTCGTTTCTGACGATTATCATGTCCAAGATGTCTACAATGTTCAGCCTATTTCTAACTTCCTATTTTATAAAGAATATGGAATTAAATTATGCAAATCTTATGATTTCGACAAAAATAAATTCAAAAATATTGATATTGATAACGAAAATACTATTTACAGAGCAATCATGCTTAATGACAAAGAAACTTTCATCACATTCACAGAAACAGATGAATTTGATAAAAATCAGAAACTTCAAAGTAGTTTATATCCTAACTCTAAAAAAGAATATTCATTACTTGAATTATGCTGTTATTACGGTTCAGTTGACTGTTTCAAATTATTAATTACGAAATTTCATTCAGAAATCACACAAACATGTCTCCAACTTTCATTTTTAGGAAGAAACGCTGAGATCATGAGTGAATGTTTGAAATATCAAGAACCAAACGAAGATTGCATGATATATGCCATTGCTTCACACAACATTGACTTTGTTACATTTTTGATGAATGAATACAAACATATAAGGATAAATTTATTTGATTGTTGTTATTATAATAATCTTGAATCATTTTTAATTTATTTCGATCAAACTAATGATGTTAAAAACTGTTTTATTTGTTCACCTCTGTTTAATATTCCATATCTTTGCAAATATTTCCTTTCACATGGTGCAAATATCAATGAAAATGGTATATTTGGAAAAGCCGCTCTTCATATTGCAGCAAATAATAATAGTAAAGAAATAGTTGAACTAATTATTTCACATGGTGCAAATATCAATATAAAAGATAAAAATGGACGAATCACTCTTCATTATAGCGCAATTAATAATAGTAAAGATACAGCCGAAGTTCTTATTTCACATGGTGCAAATATCAACGAAAAAGATAAAGATGGAGATACAGCGCTTCATTTTGCAGCAGTTAATAATCATAGAGAAATAGCTGAACTTCTTATTTCACATGGAGCAAACATCAATGAAAAAGATAAAGATGGAGATACAGCTCTTCATTTTGCAGCAGTTAATAATCATAAAGAAATAGCTGAACTTCTTATTTCACATGGTGCAATTATCGATGAAAAAGATAAATGTGAAAAAACCGCTCTTCATTTTGCAGCATTCAATAATTTTAAAGAAATAGTTGAACTTCTTATTTCATATGGAGCAAACATCAATGAAAAAGATCTATTTGGACAAACTGTTCTTCATACTGCAGCAAATAATAATTATAAAGAAATTGCCGAAGTTCTTCTTTCACATGGTGCAAATACAATGTAAAAGATACATTTGGACAAACCGCTCTTCATATTGCAGCAAGTTATAATTATAAAGAAATAGCTGAACTTCTTATTTCGCATGGAGCAAATATCAATGAAAAAGATCAATCTGGGCAAACCGCTCTTAATATTGCAACAGAACATAATTATAAAGAAACCACTGAAGTTCTTATTTCTCATGGAGCAAACATCAATGAAAAAGATAATTATTAAGAAATTATTCAACTTCTTCTTTCACATGGTACATTATCTAATTATAATAATTTTTTCAACATTCATTAATAAACTTCAAGATGTATCTTATATTTAATTCCAATCTATTTAGATAATGAGATTCCTAACAGAAATCATCACACGTAAATATTTTATTTTGCGCACATTAAATTGAAAATAATTGTTTTTGCGACCTTTCTGCACACATGGGATAACTCAAGTGATTTTTACGTATCCCCTCCCAATATTATATCACTTTTTCATACTTTTTAGTATGATCTAAAATAAGCTCATCTACCTTTTGACATTTATAGGCAACAAGTTTTTATCTGAACATATATATTTCATAGATATTTGCACCTTATATTATGATAAATGCAACTATTTCTGCTCAATCTCGCCTTGCTACTGGGTCTTTTTTAATCTTTACATTTGTAATATACTGAATTAAGCATAGCAGTATCGTCTTAATTACATTAATGTAAAATAGTTGTGATTCTTTTTACGTACTTATGAATATAATCCAAGAAAAGTATCAAACAAATATATTCACTTAATAATCGACTTCCATTCTCTCAAAAAGTGACTAATATATTTTGAATAAGTATTACTTTTTTTTAACTTGTCTTTTTTATTATAACAATTAAGTTGAATGATATATGGTTGATACTCTAGTTGGAATCGCCATATAAATTCAAGATCTAATTGTAGGAATATAGATATACATGTTGATTTCTAGTTTTCGTGACACATTTATAGCTGAATTCCGGAATTATCATAAACCCAAGAGTAAAAATATTGCACTGTGTAATTGCATTTAAAGATGAATAAAATTCTAACATAAAAAAGCTAAATTAGTAGTCACATATTCATTATTGCATGTACCAAGTAATTTGGATGTAGCAGGATTAATCAATTATCGGGAAGATACTATTGAAAAGGGTTACAACACCTTTGAAAAATGTTTATAAAAATTTTAAAGTAAAAACATCTGTGGAGGTACTCCAATCTACAATCTGATTGCTTGTCAATTTTTGAATCAATGTTTTCCGATTGAAAAGTGACATATGATCCAATTTTCAAGTTCCTTAGCTAACTGTTATGTATTGATAAAAAAACAATTGAAATGATTTGTCAAATTCAAACCGACCTTTCAGGTTTTTAATGAAAAAACTTAGTATTCATACACCTGTTGTCAATGTTCATTTTTTCGGAGGATCAATCAGATTTGTAATTTTTTGTGAGATTTCAATTTTATTTTCGCCAGAATATGGATACTTTTGCAGGTTACCCATACAGTTTTGCGGGTTTCATCGATTACAGTAACTGCTATCACCCGGTTGCAATACCATGGCTCTTAGTAGGCATCGGTGTTAGTATCGGAACCGTCGTTTCGGTTATTCCTCAATTGCAAAAGTTCGTTCAGAAGCGCTCAAACTATGGAATGAATACTCTGACTATATGTCTTATTAGTTATGGTCAAATTATTAATTTTGTCAACTATTTTTGTCTCCATTCTGCAGATTTTGTCGGAATCGTAACATGTCCATTTACAATGTATGCCCCAAGGCTTGTAACATTCTTAAATCTTTTCTTGCTCTGGTATATGTACCTAGGAAACGTATATCTAAATTTCATTTACTTTGACAAGCAGCCAAGAGAAAATCGAACAATGAATTTTATACGTATCGAAAGGAAATTCCAACTCATGTTAACTTTCATTCTTTTCATTACTAATTTCGCAACACTCGCCGCATTTTCAATTCTAGGCTTCCTTCATGGTTATGCTAGCTCTTCATTGCGTTACTATGGTACTGTTCTTGGTACAGCAGGTGGTGTGTTAGCCGCTTGTCAATATCTTCCACAAATGATTACAACTTGCAGAGTAAAAGGCCCTGGATCACTATCAATGCTTTTGCTCGCTATCCAAGTACCTGGTGGTCTTTTGAACGTTTCATTCATGGCATTTGCAAATCACGACCATTGGGCAACGTGGCTTCCAATCTTTGTAGCCGCAATACAGCAAGGTATATTACTAGCAATTTGTATTATATTTACAATTAGAAACAAACATCAGCATCACCCATTTTCGGAAGATCCGCTTCTTACAGATTCGTCAACGATCAATCATACTCATTAATATGTTAGTCTTGTTTTTATTATATATAAAAAATAAAAGAAATTTGTTGTTTCATAATTATTTTTGAATTTATTTCTTTTCTTTAATTCTATTAAGAATGCATAATGGTTTTGTTTGTGTTCTCAATTGTTGCAGCATTTGGCCAGCTAACACTTCCAAATCCCAACCTTGACTCATAATATAAGCCTTTGGATGAAAATCTTATTTTATTCGACTTTTTGTTGTTGTTGTTGTGCCAATTGTTGAATATGATATTAATCAAAATTCATAAATTATATCCGAAATCTTTGTGAGCATCGTTTTCTGCATATATAAAATAGAATTGTTCACCTAATGAATGTTAAAGATACTTTATGTTGTAAAATGCAAATAAATAACTTTTATATTTTTTGATGTCTGATCAAGACATTCATCCAGATGAATACAGCAAATTGCGAAGTATCTGTAAATACTACATTGATTCATATAATACACTGTATCAGTTAAAATCTGACAAAGATCAATAAAAAAGATACATCTGGGCAAACTGCACTTTATATTGCCGTATGTCATAATTATAAAGAAACAGCCAAAGTTCTTGTTTCATATGGAGTAGGGATGCGTTAAACACGCCATTTGACCGGGCGTACATTTTTTTTGTTCGCCCAAAAATTTCGCCATTTGAGAAATTCAAAAATTAAAAATAAAATTTTAATCTTGATTTTTTTATTTTCGTGATTTTTTTTGAAACTTACATAAGCGATGAAATACTTTTTTTAAGTAATCGTTTATTATATATAAATATATCTTAATAAATTTAATTCCTTAAGGTAGAGCGTGTTCAAATTTAAAATCTCATACAATATTTTCTTAATGGCGTATTTTTCTGAGGTCGCCCAAATAAAGGCGAATTCAAAATTGAGAACTCCAAGGCGTGTGGCGAGTATTCAAAAAGTACGCCACTTACAAAATATTGAATGTGGATTATCAATTTTTTGGCGTGTTCAATTTCAAATTTTGATATTTATGTTTATTTTATTCAGTATAATGCTAAGAATTAAAATATAAAATTCATAGAATTTTTTCTTTGAAAATATTTTACATTTTTATTAGACCACTCCTAGACTAGTCATCAGGTTATCCTCAGATCATCCTCAGACTACTCCTTATCAGATTACTCATCATCCTCAGACTACTCCTTAGACCCCTCCTCATCAGACTACTCCTCAGATCTTCCTCATAAGACTCCTCCTCAGATCTTCCTCCTGAGACTACTCTTCAGACTACTCCTTAGAGTCCTCCTCATCAGACTAGTCCTGAGACTAGTCCTCAGACTACTCCTGAAACTACTCCTCAGATTATCCGCAGACTCCTCCTCAGATTATCCGCAGACTCCTCCTCAGATTATCCTCAAACTCCTCCTCAGATTATCCTCAAACTCCTCCTCAGATTATCCTCAGACTCCTCCTCAGATTATCCTCAGACTCCTCCTCAGATTATCCTCAAGCTCCTCCTCAGATTATCATCAGACTCCTCCTCAGATTATCCTCAAACTCCTCCTCAGATTATCCTCAAACTCCTCCTCAGATTATCCTCAGACTCCTCCTCAGATTATCCTCAGACTCCTCCTCAGATTATCCTCAAGCTCCTCCTCAGATTATCATCAGACTCCTCCTCAGATTATCCTCAAACTCCTCCTCAGATTATCATCAAACTCCTCAAACTACTCCTCGGTCTAATCCTCAGACTCCTCCTCAGATTATCCTCAGATTATCACTTTCCATATATATATCGATAACTAAATAATTACTTATTATACTTTCTTTATTTTTTTTTAATTTTAAAATAATATTAATATATCTTTCTACGTTTAATGATGAAAAGAGAAAGAGGAGTAAAAAGAGGAAAGAGAAAAGAAAGAGGAGTAAAAAGAGGAAAGAGAAAAGAAAGAGAGAGAAAAAAAAAAGAGAAAGAAAGAAAAAAAAAGGACGGCGATAATTTTGTATTGTTTTGTTATTCTGCCGAATGGCGGGTACGAAGTAGCCGCCATTCGGCCCCAAAAATGGCGTATTATTCTATTTTTAAACGGTCATGGCGTAAAACCGTCGCATCCCTAATATGGAGCAAGTATCAAAATAAGAGATCAATTTGGGCAAACTGCTCTTTATATTGCAGTATCTAATAATTACAAAGAAACAACCGAAGTTCTACTTTCACATAGAGCAAATGTCAATGAAAAAGATAAATATGGACAAACACCTCTTCATTTGTCAGCAAATAATAATTATAAAGAAATAGCTGAACTTCTTCTTTAATATCGAGCAAATATCCATGAAAAAGATAAATATAGGCAAATCGCTCTTCATAGTGCAGCACGTAATAATAGTATTGAAACTGCCAAAGTTCTTATTTCACATGGAGTAAATATCAACGAAAAAAATGAAAGTGGAGAAACAGCTCTTCATATTGCAGAAAAGAATTATTCGAAAGAAACAGCCGAAATTCTTATTTCACATGGGGCAAAAAATGATATTCTCGTATAAGATTCACACCTTTCTTTTTTCCGATATTTTGGGAAAAACATATGTGTTCCCCATATACTTGGGATTCATGGAGTTTCTCGCACAATGAATCAGCACATGGCGTTAATCTGAATTTTAAAAGAATTCTTTATTTAAATAATTTAAGTGTTTTTTCAAAATAATACTAATTTCTTATTAGAAGAATGAATTGATCGTTTCAGACCATCAAAAATAGTTTTGATCTATTTGAACAAATATGTTCCTATCCTGATGAATGCAATCCCTTGTTTAATGAGATAAAATTCATGGCAAAGATCAGCCATTATAACGGAGTTAGATACTTTCCGAAGTTGTTGCATTACATTGTTAGAAGTAAAAAAAATATTTAAAAAAATGTTAGAAGTCAAAAACAAATCAACTTTTAAATTAGTTGCGTTCGCCACGGATACGTTGGGCGAGCTGAACATCACGCTCCATGATTGTAACTCTGTTAGCATGGATAGCGCAAAGGTTTGTATCTTCGAAGAGGCCTACGAGATAGGCTTCAGAAGCTTCCTGAAGGGCAGCGATAGCGGAGGACTGGAAACGAAGATCACCACGGAATCCAGAAGCAATTTCTCTGACGAGACGCTGGAATGGAAGCTTACGGATAAGAAGATCTGTGGACTTCTGGTACTTACGGATTTCACGAAGAGCGACTGTACCTGGGCGGAAACGGTGCTGCTTCTTAGCACCCTGGGAGTCGATTGTTGGTGTTGACTTGCGAGCGGCCTTAGCACCGAGGGATTTACGTGGTGTCTTGCCACCTGTTGACTTTCTAGCTGTCTGTTTTGTACGAGCCATTAGAAAATTAATGATTTTGACATTTCCCGCCAAAATAAGAGAAGTAACTTCCTCTTGCCAAATTAAGCCTCTTAAAATTGAGAATATTAATTCTGATATATATTCAATTATGGCGCCAAAATCATAAGTTAATAATGTCCGGCAGAGGCAAAGGTGGTAAAGGTCTCGGTAAGGGTGGTGCTAAGCGCCATCGTAAGGTTATGCGTGAGAACATTCAGGGTATCACAAAGCCAGCTATCCGTCGTCTTGCTCGTCGTGGTGGCGTTAAGCGTATTTCAGGTGATATCTACGAAGAAGTTCGTGGCGTCCTTCGTCACTTCCTTGAGAACGTCATCCGTGATTCCGTTACATACACAGAACACGCTCGTCGTAAAACAGTTACAGCAATGGATGTAGTTTACGCTCTTAAGCGCCAGGGCAAGACCCTTTATGGTTTCTAAATTATTTATGCTTTTCATTATTATTTACACAACTTTTTTTAATTGTTTTTTCGTAATATTGATATTTCAAATTTCGATATCAAAATAAAATATGAATAAGATAAATGTTTTGTACTAATAGAAGTCAGGTTATATGCTCTCAATGCAAAAAAGAAATTAGCATAAAACGAACATCAAAATATGGAACCAAAGCAATTAAAATAAGGCAAATTTAAACCTGCAATAGGTAGAACAAAAATAGATAACAGAAAATATCTATTTTCAGACAAAAATACAAAATAATTCAGAAAAAAAAATCAATTAGATCCCAAAAGTTTCTGCAGAGCGGTCAGACTTGATTTTGTATCAAATTTTGGTGGTTCTTTTTCGGGAGGTTTCTCAGATTTCGGTGGTGGCGATGGATTATTTGCCGGTGGATACGAAGCTGGCGGCATTGCAGGTGGTGGTGGCATTCCAAATCCCGGTGGCACAAAAGGTGCGCCTGGAGGCATTCCAGGTGCGAACGAATTATAGTTATATGGAGGTTGTCCAAACGGCGGCTGCGGATAACCAGGACCTGCGGCAGAAGGCATAGAATTGTAAGGTGGTTGGCCTTGTCCTGGCGGGAAATTGTAAGGCATCATCATTGGATTTGGCGGAAAACCTGGAGGATAACCGTAATATTGAGGAGGGAAAGGAGCATTCTGTGGATTTGGTGATGGTGACTTCCTATCGTCTCCATCAGAGTCACGAACTCGATCTTTACCTTTTCTATCATGTCTATCACGATCTCTATCTCTATCCCTATCGCGGTCGCGATCTCTATCACGATCCCTATCTCTATCTCTTCTATGTCTATCTCTATCGCGATCACGATCTCGATCTCTTTCTCTATCACGGTCTCGATCGCGATCTCTGTGACGATCTCGATCTCTTCCCCTGTCTCTATCTCGATCTCTTCGATCTTTGTCTTTATCTTTTCGGTCCTCCTGCTCTAATCCATCATCTTCGCCATATTTAAATTCAATCTTACACTCTTTATCACCGATCTTAACTTTTCCAGAAGCATCAACAGCTTTTTGTGCATCTCTGAGATCATAATACTTCACAACAAAAGATTTTGGAGAATCACGACGAATAATGCGGATCTCGCCAAATTGTACAAACGATTCATGGACTTCAGAGTCATTAAGTTCGCCAGAAGAAACACTGACTAAAACTGTGGCGCATTTCTCTTTCTTTTGATTCTGGGCTCTGTACGCATAATTAGCTCTAATCGCTCGATCGCCAAACTCATTATATGGTTGTCCTTCAACAGCTTTTATTGCAGATTTGAGATTATAATAAGTAACAAAATAATAGGACTTATCACGAGCTTCAAACACGCCTTTGACTTCACCAAATTTATCAAAAAATGGATTCAGCTGGCTCCTTTTGACAGAATATGGAACATTGTAGAAGAAAACGGTATGAAATGGAATTTTATTATTTTCCTCGCGTTCTTCTTCATAATCGCTATAATCTGGGCCACTGCGTGAATCTCGACCTCTTCGACTTCGATCGCCCATTTAAAAAAAAATAAAAATAAATTATTTCAAGTTTACAAAAAGTTTACAAATATCATGAGGGAAAAAAATGACACCAAAATTTTTTTTTCTCCAAAAATCAGTTATGTTTTTTGAAAAGAGTTTGTCGCTTCTAATACTCGTTTATGATGTACTCATATCATATTTCCTTAAAAATATATGATATGTCGATACTGGAAAGCCATGTCCGTTTAAAAATATAATCATGCGGCGTACTTTAAATGAGAATGCAAACATTAACCAACTGCAGAAAAGGCCGCAAACAGCAGAAGAAATCTTTCGCTCTAGGATGGAGCAGATAAGGAAGATAAATACTACTTCTTTTGACGAGTATAGTGATCCTGAAATTGAAGAGGAAGATGATTCCGATGATTTATATCAAAACATGTTTGATTTGGATAAGCAAAATATCAACAACCAAACAAAACTTGCAAAATATGCAGATCAAATTTTCAGCATTGCAAGAAGCGACGATTCCGGAAATTTTATAAATTCCGAGAGTATTCTCTCCCACTACACAAAACCTATTGATGATTTAAGAAAAAGTGTAATCACTTGGATAGTCTACATATTTCAAGAGTATCGCATGTGTTCAAACACGCTTTATCAAGCTGTTACATATTTTGATGCCCTTTTGTCCGTTCAAAAAGTTCCGAGGAAGGAATTTCATTTAGCCGGTATTACCGCACTATGGATGAGCTCCAAAATGGAAGAGAGAAGTGTTCCAAAGTTAAAAGACTTGGCATCTTATTTTACTGAAGGTGTTACTGTTGATAGATTCATAGAATATGAAAAGAAGATTTTAGTTGCTCTAGATTTTCAACTCACATATCCACATACCAAGTTATTTTTGCGAAGATATATAGATGTTATTGATGCAGAACAAGTTATAATAGAAGCTGCAAACTTTTTCGCAGAAGTATCTTTATGGTATATAGAATTCCTCGATTTTCACCCAGAAATAATTGCTTTGGCAGCAATTTGTCTGGGTAAAATATGTTTGGGTGAGTATTGTCCTCTCGCACGTTTACTATCCTATTCTCATAATCAGGATAAAGTTCAGATTAGAAATTGCGCTGAAAGGCTTGTGAAATATGCTTGTTTGATCCTAAAAGATCCAAAGCATATGCTTACACAACGCTATAGTTTCCCAGAGCTTGAGGGCGCAATCAAATTATTCAAGTTCACTGATGGCATGTTGAATTGTTTAGTATAAATTGTTTATTTGTTTTGTTTTATTATATATCATTCCATTTTTATCTAGATTGCTTATATCATTCCATATTGGATTCAATTTTGAAATATGATATGCTGATTATAATGAAAGTCATTTCGATTCCTTCATAGCATTATGTCACAATTCTTTAAAGCTTGAAAAGCATTTACCTATTATTGATGTATCCCCCCTTTTAAAATATGTTATAAAAAAGGGGATGAAAAACAAAAAAGCAATGAATTTAAACATATCTCTTATAGGTGATTCGGCCGTGGGAAAAACTTCAATTGCAAACGCAATGGCTCAAATCAGGTTTTCTACTGAATATGAACCTACTATTGGTGCTTCAATGGTTAAAATTCCTTTCGAAAAAGATCAGCAAAAATATAACTTTGTAATATGGGATACTGCAGGAATGGAGAAATACAAATCTCTTGCCCCTGTATACTATCGCGATTCAAAGGCATCAATAATCGTTTTCGACTTAAACTCAATAGAAACACTCGAACATGTATCAGAATGGCTTAACTTGTATCAGTCTATTGCTGGTGAAAATAATCCAATATTATTAATTGGAAATAAATTGGATTTAGCAGAAGACCCTTCAGAGATTAGAAATCAGGCAGAAAAATGGATTTCTGAACATTCAGCAACATACATTGAAGTTTCAGCTAAAAATTGTACCAATATTGATGAAATTTTACCACTCCTGTTTAATATAATGGTCAAAGCTGGATTAAGTCTTTCTCCATCTAAAAAGCAAAGGAGGAAAACTAAATCGGAAAGAGGTTGTTGCTCTTAAGTCAACCAAATGTCAAAATTCCCACGTTGGGTTTGAATTAAGCTCTGTTACAAATAAATATATATTTTTCTGTCTATTGTATAATAATTTAATTATATTGACTATTTCCACTATTTGATTTAGATTGAAAATCTCATAATTTGTCAAATGTAATAATATGTTAGAATCTTGCAATTTTAGAAATCTCTGCGTTTAAATATTTAAAACTTGCATAGACATTCCAAAATCATATGAAAATTACTTATTAACTTAGTATCTGGATCTAAAAGTCCCCCTCTAGTACACGAATGCTTAACTTCATTAAAAATTGAGAAGGCGTACTATCGAGTTTTGAACACCCACTGTACTTAGATTGTTGAAGTCAAAAATGTAACATGATTCAACATATGTTCTTAAGGGTGTGCGGGAGACGATAAGTCACCCAAAAAAACACTTTTAAGGTTAATATATTGGATGCTTTGAAACTTTCCATTCCACGCATTGCAGCATGATTAAGGTTAATTTTGAGTAGTTTACCTATCGTCGCCCTAATCATGATCAGATATATTTTATTTTATTTTATACATTTTAACTCATTTTTAACCAAGTCAACATGTTGAAAAAGTGCCAATTGAAAATTACTTTAATCATAATTGCCAGCCTAGCAAGATAAGACAAATGTTTGCCTATTTATAAGCAAGGTCATATCCTATTATATCAGATTCGGCGTGTGAAATTTTAATATGGATTCCAGAGATTTAGATAAATTCGACTTATTAGTAATAAAGTGAATGAATACAATTATCGCTTAATAAAATGGTCCAACATTCATATTGGATAATACCTTATGAAGTTGACGAAACAAACCAACTTAATTTTAAAACTTCAACATTTGAAATCAAGTCGGTCCCAGCGAAACTTCTTAGGTTGATTCAATTGTAAAGGAAAGTGTTAAACTAACTATTGCATTGGAATTATTATTCAACCACCTTTCAATTGTCTGAAATTTGTAAAGTTGTGAAAAGTGACAATATGTTATTCTTCCTTCTTCTTGAGAAAAATGTTTCGTATCCGAAAGATATATCAGTTAGTTTGGAATCAACTGTTGATAACGTACCGGAAGGAACTGAAAGATTCAAAGTGAAACGAAATATTAAATTAATAAATTCGTTTGCTTTCAAAAATTGCAAAGATTCACTAATCTCCGTAGATTTTTCTTCAGCAACTATGCTTACGCGCATCCAGCCATTTGCTTTTGCAGGTTGTTATAAACTTGATGCTCTCGATTTCAGTTATTGCAATCAGCTTTGGATCATTCAAAACTCTGCTTTCAAAGATTCAGGTGTTAGTAGATTATCATTACCACCAAACATTAAAGTTCTCGGAAATTATTCTTTTTCAAATTGTTTATTCAGCTACATTATGATTCCAGGATCTGTTTATCTTATTGGAAAGGGTGCATTTTACAATACTCCCATAAATACCCTTTATTTAACGAAAGATGGCGATCTTTCTATCATCCAATCAAAAGCATTCGCAAATACGAATATAACAGTATTTTCCATACCGAAGAGAGTCTCTAAAATCGGTAAACGTGCCTTTGAAAACGTTCCATTAGCTTCATTTTCAGTTGAACCAACAAATCCATACTTTGTATTTGAGAACGGACTTTACTCTATTACAAAGGAAAGGATTTTGTTTGTTCCGCCTTTTATTGATGGCGTTTTTCAAATAAATCCACGTACATCTATAATAGAGCCATATGCAATGGCCAACACCAATATTTCTACCATTAATTTGACTTGTATCAAAAAGATTTGCGATCACGCATTCATGAATTCCAAAATCCAGAAAATTTCGATTCCAAAAAATGTAAAATACGTAGGAGACTACGCATTTTTCAACTGTACACTGCTTGGTAGTCTCAAAGCTAAGAGTATTTTTACAGTTTTTGGAGAAAATTCTTTCAAAAATTCAGGAATTGTCTGCACCGTTAAAGCAGACCCGATGTTGATCCGCCCACTAACTAAAGCTGGCGTTCCTCTTACTGCTTTTATGAAATGCCCTGGCGAAACTGTTAAAATGTACAAAAAGTAGATTACTGTTTTGAAAAATACCGTTTTATAGATGTTTTTGTTGTATTATAAAATTTTTGTGTGTTATATTTTTAAAGATACTTCAGATCTTTTTCTAATAAAATGAAATCGTCCAAATTTTTTCGATTACATAATATGAATGTGATCTAAAGAGCGTATGACTCAATTTGATATGATTTAAAGCTTGAATAAAGTCGAAATAAACAACGATTCCGGTGAATTCAATGAATCACTATTTTGATCGAGTGTATTATCTTCTATCTAAAAATTATCCAACCCTTCATCTTAATTGGTGTTAATTGAAAAGAAAAATTCAACCTTGTGGAAATTCTTGACTACTTTTAGGGAAAAAAAGGAGAAATTTTTATATAATTCATACATTAGCTGATAATAATTTATGTTTCGGTCCCTGGAATATCTGAACTAAATTAACCTTAAATTAAAGTTTTAAAAAAATGCCTTTGTTTTTCTCCGAAGAAGTGCCAACACAGAATAAATATGATTACACAGCACCTATGGAGAAGCGAGATAAGCAATTTTACTTCCTTTGGTGCGTCATTTCTTTTATTACAATCGTAATTTCAACTCAATTTACGATGATTACGAAAGAAAACGCCGACAAAGTTACATTCATTGAAGGAGTATCGCAATCCAATGGCATAAATGACTATCACATCATTTATCATTTAACTAAAGCAACAATTCATGCGAAAAGGTTAGCAGTATACTTAAACATATACGATGAGTCTGATAAAAATCATGAACTAGAAGAGAAATTTGCCCTAGAATCAGTTATTGATGTTAAAATTGGAAATACAAAATCAAGAATTCATCGATCTTATTCATCAATTCCATATGGAAGGACGGAATTGATGACTACGACTGCATCCAATATATCTCTTGCGATTGGTCAAGTATTTTTGACTGGAGTTTTTCGAAATACAACAAAAATGCAAATTCTCGAAATACATAACAGCAAAGAGTTCGAAAGATTATCATACATTGTATCAAAAGCATTTAGTTTCGAATGTTCAATTGTTTTATTCATTTTTGCATTTTTAGTTATAAATAATACAGCTTCAGTCGAAGCAACGCAAGTAATTGGACTTATCTTGATGACATCTACTACGATATCCCTATTACTCTTCAATAACTATCATAGTTCGAAATTTCACCTTATTGAATTATTTTTCAAAGGTGAAACTCAATCGCTAACCTATTTAGTGCTTTTTACTATATCTACAACATACATGTCGTCAACTAAAGTCATTCCTACGCTTGTTATTGGAGTGATTTTCATTATATCAGATGGAGTCTTCATGTTGACTTCAGATTCGATTGTCCTCGGCAAATTATTCGATAATAACGACGCTGTATGGATTTTCTTCTTTGTTACTTCGATTGTCTTCAAAATTACGATGATGACGATGACTTTACATCATTTGCTATTTGCTTACTTCCAAACCGGCTCTTCCTATGTTAAGACGAAGATATTCGTTACTGTTATTGTTCTTGTTATAGTTTCATTACCAAGAATGATAACAATGGCATATATTGCTAATGAAAACATATCCACTAGCTCAATTGCATTCCTATCTGACTATATAATACAGGCCGTTGGATCTATTTTGATAATTGGACTTGTTTGGCCAACAATTGATTATGATGCGAGTAGTGGAGCCAATATCATTCATGCAACAAGCCAAGAAGACCTTGTTGAACTATTTGGTGATTCCCAAATAGGAGATTTATAAATTGTTTGTTTCTATCCTTTTAATAATTAATTAATTTTTTTATTTATTTATAGTATACTTTCTCATAAGTTCATAGACAAACGATGTGCAGTCACATGGAAAGGAAAAATTTATGAGATAGTTGGAATGAAAAATTTTTTTAGGATGTTCATACGCTCGTATGACACAACAATACGCTTCACGCCCGTTGTCAAAAATTTGTAATAAAGTCAGATTGGTGTAAGTACACCCTAAATGATAAACTATATATTGTAAATAGACAATTAATAAAATTGAAATGATCAGCGTTTTTATCTGTATCAAATTCAGGATAATCGTGTATAATCTCATATCGGCGAAGACTGGTCATTAATAAAAAAAATCGATTCAAACTTCTTTAAAAACTAGTGTTTTATTCTTTAACCAAATCATAAATGTGAAGCTTTCTCATAATTATAAGTTGTCTGAATCATTGATACTTCCAATGTCGGATTCATCAGTTTCCAATTCTTCGCTTAAACCAAAATCTTCTGATATGCATCCCCAGTATATCATGTGAATAATACCATAAAGAAATAGTACTCCTCCTATAATTGCATACATTACAGCAGCTACAGTCTCGTCACTTTCATTTATAATTACCAAATTTGGATCTAATATAGTATTGTATACATTTTTAACAATATCATAAGATTCTTTATAATGCTTACTATAAGTTTCTGTTTCCTTTTCGCTAAAATTTTTAACTTCATCGAGTGTGTGAATTCCAGTTGGAATAAAAAGGCTCAAATCTGGAGTGAAATAGTGGAAATTATTGTTTTGTGTACTAGGATCTGATTGCTCAACATTGAATTTATATTCTACTAATCCATTATATCTTTTACCAGGGACATATGTTTCACGTTTTTCCCAAAGATAAGGTACAAGAGAATAACTTACATCTGTTTGGGAATAATCCAATAATCTATAATTATAATCATATTCATATTGTTTCCATGTCAATATTCTTGGAGAGTCTTCATCAAAGAAAAATTTATAAACATAATTCATCCCTGTTCGCCCCACATGGTAAACATTTGTTGCTCTCTGAGCAAGATAATGAAGTTTTAGGATTGTAATGTCATATTTGTAAGTGAAAAATGTTTTTTCGTCTTTATCCTTTGTAGAGAAATATACTTTTGTATTGTAGTCCTCTATATATTTCTTGATATAGGGTGTCCAAAGGTGCGTTTAGCACAGCGCTCTATATGAGACTATTAAAGGAGATATATGCTGATTATAAATATATAATAAAAAATATGAATATATGTATATGATGAGTAAGTTGTATTTTGGCGCCATGCCTGGATATAAAATGAATTTTGAGACAAGAGGCGGTTTCGCAGGAAATTTTGGCGGGATTTTTTTCATTTTTTTAATGAATCATAAAGAAAACATCCTCGCTCTTGCAAAAAAATGCAAAGACTGTAAAAAATCTACGAGACATTGGTAAAATGCTTCGGTATGGATGCTCCTAGCTATTCCACTGTAACGTATCATGTTAGGATGTATCACTTCATGAACAAAAAGGCGCCCATCATAAAAATTGACAAAAAATCGCCGGATCAAAGAAAAATCAAAGCAATTCTTCAAGCGCTAGATGAAGACCCAAGAGCATCACTCAGAAGGATAGAGGAGATGACAAAGATACCACGTACAACAGTCAGTTATTATCTGCACAATTATTTGAACTACAAACGCGTATACACGTTGGGTTCCGCACAACCTTAATTCAGTTCAAAAAAAATCTAGAGTCCAATCTTCGAAAGAGCTCTTCTCTATATTGGGTGCGTATCAATCCAAGAAGTTTCGCTTTTTAGTAACAGGGGACGAGTCTTGGTTTCAATATGCAACAGAAGCCAAAATCATGTGAATCCCGAAGGATGAAAATCCGCAAACATTCCCGAAGAAAAAAATTGACACACCAATGATGATGTTGTCGGTTTTTTGGGGCGTGAATGACATCATCGCAATTGATATTCTTCAAAAACCTAATACGATGAATGCTCAGTATCTAATTGACAATGTTCTTACTCAAATTATCAATTCTGATGAGTTTGAGAAATCCAAACAACAAAAACAAAAGTTTGCAATTCATTTTGATAATTCAAGAGTTCACAAAAGTCATAAGGTAATGAATTACTTGGTGGAAAACAATGTCAAAGTTGTTCCAAACCCAATTTATTCACCTGATATTGCACCCTCTGACTTTTATTTATTCGGCACGCTAAAAAAGAGAGCTGAAGGACGCGAATTCGCGAGTCCAGATGATCTTGAAAATTTTGTAAGAGAGCAATTTGAGCAATTTTCTCATGATGATTTAAAGCGTGTCTTTCAAGCCTGGATCGATCGCTGCGAACGCGTGATTGAATCCAATGGTGATTATATTTAAATAAACTTTATATATATGTAACTTGTTTATTTCTATTCGCAGTATTCAGGTTTGTGCTAAACACACCTTTGGACACCCTATATTAGCTTTTTTAGGAGTAAAAATAAATTGCAAATACTCCATTATAGACATACGTTCATATGTTGTTATATTGTATTCTAATGGAGGTAATATACCAAGAAATGAAAGATCACAACGCGGAGAATGACAAAAATATTTTGTTTGATTATTGACGACAGAAAAAGGATTTGAATAATTTATACCATTAACCATTGCCGAGTAAATGGCTAAAATTAATTATTGCAGTATCTTCTGATGTAAAATGCAAGTTATATGGATCTGGTCCCCCATACTTTACATAATGATCATTTTCATTATAAAAACTATGAGTGTATTCGATTAACATCGAAGAAAGTATGAGCATTTTTTTAATTTAAATACCTTCTGAAAAATTGAGAAAATTATATAAATCGACTTATAAATTGTCTTTCTGAAAAAGCATACTAGAGGTATAAATAAAACTTGTTCTTTTCATAGGGATCCTATTTGAAAATTAAATATTTTTGTGGGAAAAAAATTTTTTTTATCTGTTGTATTGGAAAATACAAATTTTAAATATATACAGGAAAATATTTTCGACTTTACATAGAACAGATTCTGTAAATTATTTTTTATGTAAATTTTAAGACTTTAATAATTTTAAAAACTCATTGTGTATAAGAGATTAGATTTGTAAAAAATTACGACTATTTTCTTTTAAAACTGTAATATCATTGAAAATCCAATGAAACCGTTTTACATTTAAAAATTCATGGAAGAGTTATCTCTAGTCTCATTAATAAATTCATTCGTTATATTTATTCAAAACATTGCAATAGCGTTAGGATTTTTCAAGCTTCATCCGCCATTATGGCTCAAAAAACTTGGAAATCTGTTCATAAATTTGATTACAACAATATTTGATATTTACAATGCAACAGAAGAGTTTGATGCTCCATCTAAACTCGTTTTTAATTGTATTTTGCTCCCAATAGTTATAATGATAGTTGGGCAATTATTTATGGGAGGAGTTGGTGTTATTAAGTATATGTTCCTTATTCCATTTGGTTTTATTCTTGGTCTTGGAATTATTGACATGGCATTGAACAAGAGCTGGTATATATTAGCAGGTGCTGGAGGTGCAATAATTATCTTGATAATCCTTAATTGGTATCTATCCTCATGCCTTGAAGGTCATTTTGAATTTGCACATGTCCCAAAGAGCTATTTTCTAGGTTTTCTTCATTTGATTGTTTCAGGAGTATTCTTAGCATCTGGACTTGCGATGTGTGGAGTTATTAAAAAATATAGTAATTTGAAGAAAATATTTTTCCCCGTAGGAGCAGTTATTCATTTCATTATAGCAGCACTCATCTTTGTTGTAGCAGTTCTTAGAGTTTCTGAATGCGGCGCAAGGATAATGACAAGAATTAAATTCTTTTTAAGATTGAATGTAATGAAATTGATTTTTTTAATTTTCAACGCAATCTACTTACCAATTTTCCAATCAATTTTAAACTCAATGATGACGATCAAAAATGTTTGCCCTAATGGTTCAAGACCATACTCCTATAATCCAAGAACATTTGCTTCAGCAAGGTATTTTTCATGTCTTTACAATGACAAAATTACATATAGTAATAATGCACCAAGATTTAGATACAATCTTGCAACAGTCACAAATATTTGGTATACAGATATGGCTGCACCAATTATTTATTGCATCATTTTCAATATTATTGCATATCCAATATTTTTATATTTAATAATAAGATTAATGCATAAAACTTATGGAGAAGAATCATACAGAATGGAAAATGCTGGGGCTAGCTTATTCACAGATTATAAAGAGAAGTATAAATATTGGATTCATGTAATGTTATTATATAAACTTGTTGTTGCTACCATTCAAACATTAGCCAATGTATATGTTCCAGGATTAATGTTATTATTATTATTTGTTTATGTGGGATTTGGGGTTCTAATCTTCTTCCTTCAACCTTACAATAACAAGTATAATAATTGGATTGAAATCCTTAATAATGGTCTGAGCTTTATATTTTCATTATTACCAGTTGCTGCAGCATTTGGAGCAAATGTTCCTCCCTTAGTAACGACAATTATGAGTGGAGTTGAGACATTTATATCCCTTGTTGTTTCAGTTGTTGCTTATATTTTAGATAAGAGAACACAAAGAAATGAAAAAAAGGCCAAGAAAACAAAAGAACTTGATGCTAATGAATCAATGGAAATAATAATTCTCATATATTTAAGTATAGTTATTTATTTTGCATCAGCCGTTATGGGCATATACATTTTTATCAAAAGATTCGCAAAACCTCAAAATAGAAGCAGTGATCTTGATGTAATTCCTTTGAACACATGTGTTTTCTTAGAATATAATGCAAAGATGGACTTTTTCGATACAAACAATTGCATGCATTTTTCTGAAATCAAAGATTCCCTAAGTTATGCATATATGCCTTTTAACACACGTGAGGAATGAAACTTCTTTAAAACTATTAAATATTTTTCCATATTGAGAATGTTTTAAACTTCAACTTCTAAGAATAAAAAAATATCAGTATTTATTTTTTCATTGCATTGATAAAAAGTGGAAATAAATTAGTATCATATTCAACAATGATGATATCTGTTATAATAATCAAATGTAAAAAATGAGTGTTATTTTAGAGTGGCCAAAAAGTGTCAAAATACGATCAAAAATCAGTCAATTTTCCACCTTTTTTCAAAATAAAATAATACAAATGAAAATTTATATGAACTTATCTCAATATAAAATTGCTTTAAATTATCATACTTATAAGGTTGAAAATAGTATACAATATCACTGATGGGAATTTCTTTTAAAATATAGAAATGAAAAGAAATTAAATAAAAAAAATCATGTTTTTTAATTTTTTTACAATATTCTTGGATTTTGAATAATACCAGGAGTTTCTATATGTTCATTGCAAAGTGGGCATGTCTTCAATTCGCACATAAGTTTATGAGAAGCAGGGAATCTACACTTAGGACATTCGCACCAATCTCCACCTGCCATGTGCATTCCAGTCAGAGAATCGAAAGGAATGTTTGTCTTGCATGCAGGGCAGTACAATTCTGATATAGCGAGTGCTGTTCCGCATACTGGGCAAGGAGTCTTTGGTTCTTCCTCTTCTGTTGTAACTTTCCTTCTAACAGTCGCAACGATCTTCTTCATCAAATCAGGCTGAAGTCTTCCTTCGTATTCAGGAGCAATAAGTTTTGTTGCTGCTTCGTAAGCTGATTTCTTGAATCCAGCTCTCGAACATTCTGCAACTGTCTTTGCCAAGATTTGAGGAGCGTGTGTTGGGAATTTAGAAGCATATTTAGAAACTCTTCTTAATAACAAAGCTTCGATAACTCTATCGCGATCTTTCATCTCTTTAATCAATGAATAAGAATGAATAATCAACAAAGATTGTTTCATTTCAGCGGAAACAGCGAAACCATGATTCATCAACTGAAGAATGATATCAAAGATGATTGCTCTTGCTTGTTTGTAATCACCTCTGTTCCTGTATTCATCGGAGATTCTTTGTGCTGTTACGGCAGCTTCATCAAACTGTTTCATGATGATAAACATTCTCAAGAGATATCTCAAATCATCAGCCTTCATGTTCGCTGTCAAATACTCGAGTAATCCATCTCTCAAGTTCTTGTCTGGGACCTTTTCTGCAAGCTCCAATGCACCATCCAAAGCTGCAGGAGATCCATCAGCCATGTAACAGTTCATTGCTCTTTGTGGATCTTTAGCGAGAGCGAAGAATTTGGCTGCATTGAGTTGATCACTCTTTCCTGCGAAGTAGTTTCCGAGTGCTTCGTATTGTTGCACTGTTCCGTGGTCGCCAATCAAATCAGCAAGTTCATCCATTCTGTTGTGCAATTCAGCAATTCTAAATGCATCTTCGCTCTGTCCGGAAATTATGAGGAATTCGATCGCGTATCTGAAATTGCCCAAATTTATGCAATGTTCCGCAACTAATCTGCAAGCTTGAACTGTTGGATGTTGTCTTGCAACTGCTGTTGCTCTATCGAGATTGATCTTAAGCAAAACACGAACCAATGATTCCCATTCACTTCCTTTTTCGAATGCTGATGCAGCACCTTCTAATTGGCCGGCTCTTTCCAACTGTTTTCCAATTGACCTCAAAACTTTCACGTCATCGACTTTTTGACATAATTCGGCTGCTGCATTCAACTCGTTTGCTCTCAAATAGCATTGTGCGGCTGAGTTGTATTGTTGTACTTGTACATACAATTGTGCAGCTTGAAGGAACGCTGACAATTTCTCAAGAATTCTTGCGCATTCAGTAACAAGATTTGTGTCTTTTGTTTTCTCGAGTTGTTTCATTCCTTGTTCGACTTTTCCTGTGTAAATCAAACATCTTATGATACCAGCACGAGATTGGTGTTTCAAACCACTTGTTGTCAATGAATTCTTGTATTGTTGGAATGCCTGCGCGTAGTTTCCTGTTAATTCATTCTGTCGAGCGCTTTCATATGATAAATAAGGAATTCGCGTTGGATCGAATTTCTCAGCCAATTGGAGAGCGGAATCAAACTGTAACAAAGCAGATCTCATGTCCAATGTCATCTGTGGCCTTGAACTCTCCATGAAATACTTCTGAGCTGTGTTGAAATCATGTCTCATCATTGCAACATATCCTCTTAAATAACTGAGTTCTTCTTCCTTCAAAACTGGTTCTAATTGGTTCGCCATGTTCGCTTCTCCACATGCAATGAAGCCTTCTTGTGCAATCTCAATGTTCAAGGCGTCTAAAGCTGCTTCAGCAACTTCTTTGATGATTGCTTTGTCTTGTAGTTTGATTGCAATTTGAAGAGCTTGTCTGTGTCTGTTGATTGCAATCAATTCTCGAACGGAATCAACTTTTTCTTCATTAATCGACTGATATGATGTCAACTGAACAGATTTCTCTTGTGACGTAGAATCAATGAAGATAATTGTTCCATTCGAAACTCCAATTGCAACTTTTAATGTAGGAATCTCCATTTCACAGAGTTTTCTGATGGATTGGCCATTGTAATTCTGATCTGTCATGTGGTATATGGCTACTTTCTTCGGTGCAATCACTGCAAAAACATTGCGGTCGGTGATGTCAAAAAGTGAAGCTACAGCGTCAAAACCGCTTCCTTCTTCGAGAATTGGGACCGCTGTGCGCTTTATAGGGTTGAAGGAGTAGACACCGTGGGCGGAATCGATGAAGACGAATCTTGTCTCGCTGAGGTTCGGCTGGATTGCAACAATGGCGTTTGGATGCTTGTATCCGTCGAGATATGCTTGGTTTCGGGTATTAAAGATCCTCAGAGTGCCATCATCGGTCGCTAAGAGAAGTAAGAAGCCTGTTAATGAGAAAGCAGTGACTTTGGAGGCTGTATCAAAATCTGGAAATGAAAATGGCTTTTTCGTTGAATCAAAGTAGTTAAGCATGACTTTTCCGCTTAGCATAACTGCATAGGCGGTGTCGCTAACCTGTATATCGTCGATTGTTCCCGATAATTCTGCTTTATTCGTTTGTTCGAGAGTTTTCGTGTCGTAGAACCAAACATTGTTGTTGAATGCAACGGCAACAGTCTTCAGGCAAACACCTATCTTCTGCGGTTGCGATTCTACGTTGAATGATCTGTATGATTTCTTATGCATGTCGTAAACTGTCAAAGAAGTCAATGATTGGCTGTATACAGCTAATGGGCCGCTCGATGCTGCAAGAATTGGAACTTCAACTAAGTAAATTAAAACAGAGCTGTCTGTAAGGCCAACGCAGCTCAATGAGCCATCAGGAGATATGGCAATCGAGCAGACAGTACCTGTAGTATTATCTGGGAATCGGATTTGATCATCTGTAATGTCTTTTGGATCATCGATATTTATAACTTTGACAGAAGCTCCATTTCCGACAATAGCTGTTGTTCTGATGATGTCTGCTGCTGAAGCTGACGATGAGAATGCGTGTCTGCTTAAAACTTGCTGATATTCGAAGTTTACAAGAACGAATTTACCAAAACTGAATTGAATGAAAACTAAGCCATTTGTCAAGATGCCACTGCGAACAATTGAACCTAAACTTGGTTCTAATGTGACTTTCTGTGGCTCTTTACCCTTCAAATAATCCCAAAAGTATAATGTTGGAGTATTTTTGGTTGTAAATGCAACTGTTGGCGTAGAATCGACTGTAACGAATTGTGGGAATATAGGGACATCGCCCAAATCTAATCTAGCGAGAACTTTTCCTTTCATATCGGAAACAGAGATTGAATTATCTTCAGAGCATAAACAGATATGTCCTTTTGAGTTCCAAATACCACCTACAATGGCAGAATCGTGTGTGCCTTGGTAACTTTGAGATTGACGTGAATTAAGATCGCAAATCCAAAACATGCCTTTATCAGAGCCAACGACGAGGAATGAGCCTCTCCTGGAGCACTGACCCCATGTTGGGACGAATGGTGCTTCAATTGGTAATGTGTCTCTTTTTGGCATGTAATGGAGTGTAATTTCGTTCGAATTTGCACTTGTGATGATTAAAATCTTTGACTGAGCATCCCAGTCCATAATTTTTGGATTTGCAACTGGAATTGTTGAGAGTTTTGCTCCATTTTTGTCATACACTAAAACTACGTTATTGTTTCCATAAATAGCAACGTACTTTGAATCTCGGCTCCATTTAATGACTGGTTTTGCGTCATTGCCGATTTCGGCAGAGCCAACACGAAAGATTAATTGCATTCTATTTTTGAATCAGAGCCGTTTTTTTATAATAATTTTTGTAAAGTCTAAATTATCACCATGATTTTCCATCGGATTATGTCAAAGCTCATAACTTTCTTTTAACCTTAAGGATCATTATCCATTGAGTCGTTGGATTTTTGTTCGCATTGTTTTTATTGTTCTTTCTTCGAGCCAAATTTGAATACTATCATCATACATTAGAGGATTTAACTTATTTTTTCAGTTCTCTATCTCCAATTTTATATTGGATTTGATAATCGATCTAATCTTTCTCAATATCTATCTGCTATATGCATCTATCAAAGCCACATAATGTAAAATAAAATGTATTATATGAAAATAAGTCATATTCCACAAAATTGGATTCAACCAGATAAAATATGAAAATTAAGAGAACAAAAATGCATTAATTATTAAATATTCATTGAAAAGATAGTGGTCATAGTAATTATTTTCATTGATAGGAATTTTATATCTTCGGTGATATAAATATAGCTTTTATTTGTCCGTACTATTTATCACATTGTCCTAATTCATGAGGGTATCTAAACGCTGCATTGAATTTGGCAGGATATTAAAGTTAAGTTCAAATTTTATCGAAATCAATAAAAATAGTAATGATAAGCGATCTTTTCGGAGTAAAATTAAATTCTTATGATGTAAGAATGTTATTATTAATATCAAACATATTAATTAAATGATTTTCCCTTTACATTGTAAAGTAACGGCTCTCCGTTACATTTTGTCAGTTTGGCGATAATCCACAAATGAGTTCATCGTCGAATAAGAACTATAGTATCATATATGACAACAAGAAATACAGAGTCGATCCTCTTATTTTCTGCAAAATGTCCGAGAAATTCAAGACAATCTACGAACAAAATCCAGAAAAATATAAATTCGAAAATGATGAAATTGATCAGGAAGTTTTCGTAGCATTTATTTCCAGCTGCCAATTAAAGACATTCCAAATTAATCCAAAGAAAGCTCAAGCTCTTCTTAAACTGGCACGTGAATGGGAAGCTCCTTCACTTGAGAGCTACGCAACAACAGTATGCCGTGAAAATGGCTATCCTGTTTATCCTCGTGTTGATCCGATCGGTGATTTGAAGATTAAGCAGGATAGAAATGAAGATTGCGGCGAAGATTACAAACGCGCTGGTGCAGTCTTCATGGATTCACTCGATGATGACCGCTTAATGGAATTTGACCCAGAACCTCTCTTCCGTATTGTTGCATACGCCGAAAAGCTTCCAAACTTCGATGAGCAGAAATACGCCGATTTCGTAATGAAGCTCAGAGAAAGAAGAATGGATGCTGCAGTTTTGCTTTCATTACGCCTCAACTTTACAAAAATTACCGAAGAAGATACAGATGCTCTCTTCCAATCCCCAGAAATGCGTCAGCAATCAATCGGCTTCTTCGTTGCCTACTCACTCAGCCAAACACGTCACAAGACTCAAGAATTAATCAACGAAACTACAGCCAAGTGCATGGACCAGCTCCATGAGTTCGGTAATGATATGCTTGATGCCAATGGCTCTCTCAAGAAAGCACTCCAAAAGGATCACGAAAAGAATATGAAATTATTAAATCAAGAAATCGATGCAAACGCTGATGAACTTAACCGCCTTGTTCGCGAATTTACACGTACAGCTGATATCCTTGTAGAAGGACCTCTTTCTCCAAACGGATTTGCAGATCCAGCTCTTAAACGTATCGAAGACGATGCACAGGAGCGTCTTAACAACCTTTACAACCATATCCGCGAGGAAATTGGCAAGAACCATGATGAAAAGCATCCAAAGATGAGAGACGACGTAGATCGCGTTGAACAAGATTGGGAAAACGAATACAACGACCCAGAAGCTACTCAGAAGAGAATGGAAGATATGCTCAATGAGCTCGAGGGCGTTGCTTCCAAGTACAGAGGTGAAATTGATCAGATTGATAAGGATCTTGACCATATCCGTGGTTCTATCAACGCTAAGATCGCTAGAGACTATGTTCGTACTGACAAAGGTAGTAGAGTTGAAGCAAACATTTATTCTATTTTCGATGAGGCTGATTTCGTCAAAGAAGAGTCTTCTGCAATCGAGGACATCGATGCAAGACTCGATAAGCAATGTCCACTTAAAATCGGTAAGAAATAAAAAAATATTTTATTTAGATTCTCTAAAATTGATCTCTATTCATTTCAAACTATCTTTTACTAGCTAAGAGTGTCTTCCACTTTTAATTAATTTGTTATATTTCTTTAGATTTGATAAGACGGGATGCAACACTTTAAAAATTTCCGAATAATTTTGTAATAATTCGAATATACATTATCCATAGAGTATATATTTATAAATGAAATTTGAAATGCATCAAATAAAAAAGTGACAAAATGTCTGTCGAAGAAATTAAGCAAAAAGGTAACCAAGCATTTAAAGAAAAGAACTTTGCTTTTGCCATTGAACAATACTCTAATGCTCTCGAGTTAGATCCTCAAAATTATACGCTTTACTCAAACAGATCAGCTTCATACGCTGCCATGGGTAAATACAACGAAGCTTTATCTGATGCACGTGAAGTTGTTAGATTAAATCCAGATTGGGCCCGTGGTCATTCTCGTCTTGGAACAGCTCTTCATGGTTTGAAAGATTATCAAGCTGCTGCAGATGCTTACAGGCGTTCTTTGGAGCTCGATCCAAATAATAACGAAATTAGAGAGCAATTAGAAAAATGCGAAAAACTTATTAAAATTATTAACGGAGATGACTCACTTTACAATGAAATTGGAAACGTTTTCACTCCAGATAAAATCGAATTATTATATTCTAACCCAACAACTAAAAAATACTTAGACGATCCTAAATATAAAGAAATGATGGAAGATTTAAAGGCAAACCCACAAAATCTCGTCAAGTACTTGAGTGATGAACGTCTAGAAAAGACTTTGCAGGTCCTTATTGACCCAATAATTCAGAAACATATGTTAAATCCAGTTAAAGTTTCTCCTTCAGAAGCTGTTAGTGCTTCGAACCCATCTCCAAAGGCTGATATAAATAAGGATGCTGAAGCCGAGAAAGAAGAAGGAAATAAATACTTCAAGACAGGAAAATTAAATGAAGCAATAACTCATTACGAAAAAGCTATTACAATTGATCCTTCAAATATCATCTATTACAATAACAAAGCTACGGCACTTATTAAGTTGAAAAAATTTGATGAAGCGATTTCTACACTTGAGAAAGGAATCAAAGCTGGAAAAGAAAGCAAAGCTGACAATGACTTCCTCGCCAAGGCATATTCTAAGTTAGGAAACGCTTACGCTAACAAAGGAAACAAAGAACCAGCTCTCAACGCTTACCAGGATTCCTTGAAATACAAATTTGATCAAGCTGTAGCTGATGAAGCAGAAAAGCTGAAGAACTCCCTTTAAATGAATTTAAATATTTGATATAAATAAAATAGCTATATTATCTCGTTTAATATCATTTTTTACTAATTCTTCATAGAAATACTTTCAATCTCAGGTATTTCGTAAGTTAATTAAGCAAAATAAAAAAATTATATAAAATATTTGAAGATTTTCTTTCATTTTAATGATGACACCATATTTATACATATTATAGAACAATTTGGCTTATTTTATTCTTTAATAATTTAAATATATATTAATAAAAATTGAAATTTAATATAAATTTTTCCAAAAAAAAATTCGAAATTCTAAAATTGGAATCAAAAAACTGGATTATCACATTCATTTTTTCGATTTCAAAAAAAATTTGGAATAAATCACATGCAGTAAACTAATTATTATCTTCATTTATACCAAGATAACATGTAAATTCCTTCAAATTCTCATATTTTAAACTTTGAGAAATTTCTGATCCATTTGAACAATGAATCACCCTTATTTGTACTACACTGATAAAGTTTTGATTCTTTAAACCATGGAAATTGAGTTAATAAAAGATGAAATCAAAAATCTCAATATAATAATAAGAAAGAGTTAAGTAATTAAATGAATAATGAATGAAAACGAAGTTTTTAAGTAAGAAATTATGAGAGGTTTTGATATTGATTTGAATTTTGTTTCTTGGAGAATCTTGCCTTGAAGTTGCTCCACCATCCAGCAGTCTTATTTGAGTCTGCATCAACTCCTGGGATCAAGTTTGAATCAACGCCGATTGTTGGCATTGGAGCTTGATCATCCATTGGATTACAAGCTGGATAAGACTGGTTAGAGCCTGGATATGTAGGATTGCCGTAAGCATTGTAGGTTGGCTGATAAGAAGGAGCTGCGCCTGGATATGATGGAGCAGCGCCAGGATAAGAAGGAGCGGCACCTGGATAGGATGGGGCTGCACCTGGGTATGATGGTGGCTGGCCTGGATATGTTGGATTAGCTCCTGGATAAGATGGGGCTGTAGCTTGATTTGGAACGCCTTGGGGACCCATTGGCATAACTGTTCCATCTCTGGAAACACGTACGACCTCAGCGTTATCTGGCCAGCGTAAGAAATCGTCGGCGAAAATGTGATCGAATTTTGGTAATTGAGCTGGTTTTGGTTTTGGCTTTGGAGCTGGCTTTGGTGCATTAGACGGTGATGGGTATGCAGCAGGAGCAGCATATGCGCCTGGATAACCACCTGGACCTGGAGGAGGAGCTGAATAAGCAGCGTAAGCACCTGGATAACCTCCTGGTGCTGGAGCTCCGGCTGGTGGATAACCCATTGGAGAGGCATATGCACCTGGATAACCACCTGGGCCTGGTGGAGGAGCTGCATAAGCTCCTGGATAGCCTCCTGGGGCAGCTGATGGTGCTCCAGCGCCTGGGTATGATGGTTGTGATGATTTGCTCTTTGGTGGTGGTGGTGCGTTTTCTGGTGTATCGAGTAAAATCGAAATTGTGTTTTCTTCATCGCCGTTCATTTCCATAAGGATACCTTCGATGGTATCTCTTCTGTGTTTAGGGAACATTTCGGCAATACTATTTACCTTATCTTGGATAGTTGCCATATTAATTAATGACAGAAAATTTTGATCTAAACTTCTTTTTTTTCTCTTCACCGGATTTTGAAAAAATTTATGTTAAGGGTGCCCTATAGACGATAGACCACCCTCAGAAAAGCACTTTTAAGGCTATTATATTGAGAACTAGAATCTGGATAATCCATTCATTCGAGTTCTAATAAGGTTAATTTTGTGATGTTTACATTATCGTTATAGGGCACCCTTAAGGTTAAATCAAATTTTCGGTTGAAATATGAAGACAATTAAGGATACATTCTAGTATTAGTCTAGAATTTCTTTTTTTGAAATCGATGATCGAATTGAATTTAATTAATTTAATAATGAATATTGGATATTAACTTGTTCACTCTCCAAGAAATTATCGGAGAAAAAAAATTTCATACAAAAAATTTTTTCCGAAATTTTTTTTAGAAAAAAAAGAAGGATTTTACCGAAGTTAATTATTGAGCACGATGTAATCTTTGATATCTTGAACGAATAACTGAGCCACCCCATTCAACAACTGTGAAACCTGTGCGTGTAACGTTAGGAAGTGCTTGAACTGGTTTGTTTAAGTCTGATTTATGTGCTTTGCGAATTGCAATGAAAACACGGATGACTGAGTCTGGCTTTGTACTGAGCGTGAGAGGAACATGGTGGCAGTAGTTCGCCAACTGGAATGAGCAGAAGACGTCGCCGAGTTTATTGAATGTAGGAAGCCAATAGGTGATGAAGTCGAACTTCTCGCGGTCGTTGAGCTTGAAATGAGTGAGCATCTTCTCTAGAAATGCACGGCCTTCACCTTTCTTGACATAGAATCCAGTATTCATTTTCATGTTAATGGAAACTAGACCTTCCCAGTACAAATATGGAATAACTTTGTTGTTATAGATGATATCACCATTTGGTTTAGCTGTGACGTTCCAGTATGTGCCTGCTGTAAATTCTGGAACAACTGTTGTAAAGTTTTGCTGTTCAATGTGGACACCGACTGAAAGATTCATCTCCTTTGTTGGATACAAATAAATGGCTGGCTTTTGTACTAAAAAATATCAGGATTACGTGTAAAATTAAATCTGTAAAAAGGAAAGTTGCTTGCTGGTTTTATATGGCAACGTGGTTTAGCATGGGGTTTGTATTGCTTATATGGAAGTGGCTTTGGGTATGGATATGAATGACGCCTACTGCGAGCCTCTGCAAGTGCTAGCAAACAGAACATAATTTGATACAAATTTTCTTTGATGTCAGATTCTTTCAAAATATTCTGAATTTCAATAAAGTTTGTCAGCTTTGCCATTATTTGAATGATTAAAGACCATTCTTCTGTTACTGAAGCAAACACAGTTTTATACTTTGACTTCTGAACTATTGTTTAGAATAATTTCATAAAATTTACACTTTTCCGACGTTTTGTCAGGGGCGCGAAGCGACCCAAAAATGTCGGAAAAGTGTAATTCTCAGATATATGATTATTTTTGCTTTTAATGCCGAACAGCATTTGAATCAAAAATAATCATATGTCTGAGAATTTATCTTTTCTTTGAAAATTGAAGGTTAGTACTCTTACTTAATGAATATATAGGAGCAATCAAAAATAATGATAGCAACATGTAATATTTTTTATCGGTTAACAATGTTTCAAAAATTGAAATAAAACTGCTTTTATTCGTACAATTTCTAAAATTATGACAGAATGAGGTAGATTATAACATCAAATGAATAACGTGATGAATTTAAAAGGTAGTAACGGAATTGGAAGCTTCCCCATATTGAAGTTTGAAAATGTCCACCAATTGATACAATCCTCTTTGATTGTAGTCATAATTCTATTTTATCAGCAATAGAATTTTGTATAACCTTATTTTTGGTATTTGCACTATAACCTGACCAGATAAAGATTGAAAATTTATTCAACGAATCATTGTTTTAATCATTGTTTCATGAAGTCTAAAATGTTACTGTCCCATTATTTTGCAATTTCAGTGCCACATTTTTACGTGGAGATGGGACGAATGGATAGGTATGTTTCAATAGGTGGTATACTATTTTTTGGCACCCTGTGAAATAAGAAGTTCGACAGTTTCCTTACTATTACTAATTGTTGCAATATAAAAAGCGGTTTGTCCATATTCTTTTTTTTTTTATTTATATTTGCACAATGTGGATGAAGAACTTCGGTCATTTCATTATAATTAAAATATACTGCAAAATGAAGAGAAGTTTTAATATTATTAGCTCTTTCATTGATGCTTGCACCATACAAAATGAAGATTTCGCAAAAGGATAATATATCAGATTCGTCGATGAAATAAAGTATTTGTTGATATCATTTGTTTGATCGAAATAATCTCAAAAGGAATTTTTATGAATCCCACAAAGTTGCAAATTGATTTTGATACTGTGTTCATTCATCAAGAAGGTATCAAAATCTGTGTTGTGTGAAATAGTAGTATATATCATGCATGCTTCTTTTGATTTTTGATGTTTCAAAGCTTCACTCATGATCTATGGATTTTTCAGAAAAATTTAAGTCGTGGATACAGTTCAGCTATTTATGAGTTAAATATCGTCCTTAAAAACTTTAAACAATCAATTGTTCCATGAAAACAACATAATTCAAGTATTGATTATACCTTTTTTCATATTTAAGATGTTTTTGACATGTTTAAAATACTTAAAAGTTCTATATCTGATATTCTTGTGTTTATATACTTTATTTGTCAAGTAAGTACTTCAAATTTTTATATGAATTTTCGGAACAAACATAATTCACACTTTGTTAGTATAATAAAATAGTTTTAATTCGTAAGTGAATTTCAATATGCAAATCTATCTTCTCAAATACTGTTCATAATAAATGAGTAATATTTCTTAGCTTATTCCATTATATAAACTAGATTATATATATACACATACATGCTATTAAATGAGTATTAATAAATTTGCAATAAAGAACCATTGTAAATGGAAATTACTGGAAAATCAAAAATAAAATCATTTAATCTCAGTTATTCACAAATAATCGAACAATTCCTAATGAGAAACAACTTATTTTAAAATCATATTTTCCATATTTTGTGTTTCTGTGAAATTAATTTTAAAATTATTTGAGGCATAATTATTAATTAAATAAGATTATGGTTTATCGTTGGCAGTGCAGATACAATATTGGCATTTTGCGTTTCTCAGTGAGTGACCAACTTTTTGATTGAGAAGAAACAGGAGCTTTTTATTAAAATTATATTTTCTAAAAAATGTAATCATTCTATTATAAGAACAGTATCGGAAAGATGAATGTGTGATGAACGTAGGAAAGTTATGAAAGACAAAAAAAATCAGAATATTTTTCTAAGACATTCGTTTAAAAAAACATTGTGATAATAGTCGGTAAATACGCATAATACAATAATCCATTAAATTATCATGGGTTAACGGTCAAAAATGGTATTTTTTGATCGCAAATTTGTGAAATTATTTTTTGAGATGAATTTTTTCGAAGGTTGACGCCTATTGCCATCGAAAACCTTTCATCATAGGTTTAACCACTGCAAATTGATGATAAATTAATTTGTTAATTTGCAATGCCTTATCAATTTTATGTAAAATAAAAAATGCTTCTACACTAATGACCAATATTATTATAAAGTTTGGTGAATAAAATCTAACCGACCGATGAGTTTGACTTTCAATGCGATTTTATTTTTCTTGGCGGTTTGAATGAATTTCCAAAAAATCGAATTTTTCATGCATAACGCAAAGTAAAACAGAAAAGGATTTCGAATACCATAACTCTAAAGTTTTATCCATAAAAAATTGATAATGGATTTTTGTATATCATATTGAATTTTTTAAATTGAACATTGAATTTTTCAGAGGACATAAAATTTTATCGTCAACAAAAATTTAATCATTTTTTTATAATGCAGACCAACCATTCGAACGTCATATTCGACCATTTTCAGAATGACTCTAATAACAGTCTTATGTCACTATCCAGACAGAAACACAACTCAAACTTCTTTGGTTCCAAACAGATTCTCAACAACTCCAAAGTTGATTTGAGAGAGTCATCAGAGCATCATATTAACCTTATAGAAAGCAAGAAGATGGGGCATTCTATAAAGTTTAATACCCAGTTTTGCAATTACGACCAATCTGATGAATATGTTAACATTACCTTTATGTTCAATATCCAAATCAACAACCTTCCATTAGTACAGAATTCCTTCTCAAATTCTACTGATCTCTCAGAATTGTACGATTTTGTAGAGAATACCGAGTATGTAAAGAGAAGAAATGACCCAAATAGAAACTTTAAGATTTCTTACTCGCCATCATGGAATTCGGAATGTCTTCCGGATTCTGGCAGCATAGAAAATTACATTAATTTCCATAGTAATAATATTACATTGTATGTTAATTTCCAATAAATTTGTTTCTATCCCTGTTTAAATGTTTATTAAATTTACTAACTAATCTAAACAAAAATATTTGAAATTAATTTTCATAACATTTTTCAGAGAATATTGGTTGTTCACAAACTATCTAAGTAGTCTAGTCAAGTTATATGGTTAGTATATTTGTTCTGACAATTTGACATCTTGAGTTGTTAACTCAGAAAGAATTTGATAGTTTGTAGTAAATATAATACTCAATATTCCTTGTCTTTTATCATTTAAGTACTAAATTTGTGAATAATTCAAATTTGATACGACAAAACGATTAGGGTGGAATGAAAGTTGTTGATGTCAGTGTTCATCAGACGAATTATCATCTTTACAGGAAAGTCCAAAGAATTGTTTGATTAAACACATATGTTAGCGTATAAATTAGATTTTTTGAAATCTTTTACAGGAATTTTTTGTTTTGATTTTGATATGAATGATATATAACTATATAAAATCGCACATGACATGAAAATGAATAAGTTCCCACAAGGACAGGATTTTGAATTACAATTTCATCAATTCGAAGCATTAACCAGAAAAATCAAGTTCTAAATACATAAACAAAATCATTCCAGTTGATACTATGCATAATCTTCGGCAATGGATCCAATTATAAAATTCTTTCAATCCAACAAAATTATTAGCACAAGTAGCTTATCTATAGTGTTTAAAAATCAAATATACCTATTAATCTCTCAAATTTCGATTTCGAAGTATCCGACTATTCAAAATCGCTCATTCTGAAGACCATTTGATAGAAATATATAATATACATAATATGACTATTCTAACGCTTAGATTTCACGAGGAAACACGGTGGAAAAGATACATGACACTTTTTAGAAATGAACTTTTTCAAGAATTTCATTTGGAACGAAGTAGAAAGCAGTCCATTTTTCACGGCTTCATGGGAGCCAAGATACCTAAAAAAGCTTTTAGTTATTTTTAGTATCGGAATTTCTTGTTTTGTTTCATTTACAGCGTTATTTATTTCATCAACCATTTCTCTACCAATTCACAATGAAGGCACAAAATATTACATCGAATTGAACGACTTTTCATCAATTTCACAGCCATATTTAGTAATTATTTCTCCACCAATCTCAAAAAGACTTAATATTTCATCAAATGGGGTATTTTTATATAAAATAAATGGAACAAAATATACTTTCGGTACTCTCTACAAGTTTAGTGACATTCACCCAAATATTCGTATTGATTTTAACACTTCGAAGAAAATTACACAAGCAGTAGTTCGTGTTCACATTCCTATAGTTAAATACGCATCAGCTCTTATCAAAATTGCAACTTTTTTAGTTACAGCTGCATGTCTTTTCCTTTCATACAAATCTTCAAGCATCAGACCATTTCTTTCACAATATTTCCTCATATTCTTATATTCCTTGTTTAATTTACCATTTTTCAGCTTCGATACTTTAATTCGGTCAATTATTACTATGACTTTCTGGTTTGGCTTCATATCTGTATCCTTTTTACAAGTACGAATTCTCTCGTCTAATATCCCTACGATTTTCTCTTCATTATTTGTTTTAATCGGATTGTGCTCATTTTCTACAATTATGACCTATTTCAACTCAAATTTCTTCTACATTTCGATATTACTTGTTGTCGGCCTTGTTGCAGCTTCAATTTACCTGTTTTACATCGGAACCGCAATTTTGAGTCAATTTTTATTGGCTGTTCATTTTGGATGGATGTGGACAATTGGTTTGTGCATATACTTTGCTAATATACTTAGGAATATGAGTATTACCTTTCAGACATCGTTTTTCGTTGATGTAATGAATTCTGTCATTGTTTCTGTTTTCATTGTTTTCCAATCTATTTATTTGATTGGAGAGCCAGTCAAAGCGAAGATTCCTGAAGCTCCTCTCGATCAGGCAGCAAAGATCAACAGAATTGATCAACTTCTTGAGAAACTCGCCGACAAAGAAGAAAACGGATCAAGGAAATTCTAATTTTTAAAAATCTATTTGTATTTGTTGACTTATAAAACACGCTTTTGTTTAAAAATATATATATAGAGTTGTAAATATATTATAAATTATCACAAATTTCTGATTTTAGCAGCATTAGAAGCCTCAATTTTTTGGGTAAATGCTGAAACTATTTTAAATTCAATGTTGTGCGATATGCTCAAAAATGGATCTAATTTTATGAATAGTTTACAATTCACAATTTTTTCCAAAATTTTATGAGATTTGTAAATTATGCATAAAATAATGAATCTTTTTAAAATCATTATCTCAAAATTGAATTGAAAATATTTTAAAATTTGAGACAATTCTGTGAGTTATACTCAAAACATTCCATAATTTTAACATATATGTTAGTAACCAAGTTTTTAGTACTCGATTTTTAAAATATATTAAAAAAAAGCTATTTAAAAAATTGCGCTTACAAATTTTAAATATGAAAGTTTGTCACAGCTTTCAATGGTTAGATAGATTTTAACGGAACCTTAATATCGAGTATTGAAAAATCTATACTTTTTGAATCTCGATTTTTGAATAGTTATTGAAATCGATTACATGAAAACTACCATTATATTGCCTTCTGAAATACTTTGTTTTAAAATTTTAAATTGAAACATAGATTTTTCAATACAATAAAATATACGTTTTCATAATATCCTTTTTTTTTAATATAATATAATGAGATTTTCTTTAGTTATACTCATTATGGATAAAATATCCTCATTCAATTCTTGAAGACATAATCGAAAAAATATAAGTTCCGTCTAGAACAATATAAAACGTGCGTTTATATTGTGTTGTGTCCATAACTGCAGAATTCAATTTTGAGAATAACTTTAAAAATTCAATAGTTGTAAAATCTTAAATAAAAGTAATGATGTTTTTTTGTTTCTACCATCTATAATTTATATTTAATGATGATTTCAACATTGTTCATAAGAACCAACACTCGGAAGAGGAAATTGAACAAAATTAATTATTCCGCTATTCTTTATGGAACTTCAACAAAGCTTTTCAGATTATTACGGCACAGCTGAGTATGTTAATAAAACTCGCAACGAAACCATATTAGAAAATGGTAACTATTACATCCATCGTGCAATATTTTCTTTCTTTCATCGAACACCAATTTTTATTTCTAACAGCAAAGTATTGCTCAAAACATGCACATTTTTCAATAACACATCAAATACAGGTGTTGGATCGTTCTCAATCCGAGAATCTGAATGTATCATAGTTCGTATTTGTATATCGCGTTCATATGGTAATTCTATCACTGGATATTCCATTTCATCATCTCTGGTTGGTCCCAACAAAAGTTATGCATTTGAATGCTCACTTTCAGAATGCAATGGAGGTCATAGTTCTTTTACACATGACCATGGAGAACAAATAGTAAGTAACATGAATTCATCTTATCACATAACTCTGCGTCATGCTGGATATGTATTCAATGCACGAGATGGAACAGGGATCATGAATTTCACCACAATAGCTAATACCTCCACCACCTTATCAGATCGTAACAATGGTGGAATGTTCAATGCTGCTTCTTTTAATATTACAAAATGTAATTATTTAAACAATTCATATAGTGGATCCTATAACTCATTAATTCGAACTACTGGTACAACTACATTCTCAAATTGTTCTTTCTTAAGAAATAATGCACTCTTTATATTTTCCCCACGACCAAAATTTATTAAGGGTCCACTGTAAGGCCAAATAAGGTCTATCGTCGTCCCAAAAATATTGCTCGAGATGGTGTTTTACTAAGGCCCAAAACTTAAAAAAACACAAAAAAATTAACTTTACTCTTTTGAGATCCCTATCAGATATGCATCAATTTGATGCAGTATCGCAGTTCAAATCTGATTTTTTAATGTAGATGTACTCTAACATCCTTTAAAAAATGCAAAATGGTATTAATTAAGCTTTTCATTTCTGTATCATACACGAAACAAAATCGTTCATTATACTAAAATTTATGAAAGTTTGATTAATGAAAAAATAATATCTAAATTTTTACATTGAATCGGCTATTGATATGGTCAATATTAAATCTTGTAAAAATTGGCATTATCCAGAATAATACCCACTAAAATACATAATTTTTTTTAAAAAAATTTTATCAATTGTTATGGTATATCTTTATGATAATGAATAAAATGCTTATTTTTCATAAGTAAATACATAATTTATGCTTAAACACAAAAAATAACACGAAAATTTTTGGCCAACATATCTAAACTAAGGATAATGGTTTGAATATATAAACAATAATACTTTGTCCAGGGAATTAAATTTGTGCTATCCAATTGTCAATTCTTTGAATTTTTTTTAAATGCAAGATATCCCGGCATTAGCCTCAATAAATATATATATTATGCATCATAATATTAGTTTGTAATGGCATTAAAGCGAAATTCCTAATTGAGAAAGGGACAGACTAGCCCATTGTCACTTTTTAATTTAGCAAATGAACGCTTATGGAGTGGAGTTTTTGGGTAAATCTGATTTGCTTATAAATGAAATAAAATCAAAAGAAACCATATTGGCATTATATTATGCAAAAATAAATGATCTTACTTAGTACTTTTAAAGTTAATTTCAGAAAAAATTTGACACAATGGTATCCGGCACATACAAGTGGTGTACAACCAAAATATAAGTTAGTTTAAACATATATTGCTATATCTCATGATCTTACTTAGTACTTTTAAAGTTAATTTCAGAAAAAATTTGACACAATGGTATCCGGCACATACAAGTGGTGTACAACCAAAATATAAGTTAGTTTAAACATATATTGCTATATCTCATGATCTTACTTAGTACTTTTAAAGTTAATTTCAGAAAAAATTTGACACAATGGTATCCGGCACATACAAGTGGTGTACAACCAAAATATAAGTTAGTTTAAACATATATTGCTATATCTCATGATCTTACTTAGTACTTTTAAAGTTAATTTCAGAAAAAATTTGACACAATGGTATCCGGCACATACAAGTGGTGTACAACCAAAATATAAGTTAGTTTAAACATATATTGCTATATCTCATGATCTTACTTAGTACTTTTAAAGTTAATTTCAGAAAAAATTTGACACAATGGTATCCGGCACATACAAGTGGTGTACAACCAAATCTTCGACTCGATGAACTTGTCATCGAGTTATATTCCAGTGTTGTTCCTTCATTCCTGATTAAGTTGCAAATTAAAGGTCTGGATTCAGAGAGAAGTGTTAAAGTTATCAAAAAAGTCACAAGAGATTTCGAAGAAATGACACAATTTAAAAAAGTCGAATGCATCAGTATGCTTGAAGCTATTCAGAAAGGTCTGAAAAATGATACACTTGATCCCAACATTGTTTACTCAACATTAAAAATATTATTGCAAAGAAAACATTTGATTTAATAAACATTTAATTTATTATAATTAATTTTTTATTACAGTATAGTAAAAAATGCTATAAATAAATTATTATATTTTATTAAAATGTGACTTTTAATAGTAAGTGAATAAAATAAATCAGGAATTGGGAAAGAAGTAAGGTTAATTAAAAATAATGAAAATTACAAGTTTAAGGTTAATGAAAAAGTGACAATGGGCGAGTTTGTCCCCCACTCATTCCTAATTTCTTCTCAATTAAATTCCTTGAAAAACATTGGAATTAATGATTGGAAATAGGTCAAAAAAATTCCTAATATAAAACTTATACTTAAGATAAAATTAAAATTCGAAAATATCTATTTTTCAAAACACGCATCCAAAAGCGAAAAAATTCGAAAAAATCATGTTCTTATAAAACTCACTGATTTTGCAATTTTTATGAGATTTGAAGTGATAGAATATATTACCATCTTATTGAAACATATGCTTCATTGTTGTATTCACATAATATTAATCAGAACACTAGGAAAAGTGGATTTTCGAAAAATGACGATAACGATTATTTGCAAATCGCCTCTCAATTTTGAGAGACTTTCAATTTTTACAGTGGACCCTTAATTGTTATTGTAATGAAAATATTTTGCATAAAACTATAGCGGGGGGAGATTCATATACTTTCAAACTGAATGAACCATTAGATTCATCAATGGTTCATTATACAACAGGAAAATGTTCTACTAAATTAATTATTCAAACACTGAAATATGATCACGAAAACTTCAAAAATTTCCTTAACAATGCTTATAAAGCCTCATTTGTTGGAACAATTAATTATCCTTCTTTAAGGAATCACTAACTACTTTCTACTTAACAAGTAAAAATACTTTTTCTTTATAATAGAATTGATATTTTTCTGAATAAACATTACACTATCATATATGTATCATTATCTGTCTTTCTGCAGATTCAGAATTTAAAAAATATATCTTGATGAATAGGGAACACAAATATACCATGTCTCTTCACGCCTGTCAATTAAACTTTCAGTTGTATTTCCGTCTGCACATTTTGAACAAGAAGTTTTACCGAATCTTTGTCATCAGATATTGATGCCTTAATTATTTTTTGAATGTCTATTTGCATTTTGTAAATTTTATTTTAATATTCCGTTGTATTATAACATTTTAAAGTCATACGATATATACATTCAGAAGAAAGCATTAAGTTTGCCTAAATTTGATTTAATTGTATAAAGTGATAATTTTGCATTGCAAATCTTAAAATTTTATGCAGCTCAATTAGAAAAAAAGAATCATTACGTGTTTGTTTAACATATTATTCATATTTATAAAACAAACAATTAAAAATAATATTTTAAATAACAAGAGGCGGTAAATAAACAGCCAATACAGAAATATTATCATTACACATTGCAGACGTGGCCATTGTCATGATGTTTGACGCAGCCATTTGTGCATTTGATGAAGATAAAACGCATTTCTTGATTTCATCAAAAGACAAAGTGTCAACAACAGCACGAGAAATCAAAATAAGGAATCTCAAGCTGTCATCGACTTTGTACGCCAATATTTCCTGTTTCTGAGTTGTTTTGTGGACATAAAACTCAGATTTGTTTGGTTCGTCATAAAGATGGCCGTAAATGCTATGTTTCGTGGCAAACATAGTGAATGGCTTGTACCCACCAAGGTGGAAGAGCTCTGTCTTCGTGGAAATAAAGGCAGAGGCTCCTCCCATTAATCCGCAAATAATTTTGTTGTTTTGAATCGCAGCAAATGAACAGGAGTAATAGGAATTATATCCTTTGATGTTCAACTGCTTCATTGACTTCTGAAAAGCTTTTTTGAACCCTTTTTTGGTATATCCAGATTTTTTCAGAGATTCAAGCATTTTATCAGCAAAAATCTTGGCTTCCCTGATGTTACTTGTCCTGTCGATTATTCCGAAAACAGGAGAAGAGACTTTCGGAGGAATTTGGCTGATAATAAAATCTCCGTGGTTGAAATACTCACTTGGCTTAGTTGTATATACCACAAAGTTATTGATTGACCTATATCTGCTACCTTCTTCCGTTGTTGAGTTGAAATTATAATATGGATAAATTGTTTTTGGCGGAAAACTTATTTGTGCAGAAGTAGAGTCAATGTAAATGGGCATATGATCAAAACTGACGGTCATATTCAACAATGTACCTGTCAAAATAAGATATTTCAGTTGAATATAAGATTTTAAGCTTGGAATCGACTTCAAAGGGTTATATGATACATCTAGGAACTCTAAGGTATCTTTGGAGTTTAGTTCTGGAAGGTTTTCTATGGAATTGAATGCAAGATTTATGGAAATCATTCCATTTGGCAGTTTTGGACACTCTGTTAGTCCATTTGATGCAAGTTCTATATTCTGAAGCGAAGGAATATATGGAATTGTCGTTAATTTGTTTCCATTCGCGTGAAGAGTTATTAAATTTTTATTTTCTGCGAGTTTCTCATCGAGAGTCTTGAAATTACAGTCATTTATATATAGTTCTTCCAAAGAGTCAGGTAGTTCTGGTAATTCAGAGAGTGGATTCGCTGATAAATTTAATCTTGACAAATTTGAGTTAATAATGTTAGGATTGACAGAAGTAATCTTGTTACCTGTCAATATCAAGTCGAATAGACTCTCTAATTGGAAGAATTCGTCAGGAATTTCCTTAATTTCATTAAATGATAAATCAATAACGTGAGTTGTCTCAACTAAGTAATTACAGTTAAGTGTTGATATCCTATTATACCTAAGATACATATTATTGAACATTATTCCTTTAACAGGAGGTAATTTCGATAATTTATTTCCCATCAAGTATAAATGGGCCAAATCAGGAAGATGATTCAACTGGAAGTCTTTTACTTCATTGTTGTTTAAGTTTAATGACTGTAGAGTTGAAGAAACTTGAGAAATTTTGACAATTTTATTATTTGAAAGATTACATCGACAAAGACATGTAAATGAGCCGAAATTATCAGGTACTTTATCTATAAGATTAAAGGATAAGTCTACTTCTTGTATTGTTAAAGGTAATTTCGGATATACTTGTAATTGATTATGAGATACGAAAATTCCTTTTAATTTCGGCACCATTTGATCGAAATTAGGTGGAAATGCCTTCAGATTGTTGAAGCTTAAGTCTATCTGTAGTAGATTAGGGAAATATGTCTGTGGACCGATTTCTTTCAATAAATTTCTTTGTAAAACAATTTTTCGAATTTCTTCGTGTTTGTCGTTGAGTATTTCGATTTGGTTGTAGTCCAGTGCTATTTTTGTAAGGTTCTTAGGCATGAATGGAAATTTTTTAAGCTTGTTTTGACCTAAATCGACTTGTACAAGAATATCATTTAATTTCGGGACAATTGCAATAGAATTATTGAAAAAACACATGGAAGCAAGTGATGTTGATTCACAAATCGGCTTCGGTATCTTCGTAATTGAATTATATGAAAAATCAATAATAACTAAATTTGGAAAATTTTTGATTTTTTGGGCAATTCTATCAGGAATGGAACTGTAATCGTTATCTCGTAGTTGTATTGTCTTCAGTTCTGGCAAATCTTCTGGTAAATCTCGAATATGATTTCCATTTAACAATAAATGATAGATTGTTTTAAGATCTTCGATGTCATTGTCAATACTGGTGATCCCTTTCCTAGATAGATCCAATAGTTTCTTGTTCGGGTCCAGTTTAACTAAACTTTCTTCATTACCCATTTTTGTAAATTTTTTTTATGAATTTCAGATATCTTCTATAAAATTTTTACAGATGATCCTATATTATGAATTAATATTTGACGGTGGATAAATTTCAATGCATTCAATACGAACACTTTTTCTTTACAAATTTTTATTTCGTCAATCGTACACTATCGATTATATGATTTACATATGCATCATATAGGAAATTTAAAAATCACCATATTTCCTATACAAGTATACTCTTGTTCGAAAACAGTGAATGTAAAATTTGCCAGAATTTACGAGTTCGAATTCAGAGACTAAAAAAGAATTCGTGACATGAAGAAAATCATAGTCATACGACATCACACCTATAAAAGCCACATCCTGCATTATTTTTTATATCAGATTGTATAGCAAATTGGTTTTTTGTTCAATTGGATTTCAATCTTTATCTGCTTGCGAATTCATTTATAACAAATTCTTTATTAAATGTTCCAACAGGCTTAAGAATATAAATCTTGCTTTGTTCTGAATATTATCATGAAATTCATATTTCGAAAGTTTCAAAACAACTAAATGATTGCACTTGAAATTTCCAGAGAGGGCTCATTGATAATGAACTCACATCTAATTTCTATGATGGATTTTTTTTGATGATATAGGTTGCTTCCTTCCAAGTTATTTTTTTTAAATTTCTGAGTTCTGTCACACATACTCACCTTGTATTTGAGGAATAGAGATCCAAGCTTTTGAATTTGCGATATAAGCACTGCGTTACAAGCATATAAAAATATCAAAATAGGAGAAAATGATAAATCATTTGATAAGATATATATGTTAACAAAAAATCAAGGAGGTTTAATTCAAAAATCTGCATCAACAAGAATAATATTTTTGATTTTGATAAATGTTTTAAGTATTTGTAAAGAAATAATCTAATTATTTCAAACAAATCTGTTTGAACATATAACAACATATTTTCTAAGTTAGACACGCGTTTTCAGCATCTTGAAGGTACAAGGAAATGCAGATTTTTTTATTTACAAAATGAAATTATTGAATTGAGTTATTTTGAAAATAATGATATCAATTCAGCTATAGCTTGAGTAGGTCTTTGTGAAATTAAATCTTAAATATAACTATTTCGTTATGATGGAGATTCTTATAAAACTTACTTGCTCAGTTAAATCTAATTAATATTTGAAATATTAAATTGAAAGGTGCTAGGAATAATATAGTTTTAATTGAATTTTATGATTATTTCCACAACCTTCCATTCATTGAGTTAATTTAATTTATATAATCATCAAATTGATATTTGTATACCATCAGCAGTTATGGGTATCAGAGATTTGTTGAAAAAAATGAGATGATGTGTGTAATGAGCAAATCTTGTGAGATAAGACCAGCCCAAGGTAGTTGAAAGACTTGTTATTAAATTTTAAGTAATCGTGGACATCATGCACATGGAAATCAAATCAGAATCAGCGGAGTATAAAATAACCGTCAAAAAAATTAAATAATATTGAAACGCAGCCCAAGATAATCAAATCTTCAAAAGTGATTTATTTAGAATTTTCTAAACCTCAGAAAAAAAAAAAAGAAAAACAACAAAAAAATGTTTATCGGATAAAATGTCAGCGCAAATAGATAGTGAGGAATGAATATATTATAAATGAAAAAATGGCCAAATAATTAGTGGGCTGGTTGTCGAAGAAATTGAGTCCATCAAGGATAAGGTCAAAATGAATTTTCGTAAAGGATCTCATGACTACTATCATAATTACCTATTATTTTAAGGGTGCACACGAGAAGATCATGTAAACTTCAGAATTTAGAACCTTATTTTTAGGCATTATCTTGGCTACCTATTTAGGCTCGAAAAGCAAAAAATATCAAAAAATACAACTTGACTCCATTATGACCCTTTCATGGAGGTAGTTTTTATCCTCTAGTATTTTCCCTTTGAATCTCTTTACAATTCGAAATCAAATTCAAAACTCAGTAGAAGAAAGGAAGAATCGACTTACTACGGTTGTAATACGAATAAATACATATATTTAATTATTTTTATTTACATAATAATTGTTTGAAGTTCATATTCCATCAAATTTTTAAATAAAAACATTAAAATGTTGAAAATGTTCATATCTTTTAATAGGGTTTTGGCACTTTATTGAGGAATTACTACATACATAGTCGAACTGAACTTGATATTTTGAAATTTAAATTATTTATCAAAATTAAAATTTAACTTGAAATTTATAATTATATATTTGATAATTTTGTAGAACCAATTCAACAACTCCGCAGCGGATTCATTCTTACACTCATTAAGGAAATTAGTTTCTGCTAAGTCTTCTTCATAATTGTTATCTTCTTCTTCAGGTGAAGTGACTTGTAAACTTGAAAAGTGACATCTTGATCAATTCTTATAGAATTTGGTAAATTTTCTCTTATACAGAGCAACAAAGGGAATAAGAGGGAGTGGTAATGCACTTTGAAGAGTTTTTGGAGCAGTTTGATCACTAGTTGCTGTGATTGTGATGATGGCTTTCCAAGTTTTGCGAAAAGTTGTGAAGAAATTTGTAAAAATTTTGTGTCAAATTTCAACAATTTTTCTCCAATTTTCTGGATTTCTATTTCACTGAAATTTGCAGTGAAAACTAAGTAAATCATCTGTATCATGTCGGAAAACGACTCTTCCCTCTTCTCTATCGATTGGATGAATCCCAAAACAGCGTTTGCGGCACATTTTATCTGAGAATTGTCTTGTTTATACAAACAAGCATTTGCCCAGCTCCATCTGTGGGTGGCTTTTTCTGTAGCAGTTTCTATTTGGGATATAGTAAAACTGGATAGTTTTTTGTATTCGGCATCTCTTTTCTCTCTTGCTCTTGCTATAAGCTCAGAGTAAGAGACTCGAGCGCTCATAAAAATCCCAAATTTCCTGAAAGTTTTAGATTTTGTCACTTTTTAATAAGCAATTCATGCCAATACAATGATGAATTTATCATCATTTCTATATGTAAACTTGTTTTATATGGATGAAAATTGAAAATAACGTGTTTTTAAATCGGCATTTTTCAAATTCAACATTGGGACTTCTTTTCATAGTATGTTAAGAACCTACCAGTCCATTGCAGCCTATTTCTTTATGAGTTGAGCATTGTGGTTCCTATAGGAGATTAGTTCACAATTTTTGATAATAAATTATCCATATCAATTTTTCTGAGCATAAATCTAAAAAAAAGTAAACATATGATTCTGTTTCTTGTTTCTTATTGGGAAATATGCAAGAATGCATATGATTCATCAAAATTTGGTCGTTGCCTGCAAAAGCAATACTCGGCTGGCACTCATTTCTCAAATGTTTCGACAACAAGTATTTATCTTCATACATCTTCGAAAAGTAATTTGAAAGTGACAAATGCAGAAGGTGAAGTTGTCGAAATGAAACCAGGAGAGCAGATATCATTTGTTGGCAGCAATGTCACAGCGAATTGTATCGAAAACGTCTGCCCGATCTCTTTTTGGAATCACAATGTGGATGCCGTCAATCAGTACTTCGTAAACGATGCGGCTGGTACAGTGTTCTCAATGGAAAATCAAACATTGGAAGATACATACTCAGTTTATTGCGATTTCGGAAATTACACAAAAATCAGTTTGAAATACATGAATCACTCGAGAGTTGGTAACACAGGTATATTTTATTATATGATAGAAAACAAAGAATTTAATTATTTGAGTTTACAAGACGATTTAGAATCATTTTATATTATGTCGCCTTTCATGCTGCAAGTGAGAAGTTCCAAGTATGTTTCTATTAGCTTTCGAATCGTTGCAGGCTCTATGATCCGACCTTCGACATATTTCCAAAAAGGAATTTCCAGCGGCGGTGTTTCGGTTTACAATGACATGAAGCTTACAAAGAAGAACGAAAATCCGAAGTTCCTCAAAATTACAAAAGTTTCGAAGGTAAATAACCTTTGGGTTCAATTAGAATTGATTTTTACAGTTGTTGGATCCTTAATACTACTTTTTACATTGAATATAATCATTATTCTTGCGGTAATTCATCACAAGAGGAAACAAGAGTTTGTTCCTGAAGATGACCTTGGTTTGACTATATAATGCGTAATACTTACCTCATCGAATTCTAAACTGTTAAATATGAATTTCATATTGATTACTTTTTGTCAGTCATAAAAATCATGAAATGGATGTACCTTTACTTAGTTTTGATGTTTTAATGTTTATTTTTATGTTTTATCCAACATTTATCGAAATTGTAATGATCTTTTATGGCAACTGTAAGATTTGTGAATAAAATACCATATAAAAATGCTATTTATTTTATTTTAAGTAGGATGATCTACTTTAGAAGATGTTCTTATATATGATATTTGTAAATTCAAGTTATTGTATAGTTTTATAATGTAAAGATGATTTATGCAAATAGCAAAAATATTTATTCAAACAATTTATAAACAAACATCAAACAAATATGTAAAAATATCTTATAAAATGTTAATATTTGGATAATTTTGTTTCATTATCTCTTTTGCTTTCTCTATACCATATTTCTCTATACAAAACTTCGCGTGAGTAACGTAAATCTGCAAATTTTCTTTGTCCTTCAAAATCAATAATCTTTTTTCAAATTCAGCTTCATCTTTGAGGGATCTCGCGAATTCATGTAATAATAAACCTAATTCTATACTTGGACATCTTGTAAACAAGTCAAAAGTCTTTTGGTAAACCAATTTTTCTCTTTTTTCGAAGATATCCTGAATTTCCAAAACCAAACTTTGAGAAAAGAAAGACAAATTAAATATCTCTTCAACCAAACTCGGATATATATCAACCAAATGGTGTAGCAAAGATATACTCGAATCGAAAACAGGTGATTTCGGGAATATCATGAAAACAGAAGTGAATTCCATCAACAAAGGATGGAAATTTCCAAATTTTTCTTTGTTCATCAACAATTTCAAGATAAAAGGTATCAAGCATTCAACAGTTTTGTTGTTCCTTGCAACCTCGTATATCAAAGGAATCAAATTATCAACAAAATTCACAATAAATGTCACAACATTTATAGAAGAATCAATTTGTATAAATTGAGTGGCTCCAACTAAAGAAGAAGACACAAAAGAAGGAATTCCTGACTTCAAATTCTGTATAAAATCAGTGACATTCATTGAAGGAATGGCAATCTTGTTGTTTGTAACAAAATAAGAGGCAGAATTAAAATATAAAAAGTGACACTTAATTTTGAGGAAGAAATTATTCAAAAACTCAAAAATAATTTTTTGTTCGTTTGAAATTTGGACTAACAAATAAAGTAGATGTCTAAATTCGTAGTACACTGATGCAGAATCAATATTAATTATGTCTTCAAGTTGTCCAATAACTAGAGCAACAATAGAATTGTATTCCATTGTCATTTTTCTTTGCCTCAAATTAACAATCGCTGCTAAAATAAATCTCAATAAAACACAACAGTGTTTCGATGTAGGCAAACTAATAAACAATGCCAAGTTCTGTGAAATAAAATCATTAATGATAATTCCACTAAAAGTGACAAAAGAAGACGATAACAATTGAGAGAAAACCTTAAATGACTTAGTTTTAAATTCTTCAACATCTTGTAAGACTGTGTTGAAATAATCTGGATCAACTATAGCTAATGCTTCTATTAAGTCATAATCTGATATTCGTAATAAATCATATGGACTGTCACTTTTTGAAATTTCCAAAATTTTGGTTTTGATTTTTTCTGGAAATTCAGAAATTTTCAAATTCAATAGTTTTATCGTCATTGGCAAAACGGTTATTTCCATAAACATATCATTTTGTAGTATAAGATCTCTGTCAATAGAAATGCTGTTCTTGAGACAGTATTTCAAGCAAATTTTCAATGATTTCGTGTCATTTTCTGACAAAATGAAATTCAAAATTTCTTTCATGAAATCATTTGACAAAACAAATTGGGTATTCTCCAAAAATGAACAGATCAGTGGTATGTTCTTTATTAATTTGTTTTCTTTCATCTCTTTAGAAATAGAAATTTTGTCAATTTTGTCAATTTTTTCTAAAGAAAACGTCACTTTTTCTGTTTTATATGGTGTGTTTTTGATTTTATAGAAAATTAGAGGATTTTCTTCAATTAACTTCTCTAGTCCATCGAAAATGATGATATCCTTATGCAGCATTGCGAATTCCAAGTGATCTCTGTCTAGATCTTGTATTTTCTTGACTTCTTTCTGTATTTTGTTTGATTTCATAAAATCTATCAATTCAAAGTTCATTTTTTCATCTGTACAGCTCCATTTCGAAAACTCTGTGTCTTGTATATACTTAATCACTCTGTTTTTAGCATCAGAAACTCCATTATTCGCCAACATCAGCAATGACAATGAAAACTCATCGATTACAAACTTTACGACTGATTTTCCAAGTACTGCACATAATCTGAACATCAGAGGTGGTCCTGTTATTGGATCTATGATGATTTGGAGTGTCGGTAATGTAGATAACGCTTTTTCATGGTCATTTCTGTCAATTAACACGAAACAATAGAACAACAAGTCAGGATCAGTACATCTCTGCTCAATTAAGTACTTTTCGATGACAATTTGTACTTCATTTGGAATTTTGCATTTTGTTTCAGCGAAAAGTTTGCAACAGGTTGCTGCGACTTTGTTATCTGATGTATATAAGAACGTGTTGATGACCGATGACCAAAGTTCAGTATCTGTTGTAATTAAAGTCACATTTGTTGAAATTGCCTTTTCTAGAGCGTCATTATCGAAAATAGGGATCATTGCCATGCATATCCAGAACAATGTGTATGTATCTTCTAAAATTTCTGGAGGAATTTTACAAATAAATTCAAAACAGCTTTTTGTTGGTCCAAGAACAATTTTATGGTGTATCTCTGGATGGTTGACAATATCTGTATCATAAGACTCCAACAATGTCGATGGCGGACACGTGATATTTCTGTTTGTATTTCTAATGTAGAGAGGAATCTGAGTAAAGTTGCCGTAAGAGTTTATCAGGAATTCAAAACAGTATTCCCTTATCTCAGGAGTGATGTAGTCTATCTTAATATACTTCAAAAAGTGGAAAGTCATGGAAATAGAAGCCATTGACTCGCAATACAAGATACATTCATAAGCTATTGGAATAAATGTCTTAAATTCTTCAACATCGAATGATGAAGCGAGAATTGATAATAATTGGAATCTTCTAGCGACAACGAAGTCATCTGACCAGTTAGAAAGTGATATTTTGTACAGCAATGACCCAATTGTCTTATAAGAAGTGATCGTATTCAATGAGTTCATGGCAGCTTCTGATAATTTCGTGTTTGGAGACAAAGAAAAAGAAAGTAATCGATCAACTTCTATTCCGAGTAAAGCAGGAATCATCGATTCAGCAATTCTGTGGTCGATTACCGATATCAAGTTTGAGACCTCCATGTCCTGTACCCAGTTCTTGTTGTTTTTCTTCAGAATGTTCAATAGAACTCGTATGTGTTTGTCACCTTTGTAATATCTAAGGAATGAATTGACACAACTCGCGAATCCTTCGACATATGAACAGTAAACATCATTTTCTGAGTTCTCAAACTGGATGAAGAGGTCAGTGGCTTTATCGTAATCAACTGTATCTTGGTTTGCGCTGATGAATTTACCTAAAGCAAGAAGTTGTGCCGATTTTAATGAATCACTTTCTGTTTTGTCTTTGAAAATGTCATCAAGAGATAGAGATAACTGTAGTAAGAGTCTGTTGAAGTGTAACGGAAGAGTTCTAGAACTTACTTCTTTGATTCTGTCGCATATTAAATTGTAATAATCTGTATTCTTGTATTTTTTGAGTAAAATGCTGTAGACTGAACACGCGTATTCAAATTCAAGGAATTTTGGGGGATCTTTTGTAAAATCAGCGAATGCTTGGTCAGCAAAAATTCTTTGACCGTCAACTCCAAATAATTCGAATATTTCGTAGTCTCCGAGTAATACAGGGCCAAGAGCTGATACTGCTTGTATTATCATGTTCTCTGCAAAAAGACTCTTTAGCGTTTGAACCATTTTTTGTTTGTTTAAAAGTACGAGTTGATACACGGAATTGGTGTAAGAAGATGTAATGTTGCCACTACAGCCGAAGTATATTGATCTAAGTAATGCTTGTGGATAAGATATTGGCAATGAAGTCATTAAAGGAATAATATTTGGCAAATATTGGATATATTCAGATGGATCTGACTTGAAATGATCCATCGCTGGTACTTTTATAATGAAATCTTGCATATGAACTGGAGATACGAATTTTGATAAGAAAACAAAAGTGCTAATGATGGCTATTGATGATTTTGGTAATATCTTGCGATTGGATATTGCATTTCCGAATGAAGTTATCATCTCTTTCGGATAAAATATTGTAGTTGTGATCAAAAGTGCACCAAGAACTGAATAACTTGTAACTCTGACATTTGCATTATCATGTTCTGTAAAATTTAAGATTGTTGTTAAGACTGATTGAAGAGAGTCATTTGGATCATTTTGGATAATATTTCTAATCCATTGATAACTCACGATTCTTCTGAATTTACCTAATGCTGTTGTTATCTCAAGTGCATCTTCACTCTTCGATGTATCAAAGTCATGCAAAACTTTAAAGATTGGACAATTTTGCACAACAAAAGACATCGTATTGAAAAAATTCTTTTTTGTGGATTTCATAAAAGATAAAAAAAATTCATGGGAGTTTTGGTCTCAAGGTTCTGAGTTTTAGAGCTAAATACAATGGCATTGAAATGCTAATTAGGAAGAACGATCGTTCATCGTAGCATTTATATGTGGTATTCTCTGATGGAACATTCAGAAAGTTATTCATCAATAGTTATATTAGAATCTGCGAGTATTGGTGAATTCTCATATAGTTGATTCTATTCACAGCATATAGTTCAATTAGACTAACTTTTTAATAGTCCCAAAATATATTTAGTTGAACTAAGACTATATTACCTGTATTTATAAAAGGAATCAATAGAGTAATTACGGCATGTGACAAGTCCATAGTTAAATTAATTCTTCTAGAAATTTGAGAATACATTATATGTTTCTATTGTATTTATTTCATTCATATGTGCATAATTTTAATTGCATAAAGATACAAATTAAAAATAAGAGTATGAATAGAATATTTATACATAGAAAAGAAAAAAATATATGATAACTATATATTTTTGATGTTCTTTGTATAATGGAATGCATTACATGAATTTTTGATCATTTGGAGCTTTAATATATAGCATAATTACATTAGCTTCACGCAAATAAAATGAATGATATTGCTGTCTTGTATAATATGTTTAAGGGTGCACACGAGAGGATCATGTAAACTTCAGAATTTAGAACCTTATTTTTAGGCATTATCTTGGCTACCTATTTAGGCTCGAAAAGCAAAAAATATCAAAAAATACAACTTGAGTCCATTATGACCCTTTCATGGAGGTAGTTTTTATCCGCTAGTATTTTCCCTTTGAATCTCTTTACAATTCGAAATCAAATTCAAAACTCAGTAGAAGAAAGGAAGAATCGACTTACTACGGTTGTAATACGAATAAATACATATATTTAATTATTTTTATTTACATAATAATTGTTTGAAGCTCATATTCCAACAAATTTTTAAATAAAAACATTAAAATGTTGAAAATGTTCATATATTTTAATAGGGTTTTGGCACTTTATTGAGGAATTACTACATACATAGTCGAACTGAACTTGATATTTTGAAATTTAAATTATTTATCAAAATTAAAATTTAACTGGAAATTTATAATTATTTAGTCATATTTTGCATAATTCTAAGTAGATTTTGTAAAAAATCAAGAAAGAAAAATTTTAACGTGCTTTATTTTTTCTTTTTTATAATAATACATATTATTATATAATTAACATATTCATAATGTTTCGCCCTTTCAAAAATATAATCCTCCTCCTCTCAAATAAACGTACATACGAGTGGCCTCTTTTTTCAAAAAATTAAAATTTGAAATTTTGGGCTCAAATATTAGAGATTTTTTCAACCTTCAACGATATATGTTGTCTATATCAGACCTCCTTTCTTTTTGATACTTAACATTGTTCCTAAATCTTAGCCGTTAAGGCTGTTCTGAAAATATTTTTTTTTCGAAAAAATTCAAAAAAAAAATTCTTAAAATTCAAAAATCCCTTAATTCCTGAGGATTTTGGAAAAAAGTTTTTACATGAACATGTGTATATTATATGAAGTAGATTGATAAGGTAAAAATCAAATTTTATTGCATATTCATCGAGAAAATAAACTAACGAATCCCTCAAAATTGAGAGGGTAATCCTCCTCCTCTCAAATAAACGTACATAGGGGTGCACACTTAATTATAGGGTTGTTAGATTCCCGACGATAGGTGTCTTGTAAGATTTGCCTGGTGTCATCATAGTGTCTTTAAATCAAAAATTTGATTTTGGAGTTAGTTTTATTGATTTTTCAATAAAAAACATTTCTAAAACAAGAAAATAAAATGATAAAATATTTATATTTTATATAAGGATCTTATATATATTAAAATAAATATCATTTTATTTTTTTCATTGGTGTCTGTCAAACCATAATACACTATTCAAAAATTCAATGTGTCTTGCGGTTTGAAAAGACACCTTCAAATTGAACGATAGCATAGACACTATTGAATTTTACCCATTTTATTTAGTTTTTACCCTTTTTGTTTTTAAGAATTAATGACTGAAACAGCCGTTTTGCTATGACCTCAATCACTTTTATTTATTATTTTAAATATTATTTAATTTTATTATTTGAATAGGCCAACTTATATTTGAGAAGCTCAATTTGAGACCACTTAATACATTGAAATATCATAAATATTGAAATATTAAAAAGTGTATTTCAAAATATTGAAATTATAAAAATTTATAATACTGAAATTGAGACAAATTAATAAATTCAATGTTTTTTTTGAAATAACCCTCAAATATTATTTTTTCGTTTATTTAATGATGAATAAATATGATTGATTTAGTCAATCATAAAAACTAATTTAAGTTTAAAATAATGAAAGGATAATTTGATCTTTTTTTAAAATACAATTATTTTTGATGATTTGCAAGAATCTTTGAAAAGAATATAATATAGGTTCTATTTTTGTATAATTTATCCAAATCATGTATTACATAAATTACGATTAAAACGATGAAAGAACCAAAAAGTGTGTTTTGTGTTTTGTTGTTGCGTGTTGGATGCGGGATCCTGTTATTTCCGAAATCGACAAAAAATTTGGAAATTTAATTTCCGAAATCGAAATTATATTAATGTTTTTAATATTCTTATATCAAAAGGATTAAAGTTCATTAAGAGAAAAACAATTCTTCTTCTTCAATCTATTGGCGCATTTATTTCTACACGCCAATAAGGAAGGGAAAATTATAAGACACCATGGTGTCTTCAAAACGCTAATTTTTGATATTTTTAACAACCCTACTTAATTAACTCGGGTTGTGAAATGAATTCAAATAAAAAATGAAAATGATAGAATATCACTATTATATATAAATTTATAAATTATGCAATTGAATGTTATTACAAATTGAAAATTCTTTGAAATTACAAAATAGCTTTATTAGAAATTTGATGTTAAATTATTTAGTATTAATGAATTTTTTGTTCAACGATCATTATTCCAACAATTTATTCATATTTCATACAAATTTGTTTCGAAAACTGCCAAATTTTCTTCAAAAACACGTTATTAATTTTTCTCATTAATCATTCATTAGAATATATGTAATATCTATATTCATTCCTGAAAATACGGTTCCATTCAACAAATTGAAATTACAAATGTTTGGCTTTTTGAATTTTTTAAAATATCTCTTTTTAAGATGTATAATGCTATTTCTCAATTTAAGCTTTTTTCAATCTTAATTAAAAAATTTCTTCCTTTCAAAAAGTTAATACTCCTTTCTTAATTCGTATACTATGATCAATCATATTTATTCAAAGATTGACTTTGGTCTCATAAAAAAAAACTTATTTTTTCATAATGTCTGAAGTTGCTGCTGCCCCAAGGAAAATAGAAGGCCGTGGAAGAGGCAACAGGAGCAAGAAGTACTTTGATTCAATTGATTGGACCATGAATCAACAGGGCTCCGAAGGCCAGAAGCCTCATGCTTATGAAAATGTCAACCGCGAACCAGTTAATACTGATGCTCCTTCCGTATTGGCAAATTAATTTTCACTTTCTTTATAACTGTTCCTATTTTCTTTTATAAACCTTCACTTTACAACTTATTTCGTATGTTTATCGTATTTTTTTCCTTAATCTGTCTCTATATGGAATTTCTCTTTTGATATTCTAGCTTGAGTAGATTCATTTTTTAACATTAAAATTGAGGTTGGCTAAATTAATATTTTCTATGGAATTTCAACTTTCTCCAGAACAAGCTAATACAAATGCTTTTTCAATTTACATTTGATTGCTTTTAAAATGAGAGAGTTCTTCAGAGGCAATCAGTGATAATTCATGAAATGTAATAGAGTTTCGATCATTAAATGAAGAAATCAAATGAAATTTTACCATTCATACTTACGTTCAAAGGTTAGTCGATTGCCATACAATTTAACTTATTTGCTCTGATGACAATCAATTCCAATTTTTTTCTCCTATTGATATAATATCTTATCACTTATCAGAATTGTATTTTTACTAATATATGACTATATTACCGAAAAGTTTATTTGAGATCAGTTCGCGACCAATCGGTGCGGCATAAAATCTAATGCTTTCTAGATATTTGCTATTACAATAACATGAATATACCAATTATCCTAATGGCCACTTTTTTATTAATGCTATTGGATTGGTGATAATACGATTTTGAATTGAGAACTTCATTGAGTAAACATTTGAATTAATATGACGAAAATCATTAATTTGAAGAATAATAAAGTCTATATCTCTCAAAATAAAAAAATATCATTAGCCTCATCCATACATACCTATCATGCTATATATTGAGAATCATGTTTATCAATAAACTAATAATTTCATACACTACTCATGCTATTTAGCTTAATCAGATATTTTAATCTTTTATTTGAAGTTATATTTTGTCAATTCTCTGATGATTCAAATCTATGAACATTTTTATTAACATGTGAAAAAGATCCGAAAGGATACAAGGGAAATATTTACCATTGGCAAACTTTTTTTGACTAATTTACCATTCAATTGAATTTTTTTGATCAATATGAAAAATCATTTAAATTAGGGAGTATTCATTATACACCTAAAATTTTTAGAAAATTTTTGGATGGTTATTTTTTTTATTAATTTTGACTAATTATGATACGTGAATATGATGATTATGGTCCAATTCCAGAAACAAAATCTCTTGTTGATACATTTGTTACAATTGACTTACACAGGAAGCACCAAGTTTTAGAAAATCAAAAACATTCAATATTAATTGAAAATCATCGAAATTCAGCTGGATTTGATAGTGTTCTTAAGAGGTGCAAAGACCTTGGAGAAAAATACCAAATTCATCCAGACTTAGTTCTCATACTTCTCGATCAATGTAAATGGGATGATAACATTTTTGAGGAATTATGGGTTCAAAATGCTCAAACACTACTTGCAAAGATAGGTATACCTTACAGTCAAAAGAATTTAGACCCTGGCCTCAGAAATGTCGCTGAAGATGGAATATGTGAAAATTGCTGTGAAGAAAAGCATAAAGAAGACCTATGGTGTCTTCCATGTGGCCATTACCTATGCACTGATTGCTGGAAAGCCGTCATAAATTATTCAGCAGAACAAGGTATTTGCTTTATCAAATGCCAATCATACAAATGCAACTGTATCTTGCCGATAACATCTATTGAGAAGTTCAGCTCCAAGAAAGTATACGACAATCTTGTAAATTACTTAACTGATTTACAAATTTCTATTTCATCGGATCTTCGTCAATGCCCTAATCCAAGATGCGCCAAACCATTGAGCGTAGTTGGCTGCGGTGCCAGATACTGCAATATCATGAAATGCTCTTATTGTAACACTGAATTTTGCATTAAGTGCTTCGGTCTATGCCACGCGCCAGCCACATGTTCACAAGTTGAGCTCTGGGACCTTGTAACAAACGAAGATCTCATGGAACGTCGTCTTCTCAATTCTGAAAGAAAAAGATGTCCAAGATGCCACTACATCATTGAAAAGAACGATGGCTGCAACCACATGACATGCCTCAAGTGCAGGTATGAGTTTTGCTGGATTTGCTTGAGAAATTGGGAAAATCATCAGAAAAATTATTATCAATGCAACGAAGAACCAACAGCTGAAGCACAACAGTATCTTACACCTGCCGATGATATTAATCCCAAGTTTTTGGAAGAATACAACGACGTATTCTTGAAATCTCGTCTACAAGCCGATTCTTACTCCAAACGACAGGATGAGCTCATAGAGATGATCAAGGATAGAATTGCAAGAGAATCAGGAACAGATCCTGAACAAATAACCCAAACACTCAGAAATATTATTGATCAGCTCATTTGGGCTTACAGAAACGTTCAGTGGTCAGCGGTTGTTTTGTTCTTTGATCGTTTCGACCAATTAAAGAAATTAAATGTTGCTTTGGCCGATCAAGTCAATAATCCCAAGAAATATTCAATCCACTACAACCTTATCCACTACGCCCAACTTAACTTGATGAATGATATCAGCCAAGTTGATAAAATCGTTGAAAACGCCAAATCTTCAACAATTCCCAACTTAAAGTTGAGAGATTTCTCGAAATTGTATATCAGACTGAAACTATCAAGAGATGTTCTGCTCAAACAATGCGATCCATTATATCAAAGCTTCAAATAATTTTTAAATTTTTTTTGTCTTTTCGTTTTTTTTGTATTATAATTAAACAGTTTAAATTTTATATGCCTTAAATATCTTTTCTTTTAAGTTACTTTTATTCATTATTATTTCCCAAATTTTATTGATGATAAAATCAAAAAAGAGCATTACAAATAACACATATTTAAAGCAACATTAATATTTCTTCACTCCATTCAACATAATGTTCGTAATCTTTTACAGGGAATTTCCCATTTCTGGGAAATATGGGATTTTTTGAATTTGGTTTGAAAATTTACACTTATGTAAGATTAAGGATCTCTTCCAAGCAGTGGCTTATTATACGCGGTCAAATCAAAATTTTATAAGATTTTATGAGCGCAGACCCTGCTGCTTCCACATCTTTTGATTGCTTGCATCCAGTTTCCATTGAGGAACGTGGACGTGTCAAGGCTGACGATGAAGCAACTTTTAAAGTCACTCTCCAAGATTGTTTAGCATGCTCAGGCTGCGCAATCACAAAAGATGAGATTACAATCATATCAGAACAGAATACATCAAGGATTTTCGAGAAATTAGACGAAGTTAAGGACTACATCGTTTTAGTTGCAACTCATGTTGTTGCAAACTTAGCTGCTGTAAGAAATTGGTCAGCTGCCAAAGCATTTTCAACAATAAAACAACTATTCCTTAGCAAAGGCGCCCAAAAAGTCGTCCTTGATACAGATATTCAACTAGTTTTTCGCAGATTAGTTGTTAAAGAGTTTATTGAGAACCAAACACTCTCACCATTCATGATTTCAAGATGCGCAGGTTCTGTCGTCTATTATGAAAGAAAAACATCATACGCTGATCATTTAGCTCAAATCAAGCCATATCCGCAACTCTACGCCATGTACGAGAAGAAGATATTGCAATCAACAAACTACGTCTTATATATCGGTCCCTGCTACGATAGAAAGCTCGAGGCAGCGAGATTTGAAGAAGATGTTGATGCAGTGTTAACAATTGCCGAAATCAACGATCATATTACAGAGCCAACTGAAGAAATACCAGTAAAGTTCCCTGCTGATACTGATCTTAACGCAATTTCGCAAAAACTTGGCCAAATCAAAGATTCATTGAATTCCGATTCAATTTACCAGTTGATTGCTGAGATCGAGCCAACACTTAACGAGGAAGAGATTAACAGCTTAATTTCCGAATTACCTTCAAGATTTGATCTCGAAATTTCAACAAACTCGTTTGATGGCGAAACTCTTAACAAGAGACTTACAAAGACCTTGGATATGATGAGCAGCGGCAAGAAAGTTCCAAAACCAGCTCCAAGACTCGCACAAATTGATTTTTGCAAAGGAGGCTGTTTAGTTGGCGGAGGACAAATCAGAGGCAACTCTCCGGCACAAAGAAGAGCTCTTATTGCTGCTACACAAGAAGTTCACACTCAAAATGAGTCAACAAACATTTCTTTCCCTACTGAATTATATAACGAGCTTATTAAGTTCGGATATAAGACACACTACGAATCCCTTCCTCAGGAAGAAGAAAAAGATCAATTCGCTTGGTAAAAATAAAAATATAATTATTGTTAGAAAATAATCACATATTTCAACAATGAAAGAATATCGATATTTTTGTGACACATCCTTCAATGAATTAAGATATTGGATAATTTTTCATTTATCTTTTAATTTGTGTTTAATTTGCTTAATGTTTCATTTATCAAACGAGCGAGACTTTTTATTATGTCTGATTACTGGTGATAATTATCAATAATATTTTTTAGAATATTTTTTAATCTGAACAGAAACAAAGAAAGTGAGAATTGTTTTTCGGAACACAAAAGATTACAAAGACAAACTTTAAGCATAATTGATTTTTTTTTAATTTTTTTAAATGATTTGAGATTGCGTCGAATTCTATTTCTGATTTTATGTAATAATAAGGTACTGTGATATATTTAAATTATTATTTTTTTATTGAAAATTTCGGAGAATTAGCCTTTGAGAACACTTTTAAATATTTCTTTATATACACCAATCATCTGTAATTGATTCAAGTGAAGGATCGCCAAAATCAATGAAGAAATTCAAATGATATTTTTCAGGAACAATTCGTTAAAATATTTATGCATTTATCATTCACGCATGTCGATCATCAATGAAATTCTTTGCATAACTATCATCAATTTAAAATTGAGAATTTGAGAGTGCATTTAAAATAAATGCATTGATTATGATAGGTAATTTCGTAATTACTAACTTCTTGCATAAAAACCGTTGCATAAAACCATAAACATCAGAAATCGAAAAGCTAATTCAATTCATAACGGCGCTTATAAATTCAAATTCCTTAACGGTCATATATATACCTTCATGTACTTACTTCAAAAGACCATATTTTTCCATATTAATTTTTAATGTGATGTGTCAAAAAATTGAATTAATTTGTTTTTGATATGTTGCTCTTCACGCTTCCATTTGTTTCTCTTATCATGGGCAAAAATCGTTTCACCATAAGTTCTAGAACTCCATTTACCGCTTCATCAAATGTTTATGTCGATGTTTACAATAAAGCTGATTTTGTAATAACAGGCCAAGATCAATTACCAATGAGAACACCATTTAAATTAGATGCTAATGCTATTTTTGATGCTGACAAGTCAGGAGATGAACAAAAAGTTATAAAATTAATTGTTACCCCAGTATTTGATTCATGCGACAAGTTTAATGTACTTACTGAGAAATATTTCATCTCCGATCATTCAAGAGATTATTATTATTCAAATAATTATTGTTTGGTATTTTTTGGCCCAGAAAATCGAGACGAGGCTGTATATAAAGTAAAGATACATGAAAAATCAGCATTGGTAACATATAAAGGAACTGATTCCAAAGAAAAAATAATTAATTCAACAGATTATTCAATAATAATAATTCATCTGTATCGCACGTGAGGGAGGTACATCAGCAGATGGAGAATATGTTGAAGGATCATCATCATCTTCTTCTTAGAAATAAATTTTTTTTTTTAAATTCATATCTTCCACAATTAGAGTTCGTATTATTCTCTTATACAATGTTTTTTGAAAGAAATGCCAACTGTTTCGTTACTGATGATAATTCGATTTCAAATATCTGAGAAAAATCAGATAACATTCTATAAGTCACCCATATGATGGTATTTGTGATCCAATAACACAATATTAATTCAATGCATAAATTTGTATTGAATAAGATTTCCAAAATAGCCTAAAATTATTTATTGATTTGGCTTCAATATAAGATGACCAAGATATATTATCACTTACTATAAGTAAATCGATTATTTATGCCAATTTGAGTAATATTTGAAATAAAAAATTATCGTAAAAAATATGGAAGCATATGACGCAATAAAAACAGGATTTGGAATCCAAGATGAACTAAACAAAAGCGTGATTTCCATATTTGATCTCATTGCACCACTTTTTCACACAGGAATTCCTGGATGTCCTCAAAATTCTCCAATTTTTATATCTGGCATTCCGTATTCGATGCTTATTGGTACAGTGAATGTTCCAGAGTTAAACCCAACAGACATCACAGTATTCAATAATATTCGAAAAGTCATCCTATGCCTTTCAGAAAGTTTTTCATTAAACCCAACTTCATCTTATAATGATACTGAAAAGCAGATAGCACGATATGTTATTGCCACAATGGCCGCAAACCTTCCTACATTCTCAAAAATCGTTGATAAAGATAGATTAACAGAATATTCTAACTTCTTTACACAAGTTGCAGAATTGATTATAGTTCCAGGTCAAGATGCTGCTGTCAAAGAATGCCATCCTCAAATTCAACAAATTTCAGACTATTTCGAGGCCTGCGCCCAATCATTGTATACTCCACGTCAATTTACTCTTTCTAATGAATTATATTCATCACTCCTTCAACTATCATTACTTACACAAGTGTTCGGCTTATTTGAAACGCTCACAGGTGATCCTACGTTCTTTTCTCCGTTTGATTCAAATATCTTCAACCTTATTGTTGAAATCATCGCTGCTCCAACAGAAGCAACACTTACTACAATCAAAGATACAATTACAAAGCTCAATGATTACAGATTTAAGCTTGGAGCAACTTCATTTGCTTTTATTCGTCAAAATCTCATCAAATCATTGACAGAAGTTTGCCAACAATTATTAGAACAAGTTCATCCAGGCGAACAACAAAAACAAACACCAGCAGAGCCACAAAATCCATACCAATTGCCTCCAGAAACAGATTTCCCTATAAACATATCAACAGACATACTTACGATACTCGCAAGCTTCGCAAATAAATCACAGTCAACAGATTCGATTGTACAAACCGCTAAATCGATTAAATCCATTTCAAAAGATGAATTATTAAATTATTTCTGCGATCTAGCAATTTCTTCACCAAATAATGCTTTCGGAACATTATCCGTTGCAGGATCTCGTCTTCCTTATGGCTTTAATGCAGGTGTTTCGCATTTTTGTACGATCGCTTTATCATATCTTCAAATTGCATTTGCAGCGTTAGAAATACAGACGGATTCACCAACACAGTCATTATCAACCCTTATTTCTTACAGTTCTAGCCAGGAAAACTATAATGAGAGCGTATTAGAAATTTTGAGTGCGTATGTTGTTACTTTGGCAGCGGCTATTCGCTGTTTCGCTGCCACTTTGTATTCTGCTGCATCGGCTTTGCTTCTTGAGAATCAGCAAACTTTGGCAGATTTCAAAATTTTACTTGAAACCGATCAGTTTTCTCTTAACTTCGAGCAATTCACGAACCTCGTACCATTAGCAAAGAGGTCCTCGGAGCTAATTATAGGCCTCGGCGTTCCTGAATTTAATGAAAGCGGAAATCAGCTGAAAACAATGGTTTCTGACTTCACAGAGTTTTTCAAAGGATTAAGACCAATACCTCCAACACTTAAACAGCACTACAATGCCCTTGCAATCAAGCTGAGAGAAATTATTAATCAAAATGACATAAACAAGGCAAGAATCATAGCTTTCGCACTTATAATCGAGATAACCTCTTACACACGTGTAGAAAACAAGTACATTCTTGACGAATTAACCAAGTTTGCCGCATCAGGAGATTCTAAATCAGTTTACAAAGCTCTTGAATCACTTTTGATACCAGTAAAGCAAAAAGAAGTACAACCACCAAAGCCTATTGCCATTCCAAAGCAAATTACTGTTCCACAAGCCCAAATTTCGAGTCAGACCACTCATCAACCTCCTCCATCTCCGAAAGCTCCAGAACCTCCTAAAGTTGTACCTCAGGAGATCCCACAGGCTCCTCCGCCACCTCCAAAAGAAGCAGAACCCGCTCCACAACAAATTCAAACTGGAAAAATCACTTTACGTGTTTTACGAATCGTAGAAAGTGCCAGAACCGCTCTTAACAGTCTAATCAAGGCCAATAACGAGCACAGCAGCGAGAAATACAATCAATACAAATCTTCATCCCAACAATTGATCAATACGTTGCTAGAAGGGTCCGATCAATGGGATAAAGCTGTTTCTTCATCAGTTCAGGACATAATAAACCTTTCCGATAAAGATTACGCCAAATCCGCAAAATTTGATAACGAAATCGCTATGTTGACTAAAGTTCTATCCGAAATCATCGAGCATTTCTTATCATCATTCGGTTTGGCCAACTCCGCCCAAGCAGAAATGATTCTAATGAACGCAAAAGTTGATGCATTACAAAGTGAAGTGAACCAAATGAGACAAGAAGAAGGGAACTCGTCAGAACCATTGAGAAAGCTTATTATTGATGAAGGCCTTTCTCTGTTGAAGCTTACGAGAGTTCTTGGCCGCTGTGCGAGACAACAAGCAGATTATTTAATTATGTCTCCTAAAACTATCACCAATGAGCAGAGATTAATTAATTCTGCACAGCAAACAGCGGATGCAGCGCAAATGTTCTTCCTTTTGATCAAATCTACAAAACCCGGAGATGATGATCTGAAATACAGAGTCGTTGGTGCTGCTAAAGGCATGAATGCTGCTTTGACATCACTGCTGGTCAATTTCAGACAGATCAGCGGCGGAAATCCCGAAATCCAACAAAAAATGGAAATAACTGTCAAAGAAATCGCAAAAACTATGCAGAAAATCATCGAAAATGCAGAAAGTACATATGGCGCTGACATAAATCAGGACATTCAGGCTAATAAATCAACAATGACAGCTCATCAGCTCAAAGTCGCAAGAATGAACGCCAGTAATGAGGTTTTGAAGAAGAGAAGAGAGCTGGAAGAAGCTGAAGAGGCTCTGAAGAGGTTCAACAGAAGTGCTGCTAACAAATCTAGATCAAATAACTAATTTCAGTTAATATTTTGTTTATTTTTATATTTTAAGCATGACTACAATAATTGAAAATGTTAAACATTATTATATATCTATATTTAAATTTTTTTGAAAAATATTTTGAATTCTATTAACAATCTAATAATTCATTACCAAACCCTTAACCTTGAAGAGACCTGATAGAAACTCTGCTTGCTTGGCAATTTAAATTGAATTAATTTTTGGAGATAAATTTGATTTATTATTTTTAATGATAGTTTTTATTCAATCGTAATTTTCTTTAATATCATAAAATATTTTTATTTCCTTGAAGGAACAATATGAATTTTGATTTCATCTTGATTCAATGTCGGCTGATAAGATTGAAATTAAGATATCTTAATAAAGCATGGAATCGGAAGCATATGAATACAGTTATTGAGTGTGTTTTATCACGGTAAAAATAGGTTTGGCGTCACGACGTAAAGTTCAGAAAATTCAGAAGTTTACATTTATTTTTGAGAAGTTTACAGTGTCACGAGAGAAAATTTGAGAGGACTGGTATCACGAAAAGTGTCAAAATAGGGAATTTTCATATGCACATCCAAATATTTCATATAGCTCAACAAATGTGTAATGCTCATTCATTCGAAGACTCTTGAGGTGATAATATGTCAGAGAACTTGGAACTTCAAATAGCAACAATTGGCTTCTTTTCGTCGAATTCCTTGCATCTGAGACACATTGTCTGCGCAAGCACCTCTGAATGAAGGAAGCTTCGCAATCAAAATTTGATTGCACAACTTTGACTGGCAAGATGCTGTAAAGCGTTCTTGTGAGTCATATTCCTTGCATCTGAGACACATTGTCTGCCCAACCACATCTTATTTATAGATACTCCATTAATTCAAATACAATTCTTTCAAACATTTATCTTGTTATCATATTCATACACATGTTTCCTGTTATATTCTATCTTTATTGACACTTTTCGTGACGCCAGCCCTCTGAAAATTTTTCTCGTGACACTGTAAACTTCTCAAAAATAAACGGTCTCCATTCAAAATTGAATAGTTTACGTCTCGTGACGCCAACTATTACCCCCACCTTTTATCACAACATTTTAAAATTTGATTTAACATAGTGGGGAATAAACCAAGACTGGGAACATTGCTTGTGGTTTCCTCAATAACAAGAATCAATGGATCTTCTGATCATTCAAAATTTTTGACATAGAATTTGACAACGGTATTCTTCACAATTTGGATCCTCCAGCCATTTTTTACTTCCGGATCCGAAATCAAACATTCAGATAAATTCTGTTTCACACAAAAAATTCAAAAATCGAATGTTTTCATTGATAATTAGTCATTGTTCGGCCAAAAGGCATATTAAAACAAGCATATTCAGTGAATGCAACAATGATGTCAAATCAAAATTCACGGTTACAATTGAAGTAAATAAATCTTCAACTGAAAGAGAGTGCTTGTTTGAACTTGAGAAGACATACGTCTTTCCAAATGATGTCGTCGCAGCAAGTAAAGAAGAAGTCGAAGAAAACAGCAAGAAATATAACTTTGAAATCGCTCCTCCTTCTCCAACACCACAACAAACACCACAACAAACACCACAACAAACACCACAACAAACACCACAAGAAACACCGAAACAAACACAGAAACCTCCTAAACTGAGCAAATTTACTCTCATAATCATCATTTCGATCTCTTGTGCGTTAGTTCTTCTTATCGTCATCTTTGTTATTTACGTCATCATCCAACGACGCAAAGATGTCACGAAATCAGATGCAGCGATTGGACAACAATTAGTATAAGTTAAATATAATTATATTTTTAATCTTTATTTTTTTGTGATCATCCAACGACAAAATCAGATGCAGAGATTGGACAATAATTAATATAGTTAAGGATATCAATTCGGAAAATAGTTTTCACTTTAGGAGAATAAAATTTTATTTCCTTAATCTGAGAGAATTAAATATTGAATTCTATTTTATTGTCTCATTTTCGACATTACTTTTTAAATGTGAAATGTCATATTTTAATGTTTAAGTTTCATTTTCAAAATAATTTTTAAAATGGCAATGAATTCTATATTAATACATCAAAACATTTAGATGAAATTCAATAAAATTCATGACTTAAGTAAATATTTCATATATTGTTTAACATAGAGCAAATTTTATGTAATTTGATTCAAAAAAAGATTTAATTTTTGCATAATTTAGATATTCTTTAACTAAATATGTTTTATTCTACAACACACAATTTATTATGCTGCTCTATTGAATGATTCTGCAAATCGAAATTTGCTTAGAAATAGAAAAGAATGTTTATGGTTTTAATATGAGCAGTTACTAATATGACTAACAAATTATATTCTGATGATTCAGATTCAAACTTGATGATGCCACATCGCTGTCATTTTTGACAACGGATCCATAAAGAAAGTGTCAAACGATAAATAGATTTTACGAGTAAGAAACTTTTCTGAAAACAAATCAAAATTCAATGAATTTCGGTTTTTTGAGCATATTGGTGAAAACCAATAAATTCTTAATCAATTCCTGCTTTTGAAACAAACATCTTAACTTCAAATTTCAAATAAAATTCAAAATCAAAATCACTTCAAATGTTTTTATTGTTGGTTGGACATTGCTTCTCTAAAGCAATTCTAAAATCAAACCCATTCAGCGAGTGTACAGATGATAAGATATGGGATCCTATGAATATCGAAGAAGGAGTTGGAATTGATACAAAGATCTTTAGTTTAGGTCCAAATGAATTTGCATGTATGCGAGGTAGCTTTGCCCTTGAATCAAAAGACAAATTTATTGCATACACAGGAAACGAAAGTTCACGATTACAATTTTCAAACCCATTTTATCTTAATCCACAGACACAAGATATGGATATAATCAAACTCACATGCGCCGATAACACAGCATCATGCAAAATCCAAGCCGCAACAGTTTTGGAAACAATTTTCAGAAAAACCGAGCATGAGAACAGTCATATGATTGGATTGTTTACAACAAGATCACATGTTAAGTTTGGTTATGAAGGAGAAATCAAAATAGATGATAATTATAATAATTTACTCACAATTGTTACACTAGGTTCATATAAAAGAACGTTGAAATATAAAGCTGATGATCCAGATTTAACTGGTATGACATTCAACCAAACAGAGTCGCAACCAAATGAAAACTATGGTTATTGCTTAGGATTGCAACCATCACTCGATCCTACAGAAACTCATAAAACTCAAGTTAAAGCGAAATATAATGTCACAATTGATGAAGACAAATCTTCAGATGAAAGAGAGTGCTTGATTGAACTTGAGAAGACATACGTCTTTCCAAATGATGTCGTCGCAGCAAGTAAAGAAGAAGTCGAAGAAAACAGCAAGAAATATAACTTTGAAATCGCTCCTCCTTCTCCAACACCACAACAAACACCACAACAAACACCACAACAAACACCACAACAAACACCACAAGAAACACCGAAACAAACACAGAAACCTCCTAAACTGAGCAAATTTACTCTCATAATCATCATTTCGATCTCTTGTGCACTCGTTCTTCTTATCGTCATCTTTGTTATTTACGTCATCATCCAACGACGCAAAGATGTCACAAAGTCAGATGCATCAATTGCACAACAATTAATATAAGTTAAATATAATTAGTTTTTTAATTTTTTATTTTTACGTATTTAATTTTTGTCCTTAGATTTAATATGACTAATATTTCATAAGTTATCGCTCTTAATACGTTTTTATTTCTTTTCAAGCAAATAATATTTGATATTGATAAATTTCTTTCAATAATGATATTGTTTATTGAGAATAGCATATAATAACAGTTAGATAAGTTCGGATTTACCATATTAATTTCTAAAAAACTTTTTTACAATATTATCAAATTTAGTTTATGCCAATTTTACCGAAATATCCAATACCCAATGAGGGTATAAACAATCAATATATAAAAAACCAACATGCATCATATTTAATTATTTTTTGATGATTTTTTTAATGAACGAGTTGATTCTACATAATGTACTTAGCGATTGATATATTTTAACAAGTAAATTTCGATTTATATATGTAACTTATGGCGAGTGTAATAAATTTATTGCGATTTTGGTTAATAATTGAAACTCATTTTTTTGTTTTAAATATGATAGAAAGATAATATGCAAATTATATTAGCATAAATTTTACTATCAATGCATCATCTGATCCAACTGGATCCATAAACTGAAAGATCACACTTTCATTGAATGATCATTCAATTTGAACTTGTCAGACGATATCATCGATTATTTGAACGTCTATCAAATATATTTGAAATGAATTTTCGGTTTCTGATAACATAATAAATCCACACTTTGATTATATATCATATATTTTGCATGATGATCCGGAACTTTTATCAGCTCTCAAAGTAAATTCTGAATCAAATTCAAAGTAATTCAAATGTTTTCATTGGTATTGGCCCAATGTGCACCAAAAAGAGTACCAAAATCCGGATCTTTTCTTGGATGCACAGATGATAACACATGGGATCCTTCCAATCATGGAGAGGATGTTGTGATTGGCTCAAAAATATTCAGCTTAGGTCCCAAACAATTTGCATGCATGAGAGGCGATTTTGTTCTTGAATCAAAAGATAAGTTTATTGCATATACAGGAAACAAAAGTTCTACCTTGCAATTCTCGAATCCTTTTTATATACACCCTGATTCAGATCAAGATATGGACATTATCAAACTCACATGCGCAGAAAGCACTGCATCATGCAAGATTCAAACTGCAACAGTTTTTGCAACTGATATTGGGGAAGAAACGAAAACTTCAAGCGTTCATATTGTTGGAATATTTTCTACCAGGTCAAATGTTACATATGGATATGAGTGCAGATTTGAAGAAAGTGAAAAAAGAAGTTTACATGATTGCTTACATGTTGTTTCATTTGGCCCAAATATGAGAACAATGAACTTTACTGCAGATAACAATAACGTGATTGGTCATATATATAAGCAATCAAAATCCTCATCTAATCCAAACTCTGATTTTGGATTGGGATTAATTCCATTGTTGGAAGATGATGTAAATCAATCATCGGTCAAATCAAAATTCAATGTAACAGTTGAGACATATCCAAATCCTCCACAAATAGACTTTTTGTTCGAACTTGAGAAAACCTATGTTTTACCAAATAAAGTTGTTTCAGCAACCAAACAAGAAGTTGAAGAGAATAGCAAGAAGTATAACTATGAAATCTTACCTCCTTCTCCGCTTCCAACTCCAACACCAACTGAGAAACCAAGAAAGTTCAGTGAGTTATCCCTTGCCATCATTATTTCTCAAGCAGTTGTCATTGCTATTCTCATTCTCATTGTTATCTTCTTTGTCTTTATTTACTTTCACAAGCCAAAAGAGGTAACCAAATCAGATGCCGCAATAGCACAATTGATTTAGAGATAAAACCAATTAATATACACCATTTATAGCATTTTTTTACTTATTTAAGGTCCTTTTTTCATTTAAGGTACCCTATTCAAAAAATGAAAGGGGCCCCTCACAAAATTGAATGGGTACCATTCAAATTCTATCGAAATAGTACCTTAATTAAAAAAGCTCTCAACCGGTACCATTCAAATTCCCTCAAAAATATTGAAAAGATTTTAGGTATGCTGCTAATATAGTTAGTAGCATCATACAGAATGCATAGACAAATTTTTTACTAATTATTTTTTCTTAGCAATTCAAATTCGAGATCGCTTAACTATGCTTAGAATCATAAGCATAATAATTTTGCAAAAGGTATGGGAATAATTTGAAAATTAATTTCAAAATTATTAATACTAGTGCAAGCTAGTGTAAGCATGTAAATGCATATTTGTGCACTGATTCGATACTCTTTTTTGGAAATTGTACCTTATCTTAAATTTCGAATGCAAATTTTTTGAATATGTGTATTGAAACTGTAACCTTTTGTCTAAGTTGCATTCTAATATAGCTCGAATTCTAAAAATGGGACTTTACTCCTCTTTCTTTGAGAAAATTTTAGACAATAGCCAAATTGCTAATTTTGTTGGAGTAATACCTGCATTGGGAGGTATAATATATTGTTCAGGGTTGAAACAAGGAGGTAGTTAGTGATAAAGCATAGTTACCACATGAAATGCAGTAAAATTTTGAGTCTAAACGTCTTTTAAACCATCAAGTATAAATTATAGAAAAAGATACTTTATATATAGTTAAAATAAAAATGATTAGAAAATAGCGTTTTTGATCAAAATTTCAAATTTTTATTTCCGAATATCTCTATTTGTGTCTAATTAGAGACATTTCTATAATTTTAGTGCGCAGCATATGCAATTCCTCTTTGGTTATTGCATTAATTTCTCAAAAAGAAAAAAGTCTTCAATAATTTTTTCAACAATACAGTACTAAAGCTAAGAACTTCTAAACACATGAAAAGTTATATCATTCTCGTTAATATGTAGATTATCAATGAAAAGAATATTGTGAAATTTGAATATTTTTTAAAATAGAATGTAGAAATACTTATCAATGCTTAAAATAGAGATATGTGAGAGCTAGATCCGTATTTATTTACGTTTTCGTGCATATTTTGAATATCAAATTAAATTAATTTTGAAGATTTTAGCATCTAAAAGTATTTAATGCCCCTATACAAGCAAGGTAATTCTTACATGTCTTAGTAAGTCCAAACTTAATGTTTTATGATATGGGCCTGACCTCTCCATATGGTGACGATAGAAATTGAATAGGGTACCTAAATAAAAAAAAGGAGTTTATCATTTGGACTTTTTCGGGCGGTATTGAATTCTATAATTCCAAATCTTGGATTTCTAAGAATTCTAAAAATCCTTGGTACATGAATTTTCCATGAAATTCTATATTTGTTTTTAATTTGAAATTTATTTGTGAAATAAGTCAATCATACACGTAAGGTTATATGAGAAATTTTATTTACATTTCAATAATATACTTAAATCCAAATTAAAATGAGCGTATTTCGAAGCAAAAAAAGATGTCGATTAGTGAAGATGAGTTCATGAGAGTTCAGCAAGAGTTAATTCGTCTGAAAGAGGAAAAACATAACCTTAATGAACAGTTAAAATCAGTTTCAAACACAAGCCAGACATTTCTTCAGTCTCTTTTCTCAGGAAGTGATGCATCAATGATTGAACGCTTACAAAAAGAAGAAAACGAGCTTAAAGCAACACTTGCCAAGCTTAGAGAGCAAATATCTACATTAAATGAACAATGCCGTGGCGTTGATCAAGCTATTTTAAATGTTGACCAAGTTGCGGCTATTGAAAGCCTTTTCCAGACAAAAAAGCGCGAACTATTACGTATGCGTTCTCTTAATGAAACTGCATTAAAGGATTTAGAAGAAGAAGTCGAATTAGCGAAAAATCTTTGCGATTCACTCGAAAACGGTCGAGCATCATTTGCCCGTGAAAAAGAAAATATATTTAACTCAATAGTATCATTACAGACATCGAAACAAACAATTGATACACGAATTAAAGATCTTCAAGAAATAAACGCCCAATTGAAGCAAGATTTAGGATTAAAATCATCAGTCGACGAAAACTACGCAGAGCTTGCTGCCGAAATCGATCAATGGCAAGAAAAACTACAAAATCTTGAAAAAGAATATAAAGAAATGACATTACATTTCGATGACCGAGAGCAGCGGCTAAGAATTATTGCGGACAGTAAGGCATCGGAATGCGATTCAATCAAGAAAGAACAAGACAAACAGACAGAAGATTGTAAATCCCAACTTAAAACCCTGAAAAAGGAACTTTCTACACTAAAATCACACGGACATGTCGAAGAAACAGTTACACTTGATATTGATCACATAATTGCAGAAAATGACCAATTACAATCAAGATATAACGAACTTTGCAAGAGAGGTGAAGAATTAAGTGCAATTGTGAACAAACACCAGACAGATTGTGCGTTTTTGGCTAATTGGCTTCGTTCTGAAGGAAGATCTCACGTACAACCTGAAGTTTCGTTTAGACAGCTTCAACAGTTGTTGGAAAAACGTGAAGCAGAACTTAGGAATGCTAAGCATTGATATTAATAAAAATTTGTAAGATATTTTATGAGAATTATTTTAGATGTTTTTTAATTTCATGTTTGAAATTGTTTTTTAGGACTACTCATAAGCAAGATTTCTATTTCGAACATCATTGTTGAATTATTTATCTACTTTTAAAAATTAGCACTCAGAAATTGTGAAAATTAAGATGTTCGGTGAAAGATACTCATTCCCACTTGGATACAGGTACATTTATATTCAATTGAATATGGTGTCAGATGAGTTTCTGATTTAATTACCATGAATTCAACAACTTTAGAAGCTGCTGGTTTACATGTATGAAACAACAATCAGAATGACGATATATGGAAAGTTTACAGATTAGGTGTAATACCGCATAATATTACAACAATTGAAGGGGAAAATCATAAGGCAGATGCAAAATCAAATATTACTAAAGTTTCCGACTCAGATGAAGATTACCTGAGTTGTCAAATCAAATATTACTATAAAAAGTTTGTAGATTTTTATTTTTAATTTACATTAGAATAAAAACAGTAAATAAAATAGTTGGAACAGGAACATTGAGTACCTGTTGTGGTCTGCAGCTGAATGCTTGACATTCTACGAGAGATGTCTTGGGAAGACCACTTGATGTGAGGATATCTACGAATCTTTGTGTCTTGTTCTGGAATAGAACACCACATTTCAGACTGATGCAGTTCATGAATGCATTCTCACCAATAGATGAGACACTAGAAGGAATGCTGATCTGTTTAAGACGAACACATGATTCAAATGCACGACGGCCGATGCTACTAACACTACTGTCGACAAAGACAACAATCTCAATGTATGCACTATTAATGAATGCGCTGTCGGCAACACTATTGAGACGACGGTCGAAGCTGATGTAGTTGTCCCTGCACGCAGGAGTGTGCAGGTAAACGCGGCTGAAGTCTTTGCTGTAGATGGTGCTGTTGTGACAAACAAGGTTTTCACTGGAGAAGTTGCTGATGTAAAAGAGAGATGTGCAGCCTTCGAAGATACCAGGGAATACCTTTGAAAGATTGCACGTAGAAAAGATGTCGACGCGCTCAAGCTGCGTGCAACCCTTGAAACACAGTGAATCCAGAGATTCGACACTTTTTGGAAGACTGACGCGCATGATGGATGTTCCGCTGAAGCACTCGCTGCCAATTGAAATGATGTTATTCGGGATGTTGACTTCGTCGAGATTAGAACATCCCTTGAACAGCATAGATGGAAGTGAGTCGAATGATGTCTTGCTGCCTTCGAACGAGATAGTGATAAGTCCGCTGTTGATGAAACATCCTGAGTTAATCGATTTGATAAGATTGATGAGATTGAATGATGCAAGAGATGTACATCCTGAGAAAACATTTTGTCCGATAAAAATATCACACATACATCCATCAAATGATGCAGTTCTCAAAGATGTACATCCGGCAAATGCAGAATCTTGAATTGCTATTTTTTTACAGTCGATGAAAATGTAACACTTGGCAGTGTCCTTACTCCAGAAAAAGCACTAGTACCAAGAAATGTAAAATTTGTTGGGAATATAAATTGTGATGAAAGTCTTGTTTGATAAAATGCAAAATTTCCGATTTCTTTGAGTTTTGGGAAATAAGGAATTGATGTCAAACTAGAACAATACGAAAAAGCACTTTCTTCAATAACTTCTAATTCAGATGTTCCATCGCAAGTAATAGAACTTAGACTCTTTTTTTCAGAAAATGCTGATAATTTAATTCTTTTAACTTGACTCGGAATTTTAATTGATGTTACTGATGAGTCAAGCAATAGAGATATTGATGAATTATCTTTAGCCATTATTAGCATTTGGTTATCAATCATAATTTGAGAATCGCCTTTGAAAGTAAAGTTAATATTTGGATTTGAAGGGAATGCACTTCCACCAACCTCAGTCAGATTACCGGGAAGAAGAATTGTTTTCAGGAAGTTACAACCTTGGAATGCACCAGTATCAATTTTAGTTACTTTTTCTGGAATATCAATTGATGTTAAACCTGAATTATAAAAGCAATGTTCATTAATTATTGTAATATTTGGAGGCAATTTAATCTGTTTAAGATTTGTTGCAGTTGCAAATGCCCATCCTTCGATGCTTGTAACTCCAGAAGGGATGGTTATTGATGCGCATTTTGCATTTTTAAATGCACCATATTTTATGATTTTTACTTTCTGATTAATTTCATATGTGAACGAAGAATTTGGTGCAAAAGAATAAATTGCCTGATAATCTTTAGAATATACAGCAAAATTATCACTGACAAAATATTTATTGTTTTGATGAACTTTTATTATTGAGAAAGTTAAAACATAGTTTGCAAACATGCCAGTAATATATTGAACTGATTCTGGAACTTTAAATTCAACAAAACTTGCAGCTATAAATGCATTTGTCTGAAGTGATCGAAGCTTAGATCCTTCCTTGAAAGTAATTGACGCTAAAGTATTAATATATCCAAATCCATAAGCCTTTATGTCTATTACTGATGATGGAATTTCAATAGATTGTATTTTTATATAAGAAAATCCATACATTTCAATGTTTTGGAGTCCTTCGGGAAGAAAAAGTTCTGTAACTGATATGCAGTAAGAAAATGCATTTTCACAAATAACAAGAAGTTTAGTGCACGATGAAAGATCGATTTGTTGTAATTTTGTACATTTGTAAAAAGAGTACTTGCCAATTGTTGTAAGCTTTGGATTTGGACCGAATCTGAAAGATCTTAATGTTTCTTTTGAATATAAAAAGCAATAATCACTTACACCGCTCCCATAAATTTCGAGGCAATTACTCGAAATAATGAGATCTGGATCAGGCATATTGACACCTTTGAGAAGTGTCCCTGAATTATAATAGAATTCAGGATAGATATTTGTCAGTTACTCTTTTACTATCATATTAAATTTTGTTTTCATAAAAAAATTGTCTCAATTTTTTCATCTGTTTAAGTGGTTGGTGGAAATATTAAATACTGTTCCCATATATAATTAGAATGGTTCTATGTCATATTTGCCAAACCCTTTGAAATTACATGTTATCAATATTTTGTTAGTCTTAATGTTCTTCTATTTGAATTAGCATCCACATTATATGGGGTATAACAGTTATCAACAAATTGTATTGATAGAAGCTAGAGAATAGGAGATCGTGTTTATGAGGAAATCCTATATTGATTTTCTTCCAAAATCAATGAGAATAATAAATGAACAATGTTGGATATGAGTTAAAATTTCCTATTTGTGCTTGATACAAATGATAACGAAAACAAAATTTGGAAAACAAAATTTGGAAATTAGGTTATAAGCACAAATATCTTGATATCAATGACGCAAAATACATATATATATGTAATATCGGTTTCAAATAGCTTTCAGATATGGAGGATTCTTATTTGATCAAATCAAAAGAAAAGTTGAGCGAACAAACTTATCAAAAATATCATTAAAAGGTTGTGTATATTACGAACACATAATTCATTTTAAATCGGATTTAGTTTTTGGATATCTAAAATTATACCCGAAAAAAATTCAATTTTTGTTTCAATTTTTTTGAAAAAACGGAAACAATAAAAAACCATTCCGAACAATAAGACAAAAGGTGACAAATAACGTATCCAAAATAATGCGCAGTAACTACGAAGAAGTTTGTTCGATCGGTGATGGTGGTTTTGGCGTAGTTACAAAGATGCGCAACATTGCAACAGGCCAAATAGTTGCTATGAAGCGTATGAAACAAAAAACACAAAGTTTTGCTGAATGTTTAGAACTTAAAGAAGTAAAATCGTTAAGAAAAATCAAACACGAAAATGTTGTAAAGCTTGTTGAAGTATTCCGTGAAAAGAGTGACGGAACACTTTATCTGGCTTTTGAACATTGCGACGGAAATTTATACAAATTGATTTCTACACGCAAATCACCAATACCAGAACCAGTTATCAGGAACATCTTGTTCCAACTTTTGTCTGGTGTTGATGCAATTCACAAAGCTGGTTTCTTCCACAGAGATCTTAAACCAGAAAACGTTTTATTCGTTGGCGATACACTCAAGATCATCGATTTCGGTCTCGCTCGTGAAATTAGGAGCAAACCGCCATACACAAATTACGTAGGAACAAGATATTATCGCGCTCCAGAAATTTTATTACACCATGACTTTTACAATACGCCAGTTGACATCTGGGCACTCGGATGCATCATGGCTGAACTATATTTGCAGAAACCGTTATTCCCAGGAACATCAGAAACAGACGAGATTTACAAAATCTGTGCCGTGCTTGGCCCGCCAACAGAGCAGAACTTCCCAGAAGGATACAAGCTTGCACAGAAGCTCGGAATCCGCTTCCAAAATACAACAGGAACAGGCTTAAACTCTTTACTTCCAGATATTTCCGCAGAGGGCTTAGATTTGCTCAAGAAGATGCTTACACTCGATCCACATAAGCGTCCTTCCGCTAAGCAAGCCCTCAATCATCCATTTTTCCAAGGAAAACAGAGAACAATATCTCAAATGGACATTGAAACGCCAAGATCTCCATTGCAATCACCACATACTAATGCAACACCACAAAAGGAGTTGCCACATTCTGGCCATGCAGTTAGGAATTCTGGCAATTTCTCAAGACTGGACTATTCTAAGAAAGCTATCGATCAATTACAGCCTAGCAGGCCAATTGATTATGATCAGTTCCAGCAAGAAGAAGATGATATTTTTGACGGTATATAAATATAAATTCTGTTTATTTTGTCAATTATAACCTGTTTTTCTTACTTCTTTTCCATTTTTACATATGATATTAGTTCGAATTTGGAGTTTGGATGGATCTTTTCAAAATGATTTTTTCATTTTTTCAGACAGCCTGTAAATATTGAACATTTGAAATCGAAAACAATGAAAGGCCAACAAGTGCATGTGGAATATTCTCTTAATTTATACCTGTAGCACTTTATTTTCAAAATGTAAAATAATTTCAAAAGAAAAAACTTGAACCTAACAAGTTCTCTTTAAGGAAAATCGGATCTATATGCAATCCTAATATTTGATGTAATGAGAACAGAGGAGGTATAGCATTCAAATTGAATAAAACAAATTTCTATTGCTTTTTTTTGTTTTTCAAATGTCAATAAATACTCCAATTATTCAATGTATACCAAATATCAAAGTTGATATCCATCAGATCCTTGTCATGTATCGCAAAGTCGTTGTCCACAGGTGCAAGATTGCATGCATTTGTGCAGAATTACAAACATTTAGAAGTTTATTACAATCCAAAGTACGTCCTGGCCAGATTGCATCACCAAAAGAGCACGGAGAAATCCAAAAGCTTCTCGGCCAAATTAAGATATTGTACAATTTAGTTTCATCTTTATGTGAAGAACAATATATGAACACAATTTTATACAAATCTCCTAAAGCTATCGTTCAAGAATTAAGAGAATTTAGAATGAATTTCAACGCATTATGCATTTCCCTGAAATTCGCAACATCAGATCCATTGCCTATCAATGTCAGCCAAGAAGCTATCGATGATCATACCGATCTCCAAGATATTGTCGAGCGTCTGAAGTTTATGAAGAACGAAGGATTGATTCCACAAGATGCAACTTCGACATACACGCAACGCCTTCTTAAAATAGACTATCTCATTAGGGAATACGCTAATGATGAAGAAGAATCACAGCAATCCGCAATGGAGAAAGCTCGCGTGTTAACTCAAGAAGAAATCAACGAAAAAGTTCAAGATTTGATGCCATGGGTTTTCAATCAGAATGATTTCGACTTAAAGAAGATCATTGGACATGGCGCATTCGCTGATGTATACTGGTCTTATCAAATTAACGATAAAACGAATAATAAGATCGTTGCAGTCAAAAAACTCAAAGCTGTTCACTTCTCACAGTACTCTTTCGAATTATTCTACAGAGAAATCAGTATATTTACTAAAATTAACCATCCTGCGTTACTTCCTTTCGTTGGTGTTACAATTACACATCCTTTCTACATCGTTACAGAGTTTATGGAAGGCGGATGTCTTTACAACAGATTACATGACAGAGAACCACTCAGAGATCCTACGAAATTAACAATTATCGCGATAGGTGTTGCCCACGCCATGAAATACCTTCACAGCCATAAAATCATACATAGAGACCTCAAGTCCCTCAACGTATTACTCGATGCGAACGATTTTCCGAAGGTTTGCGACTTTGGAATGTCCAGAATCATGCCAGAGAACGGCGAGATGATGTCAGGAAGCGTCGGAACAGTCCAGTGGATGGCTCCTGAAGTACTTCGTAGCGAAAGATATTCAGAAAAGGCTGATGTCTACTCATTCGGTATTTTATTGTGGGAATTGTTGACAGGCGATGCACCATTCAAGCAAATGCGTGATGTACAAGTAACACTTGCTGTACTCTCAAGCAACGCTCGTCCTATGATGCCTCCAAACGTAAGTACAAGACTTGCCAAATTAATTAAGGTCTGCTGGGACTCAGATCCAGACAAAAGACCTGATTTCGAGACAATCGCTAAAATGCTCGAGTCAGGAGAGCTAGATTTCCCAGGCGCTCGCAAGGATGACGTTCAAGCCTACATCAATTTGTTAAACGAAAAAACCGCCGATGATCTCAAAATTGATGAATCGGTTCCCACTCAAAAAACCGCCACCGATTTGGTCCAACAAATTTCGAAATCACCAGATGATTGCATTGATGCACTTGTTAAGATCGAATTCATTATTTCGGATGAACAATGGATTAATTTGTTTAATGAAGCAAATTTGATCCCTGTTTTAGTTGATTTGCTTAAGAATGTCGAAGATGCAAGAATTGCTAATACCGCTGTATCATTAGTAGCAAAGCTTCTTGAAAAAGACATCTTTTTGCAAGCATTTCTCCAAAATCAGGGCGGAGTTGCATTACAAGACACAATTACAAGACTCTGCTCAACATCAATGTCAAGAGCGATCGATGCAATGACTCCTTTGTTAAATCAGAATGGAAAAGACTTACAAATTTCTTTATCATCTGATGCATTGATAAAAGTTGCTCCTTTCTTGGTCACATCAAAACTCGTACAGAGAAAAGAGGCTGCAGACTTCTTCTCCTTGTTAATTGACAAGAAAGCCTTTAATGGAGAAGCATCTTTGTCATCTATCGTTCATAACTCACTTTTGAACGCAATGCCAGAGACAGAACCATCACTTCTCAACTCAATTGTCACATTGCTTGAGAAATTGTCGAAATATCCTACTCCTTTGGATGCAATTCGCGCATCAAACGATGGAGCAAAGAGAATGATCGAATTATGTGCAATAGAGGATGAGAACATCGCTTACACATGCGTATTGATCTTAAAGAGACTCGCAGAAGGCACTGCTCCCCTATCAACAGAAGTATTACAGAATTATACAGGAATATTCCCGAAGTTGATCGCAAGGGACCAGAAATTCGTAATACCATCACTTTCGATACTCGGATTGCTCTCAAGAGCCAACAATGGCGCTAAGACAATTGCTGGATCTCAAGAAACAATCGGAGCGTTCATGAAATGCATCCAAATGGAAGACGACATGATTTCATTGATATGCTTGAAGATATTGGCCGTAATGCTGATGTACAGAACAATATTTGCATCATTTGAGAACCTTACAAAGTTCGTATCGCTCAAATACAACTCCAAATCGATACCAGTCCTTAAATTAGCTGCTACTGTCATATCAGTTTATATGAAATTAGCAACTAATACATGGCCAGACGTAATTGGAGAAGGATTCGTCGATTTCATCAAGAAATTGTTCACTATTAAGGAATTGCAAATGGATGCACTCAAATTATGCGGTGTTTTCGCTTGCAAATATGATAGTGCTTCGTACTTGAACAAAAACGGTATCGTCAGGGAAATTGTAAACGTCCTCAAGCACGGTGAAACCGATGAACCGAAGGAAGTTGCAATTTATGTACTTGCTGCCTTCTCCGGACAGTTCCCATTCTCTAAGGTTGCTGTAAAAGCTGTTGGACCTGTCATGGATGCAATTAAAGAAGATTTTGCTTCTCCATACAACATTATCTTCATTGCAAACATCGCTGTCAATCCATATGCAGCATCTAAGATTGCTCCAAGGATAAACGAGATGGCAAGAATAGTTGACAACAGAGATAATACTCCTGATAAAATTACAAGAGCGTTGATGTCGATCCAGAGAGTCACTCAATCTCCAGAAGCATCAGAATCTATTGTTAAGAACAGCCAAGCTTTGTTACCTGTTATCCAAAAGCTTATTGGCTCGAATAACGAAAGAATTGCTCTCAGTATCATTGAAGACATCGCTTACATCAAAGATGCTGTTCCTTATATCATGGAAACACAGATTCCTAAGATTTTAATGAATAGAATCCAAAAGATGGACGTTTCTGATCCAATTAGACCAACTATGCTATCTATCTTATCAAGATTGTAAGAATAAGATTTATGTTATTGTATTTGAACAAAAAATTAAGTTATTTTTTTGATTTAATTTGATTGCGAAATAAATATATATTTTATTTGTAATTTAAGCAAGTTTTTATAATATGATGATCCACATTTTATTCAATTCAGAATCAAAGCACTATATTTCCAAATTACCGCCAATAAATAATTGTGATATCTCAATTTTGAGATCACATTTTATTATATTCAATTTAATCGCGAACCATTTTCCACTATTTGTTTCGACTTTAAATTAATAACTAGAATTTTAAGGAATTTTTGATTGATTTTATATTTGATTGATATATAATTTTTAATAGAATTTATATACTATTCATCTATTAGTAAACACTACCGTATATTATTTTTTAAGCTATCTTATTTTTTGAACTTTTATTCAAATCTTTGGTCGCAAGAAGAATTGCATGATAAATAAAAACATTTAATCAAAGTCAATTTTATTTTTCATATTCAAATGGACTGAGTGTTAACATTTAACATTTTTTGCTAATTGTCGTCAAAAATTAGGCGTAAAGCAAAAATTGATATTTCATATGGTTTTATGATAGATAAGCATTATATTCCTACTCATTATATTCGTAAATTTTGAGGTTTATCCTTCGCTTTTAAGATCATTGAATTTGATTTTTATATAAAATAGTTATATATTAGAAAATAATATGAGTTTATGTGATATTATTTTTCAGAAGATTTTGTGTTCTTCTTCAAAATTTTATTTTTTTATTAAAAAGAATCTTTACAAAATATACATTTACTTTAATTAATATTTAAAAACGTGCTCTATTAAAAGTTCCAAAAATTCAATATTTTAGCTTTTCTGAGGTGTCACTTTTGATGAATTTCTGTTTACAACAAAATAATCATAGTTGTACAATTTTGAAACTATATGTAAAGCTATAAATTGAATAAATTCAAAAACAAAAATTGTTTATTCTTATTAATAAATTTATATTAATCAATATTTGAACAACCCGTAATTAAAATTGAATTCCTCTTAAAATTTAATCCATACGTTAATTTTTAATTTGCTCGGCGAATGCCGAGCTTCCCTACTTCTCTTGTCATTCCTTCAAAAACTCTAATCTCATCGCACTTACAAACATCATGATTTGATGTATTGTCGAGAAATCTTAGACTTGTTTGTCATTTGATTATAGCATTTGAAATTCATCTCGAAAATCGATTAACAAGACAATTTCCCAAACATCTACATACAAGTAGATGATGGTAAACCCATTAGAGTTGTTTTGCTATGATTCCTCCAATCTTATGATGAGAAAAATCATATCAAAACAGCTCTAATCGAACATTCTACACAGCTTAGCATCCAGCTAGTTCCAAGTAATGCGATTACAATATCAACGGCCAAAGCCTTTCAGAGTCCTTTAATCATTTCTTCTCATCTCAATGTGAAGTGGCCCCAAACGAACTACAAGCTGACGTTACAACGCATTACAACCCGGTTAATACGAGCATATACATTAGAGCTGCTTTGTTATGATCTCCCTCATCAATTGATGAGAGATCTCATTATGAAGCAGCTCCAATCGAACTAAAAACCTACATACAAATGAGTGAAAACAAATTCATTAGAGTTGTTTTGCTTTGATTTCTCTCATCAGAAGATGAGAGATACCAGAACAAAACAACTCTAATCAAACTTTCTACACAACTCAGCACAGTATCAATGCAAAGTAATGCGTCTGTATCGTTAACAAGCAAAGTTGTTTCGGGTCCTTCCATTTTGGAAGAATTCGGAACAACTTTGCGAATTGATAGTGTAAACCCATATACATGAAAGCGTGCATGCATAAAGACAGGTATTGTCAGCAATGACTACCTGCCCAGCTATGAGTGATCAGAGAATTACCATCTCAGGCTTTTTGAGAACGTTTCAGCCAGGACCCTCGTATGTTGACTGTGAGAAAGGCATCCTTTATCTGAAATAGATGCTTTTCCAACAATCAAATTCGAAGATCTTCGACGTTGTTGTAAAAAGAGAAGGAGAAGGAAAGAAGAGGAAGGAGAGGAAGAAGGAAAGGAAAAGAAGAAGAAGAAAAAAGAAAAAAATAAAAAAGAAGGACATATTAAATATAATGCGCACTTAATAGTGCCGAGGCGGCGGAGCCGCCGAGGCGCGATTTTTTTGACCCTATATTACCGCACGGCAATGTTTTTCTCGATTTTGTACAGCCCTAGGCCAATCCCTGTGGGACCCAGTGGTAACTTTCCATGGAAACCACTCAGTGGGAACATTTTTTATTTTTGACGGAAAAAATTCTAAATATTTTTTTTCATTTTTTGATTTTTGAATTTTTTTTGGAATTAGAGAATAAAATTTAAAGCAATAGATATGCTTGATTATTCAAGATATTGATATTAAATCAGAAATCAATGGTAAATAAAGAGTTTTATAAAAACTTACCACGTGGGAAGATGAAGTGACCACAAATTGAGTTGTGGTACATAAAAATTACCACAAAATTGAGAACTTTTCCCACAAATTGAGAATTTTTACCATAAAATGAACGATGGATATCCACGATAGTTACCACAACTCACTTCTCGCGCAAAATATGTTTAATATTACATATTAAATACATTTATCAACATTAATTATTTTGAATTGTGGTAAAACGATATGTCACATATTTTTTATAAAAATTTGTAAAAATGTTTATTTTAATTTATATAATTAAATATTAAAATTTTAAATTTTGAAATAAAATAAATTAAATTCGTCCGTTATCTTTAATTCGCTCGGCGAATGCCGAGCTTACGTACTCATGTATTCCTTCTTGTTACAACTCGAACAAGAACATCACATTTAACATATTATCAAGAAGCCCACTATAAACTTTTCATTTGATGAGTTTTGAATCGCGAGCTTCTTGATAGTCAAACTACGCACCAGCACTACAACTTCTTTCACCCGAACTAATACAAATTTACACATTGGAGCTGCTTTGCTCTGAGAACTCTCATCAATCAATGAGAGTTCTCAGAGCAAAGCAGTTCTAACCGAACTACGCACAAACACTCCAACTTAAAGCAACCAAATCAATACGATTATATACATTGGAGCTACTTTGCTCTTATTTCTCTCATCAATTGATGAGAGAACTCAGAGTAAAGCAGTTCCAATCGAACAGACAAGCTAGCACAAGATTACACATTGGAACAGTTTTACTCTGAGAACTCTCATCGATTGATGACAGATCTCAGAGTAAAGCAGTTCCAATCGAACTACACACAAGCACTGCTTCTTACAGCAACCCAATCAATACGCACATATACATTGGAGCTGCCTCACTCTGAGAACTCTCTTCATTTGATGAGAGATCTCAGAGTGAGGCAGCTCCAATCGAACTACATACAGACATTACCGCTAACCATAACCCAATCAATGTACGTATTTACATTGAAGCTACTTTACTATTATTTCTCTCATCAATTGATGAGAGATTTCAAAGTAAAGCAGCTCCAAAAAGAAAGTAAGAAGAAAAGAAGGAAAAAGAGAAGAAAGAAAAGAAGGAAAAAGAGAAGAAAGAAAAGAAGGAGAGAGAAAGAGGAAAAGAGAAAAAGAAAAAAGGACATATTAAATATGATATGCTGTTTTTAGTGCCGAGGCGGCGAAGCCGCCGAGGCACGATTTTTTTGGTCTCTTCCTTCCACGTGGTAAGCTTTTTTAAAAGTTTGGACAGGCCTAGAAATACTATATATATGTAGATTGAATTCTTTTATTTTGGCACTTTTTTAATGTTTTTTTTCTCCAACACTCAGCCCCCAATTCAAATCAAGCATTTACCAACGTAAAATACCGGTATTCCAATCAATAAGAGGACAGTTCTGTCAAGACCCTTCCTGATTTGAAGGAACTTGAAAGAACTGCTCTTTAACCGACTTCAAATAAGAAAATTTCACTCATATTATCATGTTAACATCGAAACTACTGCCATTTAGAGAGCAGTTCTTCCAAGATCTTCCAAATCTTCGAAGATTTGGAAGATCTTGAAAGAACTACTCTTAAAATGGCAGTAATTACCGTAACTTTCTACTTGATAGTAACAATACCGAAGCTACAGCCATTTAGAGGGCAGTTCTTCCAAGATCTTCCAAATCTTCGAAGATTTGGAAGATCTTGAAAGAACTACTCTTAAAATGGCAGTAATTACCGTAACTTTCTACTTGATAGTAACAATACCGAAGCTACAGCCATTTAGAGGGCAGTTCTTCCAAGATCTTCCAAATCTTCGAAGATCTTGAAAGAACTACTCTTAAAAATGGATGTATTGCGAGAGGGTTTGATTTTTCGTTTATTAAAATTGTATTCTATGATATAATTTAATTCAAGATTTGTATTTCTGTTATTTTTGTGATATCATTCAAGTATATATATCAGAATATGCACATAATGATACCACATATACTTAAACTATACATATTTAAATCTTAGCGATCAATATAATTTTTTTGTAATATCGAATAAAAGTTTGTTTTCGCATTTCCGTTTTATTTGACTACATGAAGATAAGAATTCTTGAGAACGATTTTAAATAAATTGCCAAATTGAAGAATTCGATATATGATGATATTCACTGATTTCTGCCAAACTTGTAGGAATGAATCCATTTAGAATAAAAACGATTTGTGCATTGGAAGCTCAGAACAAGTTATGTTCATTATCCCAATATGAAGAAAATGCACGTTTAGAAAAAGACGATAACAATTAAATTACAAAATCGATAACGATAACGATTAAATTACAAAATCGATAACGACCCCAAAAATCTTCAAAAAATTATGATAAATGCTTCCTTATAAGGATCTAGTTCCCTTCCGTGAAAGATGGTAGATAATGTACCATGAGGAATTTAATTAAAACCCTCCTTATACAATGATTATTCGTCTTTTGAAAATATTATCGGATTTTCTACGTTTATGTTAGGAGAATTTATTTGTTGCTTCAGGAAGTATTACGTAATTCAAATATATCAAATATCTTGTCAATTCAGAAAATTGAAAATTTCAGAATCGTTTTTATCATTATTGGCTGCCATTTGTTATAATACATATAATATCCTTTGTTATTTTATGAAGATTACTATATTTCGTTGAAATTTATTTATTAAGCTTTAAGAAGTAGTTAATCTCTTTCAAAAGTTCATTAAATGTTAAATGTGTCGTATGTTTAAAGTCTTGAAGACTCATACTAACAAAACTTGATTTTGAATTTGCTAAAAAATGCTCTATCACAAAAAAGTTAGAAAGATAAGATAGATTTATATTTACGAACAAAGAAGGTCAGGTAAGTGGGGCTTCCAGGCACTTCGTGCCCTCTAGCCCATAAGAAAACCTAGAGGAGAACTACAAAAATTATATAGTAAAAAATTAAAGTTTTTATTCGATAAGAACGACATCGCTATCGTTTTCTTCTTCTTCCTCCTCCTCTTCTTCATAGTCAGTATCTGATGGCTCTTTGTCAGCCACATGACCAGCAACAAATATTGAGACAAATTGTTTCTTTGGTTTTGTTAGCAGGAACTTTTGATGGTCGTAGAACACGAATTCTACATTTTGAAAATGTTGTGCTGAGTATTCTGTGAAATGGGAAATTGGAATTGGTTCTCCCATGCCAAAACCAGCAATGGACGCGAACAAAACATCGTCTTCGACTCTTGCAGGTTTGTCAATTGCAACAGTAGTTATTATGTGAGGTTTTCCTTCACATCCTGCAAGAGATTGTACATGATAGATTGCTTTTTCTTCTCCCTCAGGAACTGAAAGTGTGAAATGGAATGAGAGTTCTCCATATTCATTTGCTTCTTCGTAATAGTTGTATGTTGTAGGATACACCAATTGAAATTTTCCTATTCTTGTTTCCCTCAGGTGTTGTCTATATTGCTTGGGAAAACATAAAATAAATTGCTCTATAGCTTGTGTTGCTATTAGATTAGTTGTAACTGGTAATTTTGAGGCGAAAAGGTCTACAAGAACACCGGGATTTTTTATGTCGTTTTCAATTGGTTTAAGAGATTCTATGACTTTGTTAAACATTTCACTATAATCTGAGTTGTCTTCGACCCCCAATTGTTAAGAAGTTTATACAACAATTTCAGTCTTTTCATGGCGTATTTTCTTTGAATGGATTCGGGTAGCGAGAGGTTACAGTCGTCGCTTTGTGTTTCGTTACTCGAATATTGTTCAAGAGAAATTAAATCTTGAAATTGTGCTCTTGTTAACATACTTGTAGTTTGAGAGACTATATCTTGTTCTATTGGTTGTACATCTGTTTCAGATGTTTCTGTTGTGTTTTGAGAAGAAGAAGAACTCAAATTGTTGGACAATTTGTCTTGAATTGTAGAACTATGTGAAACTTGTTCTGGTGCTGTTTGGACAACTGTTTCAGATGTTTCTGTTGTGTTTTGAGAAGAAGAAGAACTCAAATTGTTGGACAATTTGTCTTGAATTGTAGAACTATGTGAAACTTGTTCTGGTGCTGTTTGGACAACTGTTTCAGATGTTTCTGTTGTGTTTTGAGAAGAAGAAGAACTCAAATTGTTGGACAATTTGTCTTGAATTGTAGAACTATGTGAAACTTGTTCTGGTGCTGTTTGGACAACTGTTTCAGATGTTTCTGTTGTGTTTTGAGAAGAAGAAGAACTCAAATTGTTGGACAATTTGTCTTGAATTGTAGAACTATGTGAAACTTGTTCTGGTGCTGTTTGGACAACTGTTTCAGATGTTTCTGTTGTGTTTTGAGAAGAAGAAGAACTCAAATTGTTGGACAATTTGTCTTGAATTGTAGAACTATGTGAAACTTGTTCTGGTGCTGTTTGGACAACTGTTTCAGATGTTTCTGTTGTGTTTTGAGAAGAAGAAGAACTCAAATTGTTGGACAATTTGTCTTGAATTGTATGAGGAGGTTGCTTTGGTATTATAGGAGATCGTAAGGGTTTTGAGAATGGTGAGACATAAGTTGTAGGAACTTTAACTGCAGAGGTAGTCGACGAATTGTTTGCGACACTTGTTCTTCCTTCCATTATGAAAAATGAACTGTTTTTTTCGGACCACTCATAGAAAAGTTTGAGATAAACCGTTTTCGTCAACGGAGACTCCCTCTATTTTTTTATTTTATTTAATAGTTACCGTTGGAAAAACGGTTTATCTCAAATATTGAATGAACTATAAACGTTTTTTGTTTTCTATATATACTTTTTTGTCCAACGGTAAAACTTTTTACACAACGGTTTTTGAGAGTCGTCGCCGTTGACTTTTTTGTAGAGCGCTCAAAATAGTATAACTTTGTCCGGACAAGTAAGGGTCTATCGTCGCTACAGGAAAAGTTACAGGCGTTCCAAGGAAGTATACTTTGAGAAGCCTTTTTCCCCTTATAGAATGAGATAGGACGGTTATTTTACAAAACTGACAACACTTTGACCGAGTAGTTTTTTGTGCTGAACAAAAAGTGTCATATAAACATCTGTCAAAAACCGCTTTTGAACTTCACTTAAAATGCCACGTAAGCTACGTAAGAATATACGTAAGAGGAAGGGAGCATTGAAACATCCAATAGTAAAACTGACACCACAACAACAGTTGCAACAACAAATGATGAATGACCCCACTATGTTGCAACAAATGTCAAGCAACCCTATGCTTTTAAACCGAGTTATTGGTGCACAGAGTGGAGGTTTAAGAGCGGCACTTTTAGCGAAAATGGCAGGCTATGGTGGAGCTGCAGACGGAATAGCTTATAACCCTCAAAGTCAAATGAATTTGAGTTCACTCAAAAATCAAATAACAGATGTCAAAAAGTCAAACATAGACATACAGAAACAAATAAGTGAAAACGAAAAGAAACTAGAATATGACAGACACACAAAGAAACTAAATGAGTTAAACGTAGAGAAAAAGAAGAAAGAAGAACAACTGAAAGAACTAAGTACAGAGGAATATGCAAAAAAGTGTCAGAAAAAGCAGCAGAAGTAGCAAAAATGGAACAAGATGTTATAAATTTGAAAAACCATACTACTCAATATAAAGTACTGAAAGATGAAGAGATAAAACAAAAAGCCATGAAGACATATATGGATAGCGATGAGTATAAAAAAGAAGTTGAAGCAAATGTAAAGGCAGAAAAACTTTTACAGTTGCAAAACCAAACCGTACAGTATGAAAACTTAGCACAAGAAAGTAAAAATAACGACGCAGCCATGCAAAAGGCAATGAAAAGCGCAGATATTATAAAAGCTAATAATGACTGGTTAGATGCCCAAGCCAACGCTAAAGCAGCCCAACTTATAGGGTCAATAAGGACAAAAATACAAGCGGATGAAGACAGTTCAAATGAAGCTTTAATGAATGCTGACTTTAAGAATGCCTTCGAAGCTCTTCATAGTAAGGTGAAACTAGTGAACGACTTCTCATCTGGAAAGAAACTGAAGTCTGAAGGTTTCGACAACGAGTTAAGAGAAGTAGCACAAAATATGACGAAAATAACAGATGCAGCAACGAGACAGGCAGTTCAAAGTGCCTATGACGCCGTTAGAGCAGCTGTTGTGGAAAGTCAAGAAAAAGAGTTACAACAGACCAAAACAGACCTAGTAAATGCTTTCTTAAAAACGAAAAGTCAGGTAGGACATTATGCTGCAGATGGAACATATGTGCCAGCTGGTGGAACTTATATACCACCAAACCCTCCAAGAGAAGCACCTGCACCAGGACTACCTAAAACATTTACATCGTCACATGGACACAGACACAGGCATGCACCAAAACCAACACAACAACCAACAGTTCAAAATCCAGCACCACAACAACAACCAAAACCAACAGTTCAAAACCCTGCACAACAACAACCAAAACCAACAGTTCAAAACCCTGCACAACAACAACAACCAAAACCAACAGTTCAAAACCCTGCACAACAACCAACAGTTCAAAACCCTGCACAACAACAACCACAAACAGAGCAAGGACATAAAAGAAGTAGAGAAAAAGGAAACCAAGAATTCTTAAAAATGCTTAAGGAAGATTATGGTTACCCAGATACTCTTGACTTTAGTGACAGATATAAAGAAGCTATTAGAAAGTTCAAGGAAGGAAATACTGACCCGAACCTATTTAGCTTTATGGTTCAGCATCAAATCGGATATAATCTCAAACCTGGAAAATACAAGCTCGCTAAGGGATATGATTTAATAGCATATCATCCAAATGACATGAATGAATTTACTCCGAGATATTTGATGTCAGAGCTAAATGATAATTCAACTCTCTTCATGAAACGCGTAAAAAATAGAGACGGAACGAAAGAAGAAAGGTTTATGAGTCCGGATGACTTAGATAGGGAACTTGTTAAAAACGGTCTCGGAATATATGAAATGCCAGCAGATGAGGTACAAGAAACTCAACAGGAAGAAGTTCAGATACAACCAGACATGGAAGAAATAGTTCAGCAACAACAGCTAGAAGAGCCTGAAGGAAACGAACAAGTCCCTCCTTTGGAAACTAACTTCACAGAACTAGATGAAGATTTGGAACAGCTGAAAAATCTTGACCCTCAACAAGAGTATGAGGTGAATATGGAATCTTTCCAAGAGTCTAAGAAAAATTCGGCTGACATAGTAGAAGAATATCGAAAAATGTTCACCGACATACAAAAGACTCCAACATCAGATGAAAATATTCAGCATAGAATGGAAGTACTGAAAGAAAATGTACGCAAATACAATAATCCTTTTTACTTACGACCATATAACGTTCAATCTTTGGCTGAACTCGGTGAAAATAAAAGGTTAAATTTCAACAAAACATATAGAAATGAAACATTGTTTAAAGTTCATTCAGAACCTAACCAATATGGAAACAAACCTACTTTTGTTTCTGCAGACTATGGAACTACAATGAAATGGGGTCATAAAGCTAATCCGGATAGGTGGTTCATAAACTTACAACCTCAATTCCAAGAAGTTGTAGACGCAATGGAAGTGAATGGTGAACCAGATATAACGGGTATTTTCAGCGCGGCTTTAATGCCATTGAAAGATATGAAAGATGCAGATATTTTGGACCAGTATGAAATGAACATGGCTGAGGGAAATATAACACCTGACGTTCTAGAACATTTATCTCAAAGAACTACACAGAACCATAGAGATGGTATATTTGGTGAAGAGTTTAGAAAGAAAGTTAGGGAGAGAGAAGGAAGAGAACCTATTGTACATGACCTTGCAAACGAAAGTTTGCAAAATGTCATAAAAACTTACTTTGCAGACAATGAAATGAGAAGGGATGAATATTTAAGAAAACTCAAATGGACAGTACCAAATGAAATGTTAGTATTGAAAAACATGTTCCATGACAAAATAAAACCAACTACAGAAATAAATGACGCAAGACTGAAACGTTGGGTAAAAGCTTTCCCATTCACAAAAGATATTATTGGTTACATGGAAAGAAAACCAGAATGGCTACAAAAACATATATTTGGAAACGAGCTTATTCCATATGGACAAGCTCTGTTTGAAGAGCTTGAACCGGAAACTCAGGAAAGAGTCATGCAAACAATACGCGAAGACTCAAATACAAACTATGACAAAATCCTTCTAGGATATAGGTTACCTGAGATGGGCGACCAGAGCCCAAAGACAAAAAGGACATGGGAAATTTACAACATACTAGGTGAACATGAGGCAAAGATGCAACAACTTGAAGCAGAGGGCAAGTTACCAAAAGCGACACCAAAGAAGAAGAGAAGAGTAGAACAAAGTGAAAGTAGTGAAGAAGTAACTTCATCTAGTGAAAGTAGTGGCAATGAAGGAAAAAGAAGAGTTAAAGATTCAGTTAAAAACTCAGTCAGGAAGAAAGTAAAGCTTGGTCCGAGTGGGTTCTATTATGACACATAAATCCAACTATTCTATATTTTTACCCATATGAAATGTACGCCGCTCAGAATATAACGCCAACAGTTTTGGATGCCATGAACGGAAATGTTTCCGAATGGTATAACGAATGCGACAATGCCATTAGAAGGTCAGAAATAGTTCCTGGAACTTACGAATATACAACTGCTGTTTCTTATGGAAACGTAGGTGAGTTTGGAGAAGGTTCTTCAACAACAGTAGATATTGCTTGCGACAGGTTTCATATTATTTCTATTGACAACTAGAGATGCGAGTTTCCGAATTTTTTTAGCCCTGGGATGTCATAACCGCTGCGGTTTTGTAAAATTTGGGATAAATTTTGACAATCCATTTTTTGTGGGATGTACGTTTATATCAATTTGCTCGGCGTTTGCCGAGCTATTGTACAATCCTACTCGAATTCATTACGCAGCCCTGGTCACTCAAAGGCCAGGGCATACAATTACAAAATAGTAGAGTGAGACTCTTCTAATTTCTTCCAATCACAAGGAAGATCTTAGAAGAGCCTCACTCTGCTCGAACACATTACGCAGCCCTGGTCACTCAAAGGCCAGGGCATACAATTACAAAATAGTAGAGTGAGACTCTTCTAATTTCTTCCAATCACAAGGAAGATCTTAGAAGAGCCTCACTCTGCTCGAACACATTACGCAGCCCTGGTCACTCAAAGGCCAGGGCATACAATTACAAAATAGTAGAGTGAGACTCTTCTAATTTCTTCCAATCACAAGGAAGATCTTAGAAGAGCCTCACTCTGCTCGAACACATTACGCAGCTCCTGCTCAACAATGAGCAGGTCTTACCACTTTGAGAGGCTTTCGCTCGAGTTCTGATGCAGATCCCAACGCGAGCGAGAGTCTCTCAAGCAAGCTTCTAATTCGTAGCTAGAGTTTCACTCTTATGAACTGGCAGCCAATTTGAGAGACTTTCGCTCGAGATCTAATGAAAAATCAGAACTCGGCCAAAAATTGCCCAAACAGGCTTGTAATTCGTAGCTATAGTATTGATCGTATGGATGTGTTGCCAATATGAGAGACTTTCGCTCGATGTCTGATATTGCATCAGACATCGAGCGAAAGTCACTCAAAACAGCTTAGACATGTCTATTTTGACGGCATTAAATGATTTCATAGGAAATGTCTCAGTTGTTAATTAAGTTCACGTGAGCTTTTATGAATGAAAATAAGTAAAAAAAAAGAATTTTCTCAAAAAAAATTGTGTACGCATTGAAATTTTTATCTATAAATTTAGATATGTCATCAATAATATAATATAATTTTAAATTCGTGGAGTACACTTGGGATAATTGAATATGGGCTACCCCATCCCAACCTCTCAAACTTCCTCTGAATTTGGACAAGGTATCCCAATCCCAAAGACCTATCTGAATAAAATGAAATAAGTATATTATATATATTATTTATTTGCTAATAATGAGCATAAATCGCTAAAATTATGAAGAAATTAAAAATTAAAAATTAAAATTAAAAAAAATGTTGATTTAATGAGAGAATATTGTATAAAAATAGAATTATTAGCTAAAATACGTATTAATTTTATGATATTTCAATCACATTAACGAAAATCGCCCATTTTTAATTCAAATGGGCGGGAAAAAAAATAAAATTCCAAAAAAAATTGAATTGGGGAAACGATAGGGGACGGGATATGAGAAACCCCATATGTTTGGGAATTTTTCGCATCACTATTGACAACTCATTCTTATACGTGGAACAAGACATTGAAATAAAACCTTCTGCCAAGTTGTCTGACAAGAAAGGTTGCAATGGAATTTTCTATGTCGGATACCAATATGCTCCAGAAGTTTTCATGGGATATAAGATATATTCTAACTCTGACTTAGTTCAAACAGTAACATGGGCAAACTATGAATGGTTCGCTTTGAGAAACTCAGTACAACCACAAGCTAGAGAACAAACAGACCAGTATGCAACTATTAAGAAAATAAGAAGACTTGACCCTAACGTTCCAGGAGTTTATGTTAACCTTTCTGGACAAACTGCAGCAGCAGTAACCAAAGTAAAACTGAAACTAAGAGTTCCTTTGTCATCTTTCCTCATCTTCAGGTTTTTAAGATACTTGCCAAACTGGGCAGGAAAAATTTCTATCGAACTTACTCCAAGCAAAAATAACTTAGTCATTGCACCAACACAAGACCCATTCACTATTACAGACGTAAAGGGAACAAATCAAACGTCATTCGCCGAATTTTGCAAAGACAAAGTTGACTTAGACTTTGGTTTCTCAAACTTCAACAATGAAGTAAACTATTATTTCAATGCTGCTGGAACTGCTTGGGACCCAGTTAAGTTCACATGCGAACAGTTTGAATGCAAGAGAATAGAAATCAGACTTGCCGTTTATATGTTGGACCCAGATATTTCAAATGCTTTAGCTGCCAAATATATTGCAGTTCCACTTATGTTCCCTATACACCAAATATCTGTCAAAGACTTTGCAGGTGAAGTTGGAAACCAAAATCCAGGAGCCGCAGGTGCAAGAACAGATATTGCTTTAACAACTGCAATGAAACATGCAGATACTATGTTTGTACTGTTCAGACGAACTATAAATGACTATTCTTGTTTCTACAACCCTGGTATTAAATATCATATAAACATAGATGGCAAATATTATCCAAGAGAAGAATATTCTACAGTTGAGGATATGAGGTCATACAACTTGACATTAGATGCTATGAACTTTAACAACAACTTCACAACAACCATTAACCCTGAAATGCAAAGTTCTATTATGCCATATGTGAAAGTATGGACTCATACAGGAGGTCAAAAAACTCAATATACAAATGGAGACCGTTCAAACTTTTGGCTTGGCATTCCATTTGCTGACTCAGAAGACTTTATGGGTGGTATTTCAACTGTTGGTACTGTACAAATACAATATACTGGTGACAGAGACGGTCCAGATGAATTGAGAGCAAAGAAGTTTACAAAACCAATAGCACTTTTCACGGAAGATGCTCTTTTGAAGATTCGTTCGATGAAACCTGCTGGGGCTCCTCAGATTGGCATAACGACAGCTTCCATCGAGCAGATTTTGGCAGCAGGTCAGTAAGTTGTTCTTGAACTGACTTCTCTCCGTCAAATATTGGCAGTACGCCAGTTTTGACATAATATTGTATTATAAACTTTCCTTTAGTAATATCGGTCAGTTTTGAAGTTATATTTTTGTCTGCTTCAAGAACTTTCACCATTTCAGTTATACCAACTTTCTTTGCTTTATGAAAATATTTAGGTTCAGCAAAGACTGCTATTCTATAACATTTTCCATTGTTTGTGTAAAGAACTATTCTGTCAATGTATTTGTATTGTTTGTGAGTATAAACTTTGTTCTGCTTCAATTCAATAAGATATCCGAATACGTCCATCTTTTTATTCTAAGTAAAATGTCATTTCCGAAAAATAGAAGCGTAAGTGTTTCAAAAGGTTTAATGGCGGTGGCAGATGTGAAGTTAAATTCACCAACTCAAACAAACAGTCAAAGTGTTATTGTCAATGTCAAAGACAGAGATGTTGAAGTGGGGAAACCATACGAAGACGAAGATGGTATAACAATTGTTCCTGTAAAAGAACCAACATATCCTGAAGTTAACAGAGACTTAAGTTCTGTTGCAGATATTCGAAATGACTACCAACAACTGAAAGACAAACTTCAAACTCAGGAGAAGATTTGTCAAGCTTTAAGTATAATGTTAAACTTGGTCGTACACAACCCTGTAAAAGTGAACTCATATGTCATTGCACCTCATGAAGTTTTGAAAGAACTATTGAAACTTTTGACAGAGGCAGACGATATAAACATCAAAGAAATAGAACCCGACATTGGTTGCTGTGGTGTTTCATATAATGTCATTGACAAGATATACGTTATGAAAGTAGGTGAAACGTTGAACTTAAAATATAGTTTCCCAGACGTTATAAAAATATTTGACGACCACAACATTTCATTAAAATTTATTTGCTAAGTAAATGGCAGAAGACATAATGGTTTATACTATTACGACTAAAAACCCTGAGTCATATAATTCTATAACAACAAACTTACAAAGTCCTCAAGGACGATATTGTAAACTAACCTTAAACACAATGACGACTAAAGCCTGTTTTGCTCTTTTGACACCAGAAGACTTTATTGTTGTGAATGGTAAAAAATACTCCTTTGAAGATACTTACTCAGATATACCACCAACAGGTTTTGTTGACTTATTTAATACTTTAAGTACGGGTGTAACATGTGCTGCAACTAGAGCAGGTTTCATTATGTTTGGATGTCCGACTGAGTTTACTATAAACGATATGAGCTATAATACAAAACTTATTTCTGGTTTTTACTACCAACAGTTTCCTATAACAGGAAAATGTGTCATACAAGGAATGTCTATTCCATTGACATTAAGCACACCAATCTTATATATTGTTTCAAACTTAGGTTCAAAGTGTTATTCGAATGTCGACAGAAACTATTATGACCAAAAGATACTTATGCGTATAAACAATACTTTCTCTGCTGGTTTGCCTCTTGTTCATTCGAATGCAGAATTTTCAACCTTAGTGAACTCAAACACTTTGGCAAGTATAACGTTGACATTAGTTGACGCAAACTTTGTTCCTGTAAAACTTTTATGTCCTATGTATTTGTCAATGACGGCAGAAAGTTTCGAATTGGAAGATGCAACTGGTGAAAGTATTGTATTACAAGAACAACTTCAACAACAAATAGCTCAAGAACAACAAATGCAACAAATGGAACAACAAAGTCAAGAATAAAAAAATAATATTTTTTTATTTTTATAAAAATGTACAGAATAGATGTTTCAGATTTTTATGACTTCCAAGCATTCAGAAATATGTGTCCATTTCGAGACTATAACAAAGCAGTCGAGAATTTGAAACGTTTAGTCATTTATGTTGACTCTGCCCCAGAATGTTATGTCATGAAAGAATGGGATGTTGTCTTTAACAAACCAAGAGCAACAATAGTTTCAGAACAAGAATGTAGACAGAAACTTAAGAAAATAAAAGTCGTACAAGTTGGCATGAAGATGTTAGATGCTTGGGATATCTTATTGTCAAAACTTGAAGATTTTTCAGTTCGTGGTATAAAGTTTTATACACCTTCTCCAAACTTCTATTCTATCTTCACTGGATATAAATACGAACAAGTAGAATGGAAAGAAAATATTATAGAAGCTTGGTTAGACCATGTCAAAGAAATTATATGCAATGGAAACGAAAAGGTTTATGAGTATATCTTATGTTGGTTTGCAAACATCTTACAACATCCAAGTGCTAAAAATGAAACTGCTCTCATTATAATTGGAAAACAAGGAACAGGTAAGAACACATTCTTTACAGATATCTTATGCAAACTGTTAGAAGGTTATTCGAACCCTAATATGACAAACTTAGAAAACATCTGTGGCAAGTTTAACTCCTCAATAGAGAATATGAAACTTATAGTTTGCAATGAACTTCAAAGTATAGATACAACAAAAGTTTTGAACTCAGATGCTTTGAAGAGTCTTATAACAGACAAAGTTGGAGTTGTTGAAAGAAAGTATAAAGACCAAAGAGTTTGCGAAAATGTTGCAAACTTCATTATGGTTTCAAACAATGCTGTTCCGATGAAGTTAGAAAGTTCTGACAGAAGATATGTAGTTGTCAGAACGTCAGATTCTCATATGCAAGATACAGAATATTTTGACGACTTAGCAGAAACTTTGACATCTGACTTTTACAACCACTTGTTCTCATATTTCATGACATTAGATATTTCTAAGTTCAATCCAAGACAAATTCCACATACCGAAGAGAGACAAACATTGTTAGAAGCAAACAAGAGTGTATATGAACTGTTCATAGATGAAACTGACTTTGTGTCATTAGATGAAAAGTCTTTATATGATGAATATAAACAATATTGTCAAGAATATGGTTATATGACAGCTTCTAAACGTACATTCTTGGCAAATGTCAAAAGTCTTTTAGATGTTCAGAATGGTGTATATACAAAGAAAATTTTTCTGAGTAAAGGGATGGAATGTTAAACATCACTGAATAAACAAAGCATTGGTTAATATCATATGTTTGATCAAAATAAGCAAAAAATGATTCAAGATTATATGTTAGAAAAAAAGTTTGCTGACATTGACAAGAAATTTGAGAATGTTTTAAACAAGAACAAGAGGAAGTTAGAAAATGCTCAGATAAAACCTATACATGACAAGTTCTTATTTGCTCAGAATGGTATAACAGGTCTAATTGCACCACCTGGGTCGGGTAAGACTTTCACTTATCTTAAAATGGCTGCACAACAACAAGAACTAGATGAGAAGAACCAATTCTATGAGTTAGTAGTCATTTGTAGTACTTCTGGTCAATTTGACCAAACCGTCAATTCGTTCAAAGATATTATAAAGAAGTCTAAGTTAGTATGTATAAAGGATACTGAGTTGTTAGATTGGATAAAGAAGTACCAAAGAAGAGTTTTGAAGTATAATGCTATAAATGAGTATATAAATTCTAAGTTTAAAGAACCTAATGAGGAAATGCAGAGAATATTAGACAAACACCACTTCTGAAACTAACAGAAAGAGATAGAATACATTTCGAAGAAATTGCAATCTTACGATTGGAAGACTTACCCTCATAGATGTCTTCTTATCTTAGATGATTTCGCCTCTCATCCTTTGTTAAAGAATAGAGAACAAGATATGTGTCGAATTCTTAAGAAGCTCAGACACTTTAACATCTCAGTTGTCATTTGTGTACAGACAGCCAAGAGTTTAAGTAAGGATGTTAAAAGAATACTTACTGACATAATACTTTTCCCCGGATTGTCCGAAGACGATTTCATGGAACTTATGAAAGAGTCCATGGCAGGTAAGTTTGACAGACATGAACTATGGGAGAAGTACAAAGTCATACAAGACCCTCATACTTCTTTCAGAATTCATATCTACGCAAACAAAGTTCAAATTGTAAAAAGTCAAGCTTGAAAAATCTAAGTGTTTAGTCTTAGTAAGATGGTAGCTTCTTAAAGCAAATACCATTGCTGAGTTTTATGTACGTGAAGAGAAGTACAATGAATTCAATTACGAGTACAATTGCAATGACAACTAAGGCAACTATTTTTGTCTTTTGCCAGCAAGGGTACTTCTTCTCTTCCAATGGTTCGGCAGAACTATACTCACTCATGAGAAATGCCAAAACGGTTTAATAGAAAAAGTGTCATTTTTTTCATGTCCGAAGACTCGAAGGTGCAACACTTCCAAAATACCGACGAACTCAGAAGAGCAGCATGGCAGTATGTTCTTGACAACTTCTTTGAGTTCTCCAGGTACACCTTGGAAAATGCTGAAGAACTCCGACACAGAGAATTTGGAGAAATTGCACTCCAATACTACCTTGACAAACAAAGGGTAAATTAAGACTAAAAACTTAACGTTTAAAAAGTGACATTTTTATGAGCTCCGAGTCACCGAGAAAACTTGGTCAGATGTTAGCAGCTTACTTCCCTGAGGAGGATGGAAGCGTTACATACATCAGGTTCAAAAACAACGAACCTGGAATTGCGTACCAAATTCGCAATTACATGACCATGGAAGAGTACGAAAGGTTTCTACAAGAGAAACCAGCTCTAAACAACTCAGAAAAGAAAGAGTAAAAAGTTTAATTCGTAATTGTTTATTTTTTTTACTTGTAAGGGCAAGCTGCAAGTATGAAGTCGACTATCTCCGTCTTTGTTTTGACGAGCTGGACGGCTCTTGCGAGTACGTCTGTTTTGCGGTCTCCAGCTGGTGTCTGACCTTCGTAATTGCGCATGTTCTTGAGAGCTCCAACTGTAAATGGTTGTAGGATGAAGAGTCTCTCAGACTGCTTGAGGTAGTCTTCACGGTCACGAACCGAATCTGTGGTACGAGTCGAATCGGTCGATTTGAGGGAAGAGACTGAAAGCCTGTCGTCTTCCATTGGAGCTGTAGCATACTCTTTGCGTAAGCGGTTCAGACCTTCTTCGAAGTCTTGGTCTCTCTTCGATTGAGATTGGAATTGGGGCAGGGTTTTGCTAAACATCCAAGGGTTGGGGAAGTAAGGCATAGGCTGAGGAGGGTAGTTCGGGAAGCCTTGTGGTGGGTAGTAACCTTGAGGTGGAAATTGGTAGTAATTCGGAGGTACTTGCTGGAACTGAGGTTGCTGAGGAGACTGTTGTGGTTCTGCAGCTTTCGGTTCTTCTGGCTTTGGAAGGCATTCAGGAAGAGGAACGTCAGTCATCCGTTTGTGTCCTGTCGGAAGGAAAAATTTTTCCTGTCGGAAGGAAGAACTTTTTCTGTCGGAAGGAAAAACTTTTTCTGAAGTTCGACCAAAAAGTTCTCAATTTTCGAAAATTTGAATGGTTTACGGACGGACAACTGGAAGAGTTCTTCCTGTCGGAAGGAAAAATTTTTCCTGTCGGAAAATATTTTCCTGTCGGATGGAAGAACTTGGAATGCAAGAAAGACTTGACGAGGCAATTTACCTCATTGAACTTAACGACTGCGTAAAAGACTACTTGCGCAAGGTAATGAAGCCCAAGGTCAAGTTCATCACTATTTCTGGAAGGTCTACACTTCAGCTCGAGACTTCGACTGGAATTCCAATTCAAATACCAGACGGGACAGCCTACGATGGCATAAAGGACGCCAAAAGAGAAGCTCTTGTTAAGTTCCTAAACAAACGTCCTTGGATAAAAATACCAAACAGGAGAACCCCTACCCCATATGAAATTGGCAATTCAGTCTCTCCTTCACTTCTCTGGTCAGCCGTTCTACATAACCTGTGAAGGCGACATTCAGCCAGTTCAGTAAACATCTCATTTTAACTCACTTTTTTTATGTTTTTACTCACACTCGTACTCACCAGGTATGAGTACAACTATTTCAACTGTGAACCTTGTAGTGACCGGTCTTCCTGCAAATGCAAGTTCGGTCAATACACAGTTTATGGTGGCAAGAAAGACAGTGGGGAATGTTATTCTGACATCTGTTGTTGCGCTCGAGAGAGAATTGAAATTCCAGACCCAACTCCAACAAGAACTCTCAAGTTGCCAAAGACTCATGTGAAGAAGAAGCCTTCTGGTAAGTTTCTTATAGCCATATACATGGCACGTTTAGAGTAAAAACATTTTTTTCATTTTTTGAATGAAGCAAGTTAAATTCGTCCCACACCAAACTCAATGGACCGATGAAGAGTTTCAAGCTATGGTTGAAGGTGTTGAGAACGACATAGACGGCGAACTTGAAGGAGCTCAAACCACAATTGCAACCAAAATTGCACAAGTCAAGAACAGATAGCTCCACTTAAAGCTACCAAAGCTACTCTTGACCTCATGGATACTTACCGTTTAGAGTAAAGAGTGGAATAAGACAATTAAAATTGAAACTTCTAAACTACGAAGCTATACTCCAAAAGTTAGCAGAAATGAGAAGACTTTACCAGAGCTACTTACATGTAAGGGACTTACCTTCAAGCAGTCCGACCAAAGATGAATTTTCTGACATTGTCCCAATTTTGTCCGAAAGTCAGCTCAGATGTTTTGAACTGCTCCCAACATATCCAGAATATGAAAATTTGCCTGAACTCTTTCGGTTCCTCAAAAAACGTTTTTTGGTTCTCATGTTCGAAACTTTTATCGGAAGAGACAACAAACGTTCAGAAGAAGAGCAAGATATTATTTTAAACTTGTTGTATGACTTAACTGTCATAACCAGCTTTTTGAAGTAAAACCGTCATTCTCAAACCACTTCATTTTTTCGATGTCCGAACAAGCACCGAAGCCGAACACAATGGCAGATGTCCTTTCAAGGTTGCCAGACAAGCGCCCAATTCAAATTCAAATTGCCCAATTGAAAGCTCATCTGACAAACACCATTAAGACTCTCCAAAGTAGTCTTATGACAGAGATGACCAATCTCAAAGCCGATGTCCTCATGAACCAAGCTTCCAATGAGAAATGCCTGAACGATTTCACGGAAACCTTGCGCAATTACGAGAGAGAGAACCGAGACCTTGCCAGACTCATCTACTGTTTCTTCGAAGAGATAGACGCCATCTGGAAGGTACTCGGAAAGGACAGAACATGCAACACCGTACTTCGTGAGTACCAAATTGAAGAAGGAATTGTCGAGGAAGAAGAGGAAGAAGAGGAAGAAGAGAAACACGAAGAAGTTCCTGAAGCCGCTACATGGGCAACCCTTGTTGCCGATGACGGTTACGAAATTTCCCAACCCTACCCATACCAAATCCGCAACAAGGAGACAGGCAAGGTTCTTACCCCAGTCCTCAACAACTTGGGACACTTGAACCTTAACCTTCGGAATCGCGGTTCAATCTCCATGGGCAAGCTTGTCGCAATTCAATGGGTTCCAAATCCAGACAAGAAGACGAAGGTCAGACACATTGACGGTGACAAGCTCAACAACCGTAAGGAGAACCTCGAGTGGTTCTAAGAGTAAAAAATTTATTTTAGGGGGAAAACCCAAGTAAATTTAAGTTTTTATTTTTGGTATTCGTACCAATTTTGGAATGTGAAGACCACATCCCAACCTCTGTACGTGAGTCTTGGGTCCACGTCTAAGACCCTTCTGTAGCAATTCCAAGCCCGAGCAAATTCAATTGTCAACCACTCGTCTCCTCTGTAGTCTTCAATCCATTCTTTGAAGAGACGGTCGAGTTCGGGCTTGGAATATCTCTTGCCTGGGTCCGAGACCAACATTTGGTTGAACTGGACGAAGCGCTCAGGGATGTACGCCATTTAAAAAATGTCACTTTTTTAAAAATAAATTTTTTATTTCATGCAATGTTTAACTATTTCACCATCTTCTTTAACACCCCAGTACTTACGCTTGGAGAGGACATGAACTTCGGTGAAAATTTTGTCCAATTTGAATTGACCCATCTTTTCACCGACCATTCCCATTTCAATGAGTTTGTTGTATCCTTCTTCGTTCGTCATGAGTGCGTCAATGTTCTCATAGTAAACCTTGACTTTGGATTTGACTTCGGAGAAGAATTTGTTGTACTCGTCAAGGACTGCTTTTGCGAACTGAGGGTAAGACCAATGTTCGACAATAGGTTTTAATGTGGTTACTAAGCCACTTTGACCTTGAGTGAATTCGTACTTCAAAACAAAAGGAGAAAACCTTTCAACAAAGTTGTCGACCTTCTCATAATGTTTACTCTTCATCTCTTGAGGTTTCTTAATGGAATATCCCCATGTCGAATTCATAAGCAATTTGAGTGTCATTGCAAGTTTGGGGTTTGAAGCTTTCCTAATATCATACAGTTGTTGTATGACTTTTCCAACTGTATAGTTCCTTCCCGGGAACTCACCATCTTCGTTTGGAATTCCAGTCGGAATATATTGGACAAACCTCATGTATGCAGCGTTAAGGTCGACATAGTATATCTTTTCATCTGAGTCGAACTTGTCGCAACCAATTGGTCCAGTTTGTGGAAATTCAAGTGAGTCTCTTATCTTCTGAGAAACTTCTCCTGTTATCTCATAAACATCGTCGAAGCAACCTGTTTCATATAAAACCTTCTGACCTAACTCAGATGCTCTCCAATACAATTTGACGTCAATTGGATGTCTCAATGGAAGTTTGTTTATAGCATCTTGAAGTTCTTGCAACCTCATTGGAAGTTCTTCTGGTTCAGGTTGGTATCCGAACATACCAACCCCTTGTGGAACTGTGTACTTCTTTTGTACTAGAACTTTGTCTGGAACAACTTTTGGTCTTGCTAACAATGAAAAGTTTGTTTCGTCTTTTGGTACAAAAGTTTCTGTCAGCTTGTCATCTGGAATTGGTTCCAACAAACCTTTCTCGAAAAGAATGTTTACAGCTCTGACAATGTTGCACTTACTTTTACCAAAGAATGGGTTTGTAAGACTTTCGTTCAACATGAAGTGGTTGTGGACAATTACAATCTTCAACCATGGTAAGTCTTTGTCAACAACATAGTCGTCATGTGAAGAACCTTTAGCTGTAGGTATGTTGACTCGGATATTGACATTTGCCAACGGTGCAATTTTTGCCAATTGACCTCTGAGAATGTACCTTGTCTTCACACATGACTCAAGATACTTCATCTTCTCATCTGTAACAAGACCAGAGTTCCTGAGACATGTAAGAATGCAAGGTTCGTTGACAATTGTTTCAATTGAATTGTAAATTCCATACCTTGTCAAGTCAATGTCAGACTTATTTATGAACGGGAAGTATCCAGCATGTTGTCTGACTGCTTGAGGGTTAGGTTGGTACCATTCGAACTTGACACTTGCAATTCCTTCAATTGCATTCAAAATGTCTGAGTCGGAGTCAACCATTTGTTCTCTCTTTGTAGTCTTGAAAGCGTCAAGAAGTTTTGCGGCTGTTTGTTCATTGCCATGTGCATAGTAAATGTGACCATCCAAATCTGTTATGGTCAATCTGAGATTGTGTCCTTTCTTATTTCCGTCTTGAATTGCAGCAAGTACTCCCATGAAGCCTTCTTTGTTCTTTCCTTCGTCAAAGTTTACTGTAAAGGTTCGACCAGATGTAATTTGACTTCTAACTTCACGATACTTTTCATATGCATATCTTGTTCTTTCCATGGGAGCATGTGCGTCTTCACCTTTTCCTTTTTTCCTTCTCAAAGGATGCAATTGTTCGTCATGTTTCCAGTAGAATCTGGCAAAGCCGTCGTGTCCTTCAACTTGAGGTTCACTAACATCGAAAGGCATGTCCATAAGACGTTCTTCTTCTAACCTCTCTAGTCTGTTTGGATAATTGGCACGTGCTGTTTCCAAATCTAATTCGTAGCGAAGACCAGACAATTTGTCATAGACTTTTATGGGTCTTCCCTTCCTATATTTAAATTCTTCGAAACTCTCCAACCATATCTTTGTAACTCTGCTTTTATTCTAGCAGACTTTCTGTCCATTCTATATGGGGGCATTTTTATAAAAATAAAAAAATATTTTTTCTTTACTTTACATAACCGCCTGCTGCCATAAGTCTTTGACGCCAACCCATACCAGCTAATGAAGGTTGACTTGGTTTAGTTTGGAAACTAAACTTTGGTTTTGGTTTATCATCAGTTTTTGGTTTTTCTTCTTCTATCTGTTTTTCGTCACTTTTCGGTTCCTCTGACTTTACTTCACTTGCAGGAACAGTTGTGTCGTCAACATCTTCATAAATATCATATGCCATTTGTTTTTGTTTTCCTTTCAACTTTTTGTGTTTGTTGTAAAGTTTAGAATATTTCGACTCTAAGTCAATGAGATGTTCTATAATGAACTGTTGGTCAGTGAAGTAAACTTTTCCATCTGTTGTCTCGAAAGCTCCTTCAGACTTCAATATTTTATTTGTGAGAGTCTGTTTCTTTTTTGAGATACTAGCCGTTCCATTTCTATGAAAAGTGACTTTATAGTTAGGGTTTGTATTTTCAGACCTGGCACTTTCTATTATTGAATTTTTCTCTTCATCTGTAAGTTCTTTGACAGGTTTTGACAATGGTTCTGAACTTTTTGTTTGTGGTGTCAAATCTACCGTTTCAACTTCTTCGGTCATTTCATCTCAGTAAAAAATTTTAGTTTGGTTTGTTTTCAACTGGTTGTTGTTGTGGAGGTGGGATGGTTCCTTTAATAATATCATTCAGTTTCACATGCTGAGCCTGACTATATGGTATCGGTTTAAATGCTGGAAGCCGACAAATCCATCTTGAACTCATTTGTCTCAATGCTGCATTGTTCATTTCATCTCAATAAAAAGCTTTACATTCCCCACGTTTGAGGTGGTTGCGGTTGGTTATTGTTTACACACTGTTGTGCATGGTTATATCCTCTGTTAAAGAATCTTTCACCTTGGTCCATATAGTGTCAGATATATATTAAAAACTATCTGCGTTCAAAAAATGTAAACCAATATTTCATTGTCGACCAAAACCATTCTGCTCTTGGTGTCATTGACGGATGTATAAAAATGTTAAGAGACTTAAACCAACCACAAGGTGGTGAAGCAAATGAAATGTCATATGACGACAAGTATAGACACTTCTCCCAGGCAAAGATGAGACAAGTTTTAAATATTTACAATAACCGTAAACAAAAAGGTTTGGGAAACCACTCCCCCGAAGAAATGAAAAACAACCCTGACTTAGAGAAAGACTATATATTTAATAATTTAGTCAAAAGAGACAAACAAGAAAGAATGCCGGGCTTCAAACTTCAGAAAGGTGACAAAGTAAAAATAGAAATACCTAAACGCGACACATATGAAAATACTATTGACTATGACAACAATGGGAACCCGACAGGTACTCACATTCGTGTTCGTAAAAATAGAAGAAAGTATACAAGAGAATATTATGAAGTTTTAGGCAAACATGGCAAAATGTACACACTGCAAGCAGAAGATAAAACTACTATTGTCAGACCTCGTTTCAAACTTGTCAAAGTTCAAGGTGGTATACTTTCAAAGACAGTTCCTAACAAATATAAGACAACTCCTGACGAATATGCTAAAGAAGTTGAAAATGACGACTAAGCAATTCTATACCATGCGTAAACTGTCATGTAAGGTGGCATGTATTCTTTACTTTGTCCCGTTGTTTGCGTATATCCTGAAACGAAATGTGTATGGTTTCCTTCTCCCTGCGTGTCGTTCCAGTAACAATTTATAGCAAACTTAACGTCGTCTTTAACATCATATCCTTTACCTTTTGTCATTCCTGACCAATCCCAATATCTATGCTTATGCCAACCTGCTTGAGATGTACTTAAATCTATGTAATGACTGTGTGCAGGTAAATTTTCACCTGAAATCGTTTTACTTCCACCTGTTTCCTTTGAAGAGTTTGCACAATACAAAAAACTGTCGACTATTTGTTCCCATGCACCAACACCAAACATTACTTGAGGACCTCTTGCATCCATAGATGTATAAATAGAACCTACTGGGTTCATTAAATCAAACATATGAGATATTATAGGATTGTCTTTTTTGAACTTAAAATATAGTGCAGCTATTTCAGGTTTCTTCTGGTTTGTGTCAGAATATTTTTTATAATATAATCTTATGTTTTCAGGGTAGGTAAAATCTTGACTATAATATTTATTTCTGTCATCTGTATAATAATATACTATTCTCGTTTTTTCTATTGCATTATATCTTTTATATCTATAATAATCTAAATATAATGTTAGCTTTTGTTCATCTACATGTGGTGTTCTGTCGTCATCTCCATAGTCATAATAATGTGGTGCCGGAGCTGGGTCAGGCAATGTCATATCTGCCATTTCATAAACTCTTAAATATTTCTTTTGTTCGTCTCCATATAAGTTTAAGTAGCAGTTGTTGTCTAATGGAACTTTAACTTGTGTACCATCATTCTTTTTATAGCTTACATACATTTCATTGTTATTTTTCGGAATGAGTTTATGCCGTGTACCATTTTTTAAGGACTGTACCAACTGCCATCTAAAATATTTATTTTCTTCATTGACAGAAAAGTCACCAACAATAGTTTCAATATTTTTTGTTCCTATCAAACTTTGGTATATTTCATTGACATATGTTTTATCTGCTTTCTTTTCAAGGCTAACGTTTAAATCTGTTATTTCAGAAGATGTATGTGTATGTCCAACGGCACTTTTCCTGTTTAAGGTTTCTTGTAAGTTTGTAATATCAGATATAGAATGTGTATGTCCAACGGCACTTTTCCTGTTTAAGGTTTCTTGTAAGTTTGTAATATCAGATATAGAATGTGTATGAGTCTTATCTGCTTTTGTCTCTAATGTTTCCTTAAGACTTGGTATTTGGTTAATATAATGTATATGAGTCTTTTTAGAATATTCGTTTTCAGCTCTTGTCACTTCACTTGACATTTTATTGTCAACATATGTTTTGTCTGCTAGTTCAGGATGAGTATGTTCTTTTGTTGCATAAGCATTGTTAGCTCTTTCTTCTTCTTTTGCTATTGCATCGTCTACATATTCTTTGTCAGCTTTGTTGTCAACATCTGCTTTCAAAAGAAGTTCATTTATAGGTTTCTCGTTTAAAGTTCCTTTTGTTGGATTTATACAGACAGTATTGTTCTTGTTGTCTTGAAATAGAAACTCATCTGTCATTGGGTTTATTGTCAGTTTTAAGTCACCCCCTTTCAATGACTCAGATATCTTAGAATAGTTTGAAAAGTTTGTTGTGTTCTTATTTAGAGCTTGCATAATGAGTTGTCGGTTGTGTTGTATTTCTCTCATAGACGCTGTTTCATTTGACATTTTTATTATAGATAAAATATGCTTCCAATAGAAAAAGAAAATTCTAGAGTTGCTACAACTAAACCATTAGATGAACTTTTTAATAATGTCGGTCAAAAGTTTGAGACAGATACCGTAAAGCATGAAGGCTATCGTTTTGACTACCCATTAAGATGGTTAAGAGACCCATCTGTCACAAAAGCTATTGGCTTTCGAAGAATAAAGTTTGTGTCTGTAGAAGATAAAAGTTTTCCATTTATTGTAAGGTTTCATATAGATTATACATCTGAAGGGCAACAAAAAATGTGGGAAGAAATTGAGCTAATACAAGTTGACCTCTCATCTTCTTTACAGGCTGCATTAAAAAATATAGAAGATAAAATAAATTCATGTTATGCAAAATATGCTGATGAATATGCGAATACCGATAGCACACTTTATGTGAGAATTGTATATGACAAACAAAATTCACAAGTGTCATTTCAAATCTACGAAGACAATCCAAATAAAGACGAACAAATATATACAGAATTCACTGCAATGTCATGGTATTATTTGCAAAGAATGTTAAATCAGAAAGTTGAACCTCCTTTAGCAAATATCTACAGTCGATATGCAAGAGATGAACCATATTTATTTAAAGATGTTTTCGACCCAGATGCTATTATTGTTCATGCTTCATTTTCTGGCGCCCAAAACTCTTTCTTATGCTTGGCAAATGACTTTTACGAAAAACCTACAAAGTTATACGAACCACCAAGTGGAAGTATTTCAGACTTTCAAGTATGGTTTACTACAGATGGAAGAAAAAGAATAATTCCATTATACCATGCGTTTTACTTAGAACTTAGTTTCATATACAACTACTATCGAACGATAAAAATATAATTTTTTAATATGGTTGAGGTATTGGATTTGGTTGCCAACTAGACTGTGGTGCAGGTTCAGGCTGTTGTATAACAGGAGCTTGCTCTTCTGGTTCAGGGTCTTTAGGTATAATACCAACGAACTGACCTACTCTTTTACCAATATTTTTGACACCGTTCCATACTCCTCTTCCGACAGATTTTATTCCATTCCATATACCTCTTCCAACATTTCGAAAGAAGTTTCCTATTTTACTGAAGAAACCCATTTTACTATATGTAAAAATCTAATGTCCGCCAAGTCTTTTACGTTTCCTGTTGAGTTCCATAGCATTCTTTAACTGGAGCTCATACATTCTGTTTCTCCTCTGGTAGAAAACATATTCTGGGTCAACTCCTGTGTTCGTGTCATCTGCATAAAGTTGTTTATATCCCACTTCAGGGTTTGTATAAAACTCTTTCTATCTCATATTTGCATACCATGGTGGCAAACCTAACGCAGCGTCATTTGACATGGCAGTTTGCATTTGTACATCTGTTGGCACCTGACCATAGTTTGCCATTGCAGTTTGTATTCTAACTTCATTTGGAATATTCTCTGGGTTTGGTTGTCCAGGTTGCTGTGCATTCGCTAAGTTCTGTGCGTCCATTTAATATTAGATAAAAATATCTCTTACGAGTACATATGCTGAACATTTGCAGGCATTGGTTCATCTTCATATTCTCTGTACTTTTCTGCCACGTCAAATAAATAAATGACACAATGGAAAAAACCTAAAACAAGTAGTCCTATTTCAAACCACATTTACTTACTAATAAAATTTCTTTATTGTGACACTTTCTCCAGTTTATAGGACCTCTCTCATACTCTATCTTGTCATATCTAAACTCATAGTCGTTTATATCTTCTAGCCATTTCATGACACTTTCTAAACCACTTTTATCGGATGTAAAGTAAAAGCATGGATGGTTATGTATAACGTCTAAAGTTTCTAAAGAGTCTCTCAAAGTCCAGTCTACTTGGTATTGAAAATCCCATGTGTTATAGAACGGCGGGTCCACTATAAAGAAAACATTTTCCTTGTCTTTATATTTTTCATACAACTCTGTCCAATGACATCTCACAAACTCTATACCCTCAATATATTTTTCTATGTCCTCTTTGAAAACATTTGTATAGTTGAGATATAAAACTTTTGACATAAGTGTTTCAATGTCATGAACTCTTATAGCACCACTATATAATAGTCTAGCAGATATACTATCCCAGTCTATATATTCTGCTTTTTTCAAAACCTCTCTCACAATATTTTTCTTATCTAATGGTATACGTTCCATCTTACCTATAGGTATCTTTTCTTTTAACTCTTTCAATATATTGTTTGTGTCTGGAATATGTTTGAGACGGTCCATATAGTTGTCGAAGTCATTGCATATAATCTTTGAGTCTGGGAATATTGTATGGCACAAATGGGATATATAGAAACTTCCACCGAACAAATCTACAAATGTTAGACCATTCGGTAGTTTCTTAAGTTCTCTCAATATAATATCTTTACATCTACTCTTATTTCCAAAGAACGGTAACGGCGGTTTTGTAAAATTCATTTATATATAATAATAAAAATGTTTTACCCGAAAAGTGACAGAAAAGTGACAAAACATGAAAACATATATAATTTGTGAAAAGCGACACAAAAAGTGACATTTAAAAAAGTGACACCATTAATATGATGTAAATAACAACAGTTTTGGTTTTGTCACCGGCTGGTCGGCTGGGATTCGGTCCTCCTCTTGGGTCTTGTGCAAAATTTCTTATGGGCTAGAGGGCGCAACGCGCCTGGAAGCCCCACTCACCTGACCTAAATATATTAATAATTTTCTGTTCCTAAGTATTCAAAAATAACAATGTGATTTGGCGCCCTTAAAAGCATTGTGGTAGGGTCCACTGATCATCTCATAATATAGCAAGTGATGGTAAAGTATAAAATGTGATATATGTTCCATTTTTCTATCAGAAAAAATTCCCTTCAAAATTGCACATTCAATTTCGATTTAAATAATTAAATGAAATATGATGTTTCTTTGATATTTCCATTGAGTATGTCTTTGCGAACATATTCCTGATTTCCTTAAGTGTTCAAGCATTTACCCTCTCAAATTCGACGTCTTAATTTGAGAGGAATTGAGAAGGTCTCTTAAAAAACTGTTATAGTGGGGTTTTCAGACCGCTTTTTCCTTTACACTTATCCTGCTTTAAGTGCATAAGATGGTTTTATGATGTTTTAACATCATATATTGCAGCAGAAGTTAAGGAATATTGCAAAACTTTCGTATAAAAAAAAAGCATAAAAAAGCTGAAATTTCAAAAAATTAGTAAAATGATTAACCATAATATAATGATACTATCCTGCTTAAGCTATTTTAACTGTTGGTAGACTATTCAAATTTCATTTTACGCCTCTCAAAAATATATAGTGCTACACAATTTCAATATTTCGGAAATCTATCAAAAAATAAACATTGAAATTTTTATTTGATATATGGGATATAATATATATGAGCAGTTGGTTCTTTTGAATGCCCGGCCATACAGTCTCTATTCAATTTTCTGATATCAATTGAAAAAAATTTGAAATACAATTGAATTATATGTTGTTTCAAAAAATTCATTCAAACAAATGGATGCTACAGATTGCGAGGTCATGCAAGTTGAAGGACTTGCATACAAGCGTATCATTACTTCAACAAAATATGGAAAGGTATTCCTTGTCGAATGGCTTAAGTACAATCAGATGTTTTCTCTTCAAAAGATCGAACGTTCACATTACGAACAAAATGCTATTAATATCATTCGTAACTTATATCACTTCAATGTTATTAAAGTCTACAAGACTTACATGCGCGAAAAATTTGTTTATTTATTAATGGATTACTGTCCATTTGATGTTAAGCGCTATATTGAGGAAAGAGGAATTCTCTCAGAATCACGCTTTGCTGAAGCTGCTTATTACATGATTCAAAGCATTCGTTCAATGCACTCAAAAAGAATTTGTCATAACAGCATCAGACCATCAAAGTTCCTTGTTGATAAATATGGCAGAGTACAGATTAGCAAATTCAATCATGCTGTCCAATACAAGAATACAGAAGAAAAAGAATTTAAGCACGCGAAATCTGTTGATGTTTGGGGTCTTGGTGTTACATTCTACTTTATGCTTACTGGTCGCCTTATTACAGATCTCTATTTTGATGAAGAGATTGCAATGACAAAAGTTTTTTCTCATATTATCTTCCCATCAAATGTTTCCAATGAATGCATTCATCTCATCACAGCATGCTTAAATAATAACGAAAAGTCAAGAGCATCTTTAGATAATCTTCTTGAAAGTCCTCTTTTCCAACCATTCCGCCCAACTAAGATTGGACCAACAAAACAGCCATCATTTTCAGCTAATAACTCAATGCGCTCGATTCCAATCATTGTTAAGCCAGTTCTCACAAGGCTTGTTTCAGTTGCGAATTGAAACATTTTAATACTATATTACGGATTTGTTTGTTATTTGTGTATAAATATATTGCGTCTTATATATCTAATTATGTATTTAAACCTCTTTGTATTCATATTTGAATACTCATTGTTTTGCAAATATATATCAAAAAATGTATCTGACTTAATAAACTGATTAACCATTTGGATGATATATAAAATCATAGTGTGAAACATTAAACCCTCAATATTTAAAATAAAAAAATCTATAAAATATGAATATAGAACTCAATCTCCAAGAGATATATTAAAAATTCACATGTGAAGTCATAATCATTGCTGTCCAGAAAGCGAAATGATGTTATAATAGTAAGAAATATCCAATTTTAGTCATTATCATTAATGCTTCCAGATGCAGAATAGCATCTTTGTTTAAAATAGCTTTGTAAATATATTATTCAACTTTTTTGAGATCTGAATTATATAAAACATGACTTGATTCAAAATTGAATCAAAATAATATCAAATTGGTGTATTTTGCCGGCTGTGAACAAAGTAATGTTAGGCTGACTTCGTGATTGAAGCAATAAGATCGCGGATAATGTCAAACAAAAATAAATAGATATGTCACTTTTTCGAAGGGAAAGTTTATTTCATCTGATGAATTTTATTAAAGAATTTCTTGCACAAAGCAACAGTTCAGCAGATGTTGATTTTAGCTTTCAACCAGGAAAGTCTATTCCATCAAAATGCGTAATTCAGTTTGTTTTTCTTGTTATAACTCACAATAAAAAGACGCAACTTGCATTTCTTCCGGATTACGTTCCAGCACTTCAGAAAGGTAAATTAGAAAAGAAATCTCTTATGTTTACTCCAGCAGGAACTAATGTTCAATCATTTACTTTAACAAGTGTCGATGATCATCTTTTAATTTTATGGCTCAACTTTACAGTTAATGCAAAGCCTCTTCTTGATGAAATGATAAAAATTATCGATAACCAAAAGATAGAAACTAAAATAAACGCTTTAATCGTTGATAAAAACAATGAAAAGCCAGTACAATGTGAAATAGTTTTAAATCATGATCTCATTTCTTACACTCCCCTTAATGGCGGAAAAATCACTACTTCATATCAAATCACAAAGAAGTCTGTTTTCCTGCTTAACAAATTTGAAGAGGATCCTTATATCCTTGTGAAAGAATGTGACAACACATCTCAGTTCAAAATCATTCTCCCTGACATCGAATTCTTGAAACATTGGTTTTTATCGTTAATTGCTATCAGACAGATAACAATTAATAACGAGAAGAAAGCTCTTTCCAACTTAAAACGGTCATTGCAGCAAACGGAAGTAACTGCTCCAAAGATTCCGATCAAAATTGAGCAACCTCAGCCAGAAATCAAGAAAGAACCGAGTATCGATACCCTCAAAGAGGCTGAACAAAAGAAGGAAGCGATTATGCAGAAATATAAGCAGGAAGCCGAAGATTTGAAACAAAATTTGCAACAAAAATTGGCAAATTACAAGAGAAGCTTCCCGAAACCGAAGAAAGAAGAAGAACCCGAACTTGACGCCATAGATTTATCAAAATACGAACGTCCGAAACTCGAGAAACCTCCAAGAAAAGAAGTTATTCATAAAAGAAAACCATTAGACGAAGAACAACTTCAGAACTTGGCCATGGAGAGACTTAACAGTCCAGAAATATATTTCAGTAGGTTCTCACCAAGTTTGAACCTCCAAAAAGTTGAAATTCCGGATATAAGTTATAATCCAAACACAGAAGTTTCATTTGAAGAGTCATACATCAACGCAGACCCAACTACAGCCTTCTTATTGGTATGTGCCGTTGTTTATAACTCGTTTATCGGTGAAAGTTTGTCAGATTTCTTCAAAGTCCCAAGAATTCCAGGTGAAACTATGCAAAGCGAGGCAGCAAAGATCGTAACTACCTTAGATAACGACGTTTTTCGGGTACTACTTGAAAACAAAGGCATAGATGACGTATATCTCCCATCAAGTTTCGCAAGAGATACAGAACTAATCATTAGAATGCAATCAATGAAGAAAGAACTTGCTAACCCAGGAGAATTTCCATCTCCAGCGCCATTTACTTTTTCTCATCGACCACTTCAGTCAATTGTTTTCTGGTTCTTCGACGCGAATTACCTACATTCGCTCAGCAAATTGTCCGCATCGACAGCAATTGCTGATCTTTCGAAGAATCTCCTTAGTTATTTCAAACATTATTTATTAACTGACAAAGTATCCACTATTTTACGAGAAGTCGCCGTAAAAATCGGTCCTGCTGCAATGCTGAGTGGCTCTTGGAACGGAGTAAGAAATATTGTCGCAACAGATTGCGATGATTCTGTCGTTGTCTATAAATTCTGGGCAGAATCGTATAAGGAAGGCAAACTTTCTGCTAATTTCATCCAAATATTCCAATACAAGGATATTCTGGAAAAATTCTATGATCCATGTTCGCATGTTCGTTGCGGATCGATAGCTTCTCAGATAGCAGGTTACCTTCAAGCGTTTGAAAAGTTTGAATTACCAATTAATTTTGAAATTTCAAATGAAAACGAAAAAGGAATATTACGACTTGAAAATCTTTTCAGATTAGTTCGCAACTGATAATATTAAAATATGTTTTGTTTTTATTTTTCAATATTATATATTTTTCAAAAATATAGCATTAAATATGAAATGCTCGGGATCTTTGGTCCCCTTCTGATAAGAGTATAACAACATCTTATAGATATGATTTAATGCAAAATCATATCTAATTTTTTTCACGTATTATGCATATCAACACTGAATTTAATTGATGAAAGTTCACATGTGTTGAAACACGTCTAAAAGAAATCAGAATTGATGGTTTGTCAATTTGACATAAATCCGAGTCATAGGATGGGGGAAAAAAATTGGCAGATCATTTGTAAATAATCGAATGTAAACGAACCCATAGGGGAAAATAAAATGAGCATAAATAGACTTCTGAATTGCAGATTATGGGAATACTCCAATTTGAAGAAGAACACAGGTAGTTTAAATATCCGTTGGATAAAACATATACCGGGTGGCTTGATAATTAAGCATTACCATAACTAATTGATGTAAATTAAAAATATACAATTAGAAATTTCCAATATTGAGAATTAGAATTAAATTGCTCATTTGAAGCATGAAATTTGAATATTGCTATTGTAAAGATTGGTGTGGTATAATATACCATTTTACATTGACTTTTGATGGTATAAATGAGAGTTAAACAATACAGTGTAAAAAATCAATTCCATTTTGGCAAACTGTCATAACTTATTAAAACTTGCCATATATTTAGTTTTGTATGAAATATAAGAGAGTATTTCTTTAGTAAAATGGATGGGATTTTTTAATTGTATTCAAAAAATAAAGTTTTGAAAAAATTGAATTTTCAATATAAACACGCCCATCTAATTAAAATAACAACAAGACCGTTGGCGCTCCAAGGATACATTTAGATTAGCATGTATAAAGTGGGAGAAACTACAATAGGCTTCTAACAAATAAGATTAAAAAATGAAAATACTACGTATTTGGCCACAAATTTATCGATTTAATTTTATGTTGTTTGATTCAGAACTAAATTGATTGAGAGAATAGATAAAAGACCTGTATCATTAAATCAATTTGAGAGACTTTTTATAATATTTAATGAATTGGAGTAAGTTTTGATAAACGAGAATATTTGTATTCATTGGAAAAAAAATGCGACTTCTTTTTTTTGAAAATCAAAATTACAAGATTATATTTGTTAACTCGAGAGCGAAAAAATTCTTTTCATTGGATATAGTTTAAGGAAAATGCGTTTTCAACTCATGAATTCTACGAATAAAAATTCTGAGCGAAAAAATCATCAAAAATCATTTTTGGAGAATAAAAACACTATTATTTACTATGATATCTGATTAAATATAATATTTTTGCAGCGTTTGGTAGACAAACCGATTAAACGCTAACAATTGAGATAAATTGATCACCATATTCAAAAGTTATAAAGTTAAAAATATTATTAACGATTGATTTTTGTTAATATCAGATATAAAAATTTAATAAAAACTCCTAATTCAAATTGAAAGTCTCAACACATTTTTCAATGCTCGATTTTTAAAAACAGTTTAAAAATGGAGCTTATATTGAAATAGTGTAGAGACTAAGAATTATCACAGACTATTTCAGAGGATTGAGTTGACACTTAATCCTCTGAAAAGTCTGAGGTAATTCGAAAAATTTAGAAAATTATCAAATTATTTTTTGCAAAAGACTGTAATAATTTGGTATTTAATAATATTTATCAGTTTTTGAAATGAATTACAAAAAGAAAATTAATTGAATGCTTCTAAACTCTTTGAGAATTTGCCCAATGCTCATGTAATTAGTAAGATTATATTGAAAAATCATTTCCATTATTTGTCAAAATCTAGTTTTTGAAATTCACTTTTTTAAATCTTCAAATGATGAATATTTTACCCAAAGAATCAAACTCTTTTAATATAATCGGTTATAGTAAATGGTTCAGTGACTCGAAACTAGTTGCTGATTCGACAGATATGCAAAGCGAAGAAGAAGAAGATTATAATGATACTATTCAAATCGCAGCTTGTAATAATTCAGAAGATATACCTGTAATTTACGAAAAGAAGATATTTGGAGAGTATATGAGACAAGAAAATATTCATCAAATCAAGAATAACGCCAATTTAGATCATCAAAATTCAATTTCCGAACTTGATCGCGATATGGTTATAAACTGGCTTTTACTTACATCGATATCGGAATCATTGTCGCATCATACAATCGCTCTTGCTGTGAAGATTTTTGATTACGTAATTCAGGTTATTCCGTTAGATCGCAGCGAACTCAAAATTTATGCGGCTACATCAATGCTTATGGCCAGTAAGTTAGAGGAAGAAGATTCAACAGTTATTTGCGAACGACTTTGCTCATTATTAGTGATACCGACAAAAAATTTGTTAGTCAAAACAGAGTTAAAAATACTTCATATCCTTGACTACGACCTTAGGTTTATTACCCCATTTATGTACATAGAACATTTTATAGCACATCACACTTCCCCGCGAAATAATGATCTCATTTTGAAACTCAAGCAGCTCTCAAAAGCAATAACTTATGCATCTATTTTATCATATTCATCGACCCAGTTTACAAGTTATGAAATAGCAAAAAACATTTTTGAATTATGTCTTTATTATACTCATATTCATCATTATAGACCAGATAATGAATGCTGTAGGCATATACTTAATGCATTATCTACCGCTTTTGATGAAACTGGGTCTTTAAGATCAATTTTCCCTTATTTAGTTCCTATCTTTAATTAATTTGTTAGTTCTAAACATGTTGTTTGTTGATTTATGATTAACTGTGCGATCGTTTTTCAAATTAAGGTTTAATATCGATTTTACCTTACGATGAGGAAATTTTATTTCTCAAAATTATAAAGTATTCAAAAATTTGAGAAAATTTACTACTATTCATTCAATTTTGTTAAATTCTGATAATTTGACTAAATTTTGGCGCGGTGAAGTTATGTGCATCTATAATGCTCACTACATGAATGCTATAATTAAAAAAAAAGTAGTGGGGCTTCCAGGCGCGTTGCGCCCTCTAGCCCCGAAGATGTTTAGTATAAATGAAGTTTTTATTCGGAGGGCTTCCGGGCGCGTTGCGCCCTCTAGCCCCGAAGATGTTTAGTATAAATGAAGTTTTTATTCGGAAAATTGTTAGTCTTCTGGTGTGAATTCGGCAATTCTCGTGTCGAATGACCGTTGGATGTAACGAGGAAGATTTTGACGAACTTGGTATAAAGTTCTCAACATTATAAAGGATGTGGCGAGTGGGGCTTCCATTAGATAAAAATGAACTGACCAAAAAAGACAGATATTTAAATATTTGAGATAAACCGTTTTCGTCAACGGTAACTATTAAATAAAATAAAAAAATAGAGGGGGTTACCGTTGGAAAAACGGTTTATCTCAAATATTGAATGAACTATAAACGTTTTTTGTTTTCTATATATACTTTTTTGTCCAACGGTAAAACTTTTTACACAACGGTTTTTGAGAGTCGTCGCCGTTGACTTTTTTGTAGAGCACTCAAAATAGTATAACTTTGTCCGGACAAGTAAGGGTCTATCATCGCTACAGGAAAAGTTAGAGGCGTTCCAAGGAAGTATACTTTGAGAAGCCTTTTCCCCCTTATAGAATGAGATAAGACGGTTATTTTACAAAACTGGCAACACTTTGACCGAGTAGTTTTTTGTGCTGAACAAAAAGTGTCATATAAACATCTGTCAAAAACCGCTTTTTAACTTCACTTAAAATGCCACGTAAGCTACGTAAGAATATACGTAAGAGGAAGGGAGCATTGAAACATCCAATAGTAAAACTGACACCACAACAACAGTTGCAACAACAAATGATGAATGACCCACTATGTTGCAACAAATGTCAAGCAACCCTATGCTTTTAAACCGAGTTATTGGTGCACAGAGTGGAGGTTTAAGAGTGGCACTTTTAGCGAAAATGGCAGGCTATGGTGGAGCTGCAGACGGAACAGCTTATAACCCTCAAAGTCAAATGAATTTGAGTTCACTCAAAAATCAAATAACAGATGTCAAAAAGTCAAACATAGACATACAGAAACAAATAAGTGAAAACGAAAAGAAACTAGAATATGACAGACAGACAAAGAAACTCAATGAGTTAAACGTAGAGAAAAAGAAGAAAGAAGAACAACTGAAAGAACTAAGTACAGAGGAATATGCGAAAAAAAGTGTCAGAAAAAGCAGCAGAAGTAGCAAAAATGGAACAAGATGTTATAAATTTGAAAAACCATACTACTCAATATAAAGTACTGAAGATGAAGAGATAAAACAAAAAGCCATGAAGACATATATGGATAGCGATGAGTATAAAAAAGAAGTTGAAGCAAATGTAAAGGCAGAAAAACTTTTACAGTTGCAAAACCAAACCGTACAGTATGAAAACTTAGCACAAGAAAGTAAAAATAACGACGCAGCCATGCAAAAGGCAATGAAAAGCGCAGAATATATAAAAGCTAATAATGACTGGTTAGATGCCCAAGCCAACGCTAAAGCAGCCCAACTTATAGGGTCAATAAGGACAAAAATACAAGCGGATGAAGACAGTTCAAATGAAGCTTTAATGAATGATGACTTTAAGAATGCCTTCGAAGCTCTTCATAGTAAGATGAAACTAGTGAACGACTTCTCATCTGGAAAGAAACTGAAGTCTGAAGGTTTCGACAAAGAGTTAAGAGAAGTAGCAGAAAATATGACGAAAATAACAGATGCAGCAACGAGACAGGCAGTTCAAAGTGCCTATGACGCCGTTAGAGCAGCTGTTGTGGAAAGTCAAGAAAAAGAGTTACAACAGACCAAAACAGACCTAGTAAATGCTTTCTTAAAAATGAAAAGTCAGGTAGGACATTATGCTGCAGATGGAACATATGTGCCAGCTGGTGGAACTTATATACCACCAAACCCTCCAAGAGAAGCACCTGCACCAGGACTACCTAAAACATTTACATCGTCACATGGACACAGACACAGGCATGCACCACAACAACAACCAACACAACAACCAACAGTTCAAAATCCAGCACAGCAACCAACAGTTCAAAACCCTGCACAGCAACCACAAACAGAGCAAAGACACAAAAGAAGTAGAGAAAAAGGAAACCAAGAATTCTTAAAAATGCTTAAGGAAGATTATGGTTACCCAGATACTCTTGACTTTAGTGACAGATATAAAGAAGCTATTAGAAAGTTCAAGGAAGGAAATACTGACCCGAACCTATTTAGCTTTATGGTTCAGCATCAAATGGGATATAATCTCAAACCTGGAAAATACAAGCTCGCAAAGGGATATGATTTAATAGCATATCATCCAAATGACATGAATGAATTTACTCCGAGATATTTGATGTCAGAGCTAAATGATAATTCAACTCTCTTCATGAAACACGTAAAAAATAGAGACGGAACGAAAGAAGAAAGGTTTATGAGTCCGGATGACTTAGATAGGGAACTTGTTAAAAACGGTCTCGGAATATATGAAATGCCACCAGATGAGGTACAAGAAACTCCACAGGAAGAAGTTCAGATACAACCAGACATGGAAGAAATAGTTCAGCAACAACAGCTAGAAGAGCCTGAAGGAAACGAACAAGTCCCTCCTTTGGAAACTAACTTCACAGAACTAGATGAAGATTTGGAACAGCCGAAAAATCTTGACCCTCAACAAGAGTATGAGGAGAATATGGAATCTTTCCAAGAGTCTAAGAAAAATTCGGCTGACATAGTAGAAGGATATCGAAAAATGTTCACCGACATACAAAAGACTCCAACATCAGATGAAAATATTCAGCATAGAATGGAAGTACTGAAAGAAAATGTACGCAAATACAATAATCCTTTTTTACTTACGACCATATATACGTTCAAGCTTTGGCTGAACTCGGTGAAAATAAAAGGTTAAATTTCAACAAAACATATAGAAATGAAACATTGTTTAAAGTTCATTCAGAACCTAACCAATATGGAAACAAAACCTACTTTTGTTTCTGCAGACTATGGAACTACAATGAAATGGGGTCATAAAGCTAATCCGGATAGGTGGTTCATAAACTTACAACCTCAATTCCAAGAAGTTGTAGACGCAATGGAATTGAATGGTGAACCAGATATAACTGGTATTTTCAGCGCGGCTTTAATGCATTGAAAGATATGAAAGATGCAGATATTTTGGACCGGTATGAAATGAACATGGCTGAGGGAAATATAACACCTGACGTTCTAGAACATTTATCTCAAAAAACTACACAGAACCATAGAGATGGTATATTTGGTGAAGAGTTTAGAAAGAAAGTTAGGGAGAGAGAAGGAAGAGAACCTATTGTACATGACCTTGCAAACGAAAGTTTGCAAAATGTCATAAAAACTTACTTTGCAGACAATGAACTGAGAAGGGATGAATATTTAAGAAAACTCAAATGGACAGTACCAAATGAAATGTTAGTATTGAAAAACATGTTCCATGATAAAATAAAACCAACTACAGAAATAAATGACGCAAGACTGAAACGTTGGGTAAAAGCTTTCCCATTCACAAAAGATATTATTGGTTACATGGAAAGAAAACCAGAATGGCTACAAAAACATATATTTGGAAACGAGCTTATTCCATATGGACAAGCTCTGTTTGAAGAGCTTGAACCGGAAACTCAGGAAAGAGTCATGCAAACAATAAGCGAAGACTCAAATACAAACTATGACAAAATCTTTCTAGGATATAGGTTACCTGAGATGGGTGACCAGAGCCCAAAGGCAAAAAGGACATGGGAAATTTACAACATACTAGGTGAACATGAGGCAAAGATGCTACAACTTGAAGCAGAGGGCAAGTTACCAAAAGCGACACCAAAGAAGAAGAGAAGAGTAGAACAAAGTGAAAGTAGTGAAGAAGTAACTTCATCTAGTGAAAGTAGTGGCAATGAAGGAAAAAGAAGAGTTAAAGATTCAGTTAAAAACTCAGTCAGGAAGAAAGTAAAGCTTGGTCCGAGTGGGTTCTATTATGACATATAAATCCAACTATTCTATATTTTTACCCATATGAAATGTACGCCGCTCAGAATATAACGCCAACAGTTTTGGATGCCATGAACGGAAATGTTTCCGAATGGTATAACGAATGCGACAATGCCATTAGAAAGTCAGAAATAGTTCCTGGAACTTACGAATATACAACTGCTGTTTCTTATGGAAAACGTAGGTGAGTTTGGAGAAGGTTCTTCAACAACAGTAGATATTGCTTGCGACAGGTTTCATATTATTTCTATTGACAACTCATTCTTATACGTGGAACAAGACATTGAAATAAAACCTTCTGCCAAGTTGTCTGACAAGAAAGGTTGCAATGGAATTTTCTATGTCGGATACCAATATGCTCCAGAAGTTTTTATGGGATATAAGATATATTCTAACTCTGACTTAGTTCAAACAGTAACATGGGCAAACTATGAATGGTTCGCTTTGAGAAACTCAGTACAACCACAAGCTAGAGAACAAACAGACCAGTATGCAACTATTGAGAAAATAAGAAGACTTGACCCTAACGTTCCAGGAGTTTATGTTAACCTTTCTGGTTCAGATGGAACTGCTGCCACTAAAGTAAAACTGAAACTTAGAGTTCCTTTGTCATCTTTCCTCATCTTCAGGTTTTTAAGATACTTGCCAAACTGGGCAGGAAAAATTTCTATCGAACTTACTCCAAGCAAAAATAACTTAGTCATTGCACCAACACAAGACCCATTCACTCTTACAGATACAGCTGGTGGAGCTGCCAGCATACCATTTGGAAAATGGTGCAAAGAGAAAGTTGACTTAGACTTTGGTTTCTCAAACCTCAACACTGAAGTAAACTACTACTTCTCAGGAACAGCAGACAACAATACTGCTTGGGTTTCTATTAAGTTTACATGCGAACAGTTTGAATGCAAGAGAATAGAAAGCAGACTTGCAGTCTATATGTTGGACCCAGATATTTCAAATGCTTTAGCTGCCAAATATATTGCAGTTCCACTTATGTTCCCTATACACCAAATATCTGTCAAAGACTTTGCAGGTGAAGTTGGAAACCAAAATCCAGGAGCCGCAGGTGCAAGAACAGATATTGCTTTAACAACTGCAATGAAACATGCAGATACTATGTTTGTACTGTTCAGACGAACTATAAATGACTATTCTTGTTTCTACAACCCTGGTATTAAATATCATATAAACATAGATGGCAAATATTATCCAAGAGAAGAATATTCTACAGTTGAGGATATGAGGTCATACAACTTGACACTAGATGCTATGAACTTTAACAACAACTTCACAACAACTATTAACCCTGAAATGCAAAGTTCTATTATGCCATATGTGAAAGTATGGACTCATACAGGAGGTCAAAAAACTCAATATACAAATGGAGACCGTTCAAACTTTTGGCTTGGCATTCCATTTGCTGACTCAGAAGACTTTATGGGTGGTATTTCAACTGTTGGTACAGTACAAATACAATATACTGGTGACAGAGACGGTCCAGATGAATTGAGAGCAAAGAAGTTTACAAAACCAATAGCACTTTTCACGGAAGATGCTCTTTTGAAGATTCGTTCGATGAAACCTGCTGGGGCTCCTCAGATTGGCATAACGACAGCTTCCATCGAGCAGATTTTGGCAGCAGGTCAGTAAGTTGTTCTTGAACTGACTTCTCTCCGTCAAATATTGACAGTACGCCAGTTTTGACATAATATTGTATTATAAACTTTCCTTTAGTAATATCTGTAAGTTTTGAAGTTATATTTTTGTCTGCTTCAAGAACTTTCACCATTTCAGTTATACCAACTTTCTTTGCTTTATGAAAATATTTAGGTTCAGCAAAGACTGCTATTCTATAACATTTTCCATTGTTTGTGTAAAGAACTATTCTGTTCAATGTATTTGTATTGTTTGTGAGTATAAACTTTGTTCTGCTTCAATTCAATAAGATATCCGAATACGTCCATCTTTTTATTCTAAGTAAAATGTCATTTCCGAAAAATAGAAGCGTAAGTGTTTCAAAAGGTTTAATGGCGGTGGCAGATGTGAAGTTAAATTCACCAACTCAAACAAACAGTCAAAGTGTTATTGTCAATGTCAAAGACAGAGATGTTGAAGTGGGGAAACCATACGAAGACGAAGATGGTATAACAATTGTTCCTGTAAAAGAACCAACATATCCTGAAGTTAACAGAGACTTAAGTTCTGTTGCAGATATTCGAAACGACTACCAACAACTGAAAGACAAACTTCAAACTCAGGAGAAGATTTGTCAAGCTTTAAGTATAATGTTAAACTTGGTCGAACACAACCCTGTAAAAGTGAACTCATATGTCATTGCACCTCATGAAGTTTTGAAAGAACTATTGAAACTTTTGACAGAGGCAGACGATATAAACATCAAAGAAATAGAACCCGACATTGCTTGCTGTGGTGTTTCATATAATGTCATTGACAAGATATACGTTATGAAAGGAGGTGAAACGTTGAACTTAAAATATAGTTTCCCAGACGTTATAAAAATATTTGACGACCACAACATTTCATTAAAATTTATTTGCTAAGTAAATGGCAGAAGACATAATGGTTTATACTATTACGACTAAAAACCCTGAGTCATATTAATTTCTATAACAACAAACTTACAAAGTCCTCAAGGATGATATTGTAAACTAACCTTAAACACAATGGACGACTAAAGCCTGTTTTGCTCTTTTTGACACCAGAAGACTTTATTGTGTTGAATGGTAAAAAATACTCCTTTGAAGATACTTACTCAGATATACCACCAACAGGTTTTGTTGACTTATTTAATACTTTAAGTACGGGTGTAACATGTGCTGCAACTAGAGCAGGTTTCATTATGTTTGGATGTCCGACTGAGTTTACTATAAACGATATGAGCTATAATACAAAACTTATATCTGGTTTTACTACCAACAGTTTCCTATAACAGGAAAAGGTGTCATACAAGGAATGTCTATTCCATTGACATTAAGGCACACCAATCTTATATATTGTTTCAAACTTAGGTTCAAAGTGTTATTCGAATGTCGACAGAAACTATTATGACCAAAAGATACTTATGCGTATAAACAATACTTTCTCTGCTGGTTTGCCTATTGTTCATTCGAATGCAGAATTTTCAACCTTAGTGAACTCAAACACTTTGGCAAGTATAACGTTGACATTAGTTGACCGCAAACTTTGTTCCTGTAAAACTTTTATGTCCTATGTATTGTCAATGACGGCAGAAAGTTTCGAATTGGAAGATGCAACTGGTGAAAGTATTGTATTACAAGAACAACTTCAACAACAAATAGCTCAAGAACAACAAATGCAACAAATGGAACAACAAAGTCAAGAATAAAAAAATAATATTTTTTTTTATTTTTATAAAAATGTACAGAATAGATGTTTCAGATTTTTATGACTTCCAAGCATTCAGAAATATGTGTCCATTTAGAGACTATAACAAAGCAGTCGAGAATTTTGAAACGTTTAGTCATTTATGTTGACTCTGCCCCAGAATGTTATGTTATGAAAGAATGGGATGTTGTCTTTAACAAACCAAGAGCAACAATAGTGTCTGAACAAGAATGTAGACAGAAACTTAAGAAAATAAAAGTTGTACAAGTTGGAATGAAGATGTTAGATGCTTGGGATATCTTATTGTCAAAGTTAGAAGATTTTTCAGTTCGAGGTATAAAGTTCTATACACCTTCTCCAAACTTCTATTCTATCTTCACTGGATATAAATACGAACAAGTAGAATGGAAACA